TTTGCCGCCCATCAACCAAACGCAAACATTCCGCTACCGGTCCATTAAGCAAAACAAAAGGTTTTGTTCCCGGCCCAGTAAACAAAACAAAACCGACATTAAGAACCATGAGTTCTAACTTTTGCAATCAACAGATCCTTCCACTGGTAACGTATGCTTTTTCAGGTTTGGAACCATGAGTTTCAAGCTTTGGGAACCCGCAGTTCCTTACAATGATAGCCGCTTAGCTTCGAAAACATAATTTCTGGGAACCGGCAATTCCTTCTTTCTGGGAACCGGCAGTTCCTTGCCATGGTAACCTTTGGTTCCCACGTTGAAAACATCAGTCCCAACCTGTAGGAACTGGAAGTTCTTTGCAATGGTAACCTATGGTTCCCAGGTTTGGAAGCATGAGTTTCAACCTCTGGGAACCGGCAGTTGCTTGCAATGGTAACCCATGGTTCCCAGGTTGGGAACCAGGAGTTCCAACCTCTGGGAACCGGCAGTTCCTTGCAATGGTAACCTGTGGTTCCCACGTTGGCAACCGTGAGTTCCAACCTTTGGGAACCCGGCAGTTCCCAAGGTCTGGGAACCGGCATTCCTTGCAATGGTAACCTCTGGTTCCCAGGTTGGGAACCGTAAGTTTCAAGGTCTGGGAACCGGCAGTTCCTTGCCATGAACCAAACGCAAACATTCCGGTACCGGTCCATTAAGCAAAACAAAGCGTTCTGTACCGGTCCATTAAGCAAAACCATAAAGTTGTAAAGAAAATGTTTTCATATCATTTTAACATGCACCTTTTTTCGTGCAAAAACATTTTTTTTGCCGCCCATCAACCGAACGCAAACATGCCGCTACCGGTCCATTAAGCAAAACAAAAGGTTTTGTTACCGGCCCAGTAAACAAAACAAAACAACATTAAGAACCATGAGTTCTCATTGTTGCAATCAACAGATCCTTCCGCTGGTAACGTATGCTTTTTCAGGTTTGGAACCATGAGTTTCAAGCTTTGGGAGCCCGCAGTTCCTTACAATGATAGCCGCTTAGCTTCGAAAACATAAGTTCTAACCTCTGGGAACCGGCAATTCCTTGCAATGGTAACCTCTGGTTCCCAGGTTGGGAACCGTAAGTTTCAAGGTCTGGGAACCGGCAGTTCCTTGCCATGGTAACCTTTGGTTCCCAAGTTGGGAACCATCAGTTCCAGGCTTTAGGAACTGGAAGTTCTTTGTAATGGTAACCTATGGTTCCCAGGTTTGGAAGCATGAGTTCCAACTTCTGGGAACCGGCAGTTGCTTGCCATGGTAACCTCTGGTTCCCAGGTGGGAACCATGAGTTCCAACCTCTGGGAACCGGCAGTTCCTTGCAATGGTAACCTGTGGTTCCCACGTTGGCAACCGTGAGTTCCAACCTTTGCGAACCGGCAGTTCCTTGCCATGAACCAAACGCAAACATTCCGGTACCGGTCCATTAAGCAAAACAAAGCGTTCTGTACCGGTCCATTAAGCAAAACAATAAGTTGTAAAGAAAATGTTTTCATATCATTTTAACATGCACATTTTTCATGCAAAAACATTTTTTTGCCGCCCATCAGCCCAACGCAAACATTCCGCTACCGGCCCATTAAGCAAAACAAAAAGGTTCTGTTACCGGCTCAGTAAACAAAACAAAACAACATTAAAAACCTTGAGTTCTAACTTTTGGGAATCAACAGGTCCTTCCACTGGTAACGTATGCTTTTTCAGGTTTGGAACCATGAGTTTCAAGCTTTCGCAACCGGCAATTCCTTACAATGAAAACCGCTTAGGTTGGAAAACATGAGGTCTAACCTCTGTGAACCGGCAATTCCTTGCAATGGTAACCTTTCGTTCCCAGGTTGGGAACATAAGTTTCAAGGTGTGGGAACCGGCAGTTCCTTGCAATGGTAGCCTTTGGTTCCCACGTTGAAAACATCAGTCCCAACCTGTAGGAACCGGAAGTTCTTTGCAATGGCAACCTTTGGTTCCCAGGTTGGGAACCAGGAGTTCCAACCTCTGGGAACCGGCAGTTCCTTGCAATGGTAACCTGTGGTTCCCGCGTTGGGAACCGTGAGTTCCAACCTTTGGGAACCGGCAGTTCCTTGCCATGAACCAAACGCAAACATTCCGGTACCGGTCCATTAAGCAAAACAAAGCGTTCTGTACCAGTCCATTAAGCAAAACCATAAAGTTGTAAAGAAAATATTTTCATATCATTTTAACATGCACCTTTTTCATGCAAAAACATTTTTTTGCCGCCCATCAGCCAAACGCAAACATTCCGCTACCGGTCCATTAAGCAAAACAAACGGTTCTGTTACCGGCTAAGTAAACAAAACAAAACAACATTAAGAACCATGAGTTCTAACTTTTTGCAATCAACAGATCCTTCCACTGGTAACGTATGCTTTTTCAGGCTTGGAACCATGAGTTTCAAGCTTTGAGAACCTGCAGTTCCTTAGAATGATAGCCGCTTGGCTTCGAAAACATAAGTTTTAACTTCTGGAACCGGCAATTCCTTGCAATGGTAACCTCTGGTTTTCAAGGTCTGAGAACCGGCAGTTCCTTGCCATGGTAACCTTTGGTTCCCACGTTGAAAACATCAGTCCCAACCTGTAGGAACCAGAAGTTCTTTGCAATGGTGACCTATCGTTCCCAGGTTGGCAACTATCAGTTCCAACCTTTGGGAACCAGCAATTGTTTGCAATGGTAACCCATGGTTCCCAGGTTGGGAACCAGGAGTTCCAACCTCTGGGAACCGGCAGTTCCTTGCAATGGTAACCTGTGGTTCCCACGTTGGCAACGTGAGTTCCAACCTTTGGGAACCGGCAGTTCCTTGCCATGAACCAAACGCAAACATTCCGGTACCGGTCCATTAAGCAAAACAAAGCGTTCTGTACCGGTCCATTAAGCAAAACCATAAAGTTGTAAAGAAAATGTTTTCATATCATTTTAACATGCACCTTTTTCATGCAAAAACATTTTTTTGCCGCCCATCAGCCAAACGCAAACATTCCGCTACCGGTCCATTAAGCAAAACAAAAGGTTTTGTTACCGGCCCAGTAAACAAAACAAAACAACATTAAGAACCATGAGTTCTAACTTTTGCAATCAGCAGATCCTTCCGCTGGTAACGTATGCTTTTTCAGGTTTGGAACCATAAGTTTCAAGGTTTCGCAGCCGGCAATTCCTTACAATGATAACCGCTTAGGTTGGAAAACATGAGGTCTAACCTCTGTGAACCGGCAATTCCTTGCAATGGTAACCTCTGGTTCCCAGGTTGGGAACCGTAAGTTTCAAGGTGTGGGAAGCGGCAGTTCCTTGCCATGGTAACCTTTGGTTCCCACGTTGGGAACCATCAGTTCCAACCTTTAGGAACTGGAAAATCTTTGCAATGGTAACCTCTGGTTCCCAGGTTGGAAACCGTAAGTTTCAAGGTGTGGGAAGCGGCAGTTCCTTGCAATGGTAGCCTTTGGTTCCCACGTTGAAAACATCAGTCCCAACCTGTAGGAACCGGAAGTTCTTTGCAATGGTAACCTGTGGTTCCCACGTTGGCAACCGTGAGTTCCAACCTTTGGGAACCGGCAGTTCCTTGCCATGAACCAAACGCAAACATTCCGGTACCGGTCCATTAAGCAAAACAAAGCGTTCTGTACCGGTCCATTAAGCAAAACCATAAAGTTGTAAAGAAAATGTTTTCATATCATTTTAACATGCACCTTTTTTCGTGCAAAAACATTTTTTGGCCGCCCATCAACCGAACGCAAACATTCCGCTACGGGTCCATGAAATCTTTTCTATCTGGGGTCTATGCCGGTGTAATTGAATTGCTCCCGCAAAGGACGTTAAAACGCAAAAATGTTGTAATTTGCAGCATTTTGTGATTTTCGAAAAGCGAAACATCGTCCGAAAAATGTGTCGAAACGGCACTTTTTCCCGATTTTAGGTACCCTCAAAATCGGGAGGGGGGGAATGCTCTTGGAGGATTCCGGCCAAAAAGCTCTCCCCCACCCTCCTGAAGGATTTTTGGTGTTTTTTCGGGGCCCGGCGTCGGGAGGGTCGGCGGCTTGGGGCGCGCCTCACCATAGAGCTCTAGCCGCTCTGGGACCTCGTGATGCATTTGTCAGCGTACTCGTGTGGAGCCGGTGGAGCTGAATTTAAAGGCTTACGCCTGACAGCCGGGCGCCGGCCAAGCTTGTGGTGGCTGTGGTTGTGGTGGTGGTGGTTGTTGTGGTTGTCGTCGTCGTCGTCGTCGTTGTCGTCGGGCCCATGCTGAGCCATCTTGCGCCCAGCGTAGGCTTAGGTCATGCCATGTCAAGCCATCAGGAGCCCATCGTGGGCTTATGTGGTGCCAAGTCGGGCCATGTTGAGCCATCTTGGGCCCATGTTGGGCCCATGTTGGGCTATGTTGGGCCCATCTTGGGCCCATCTTGGGTCTTTGTTGGGCCCACGCTGGTCCTACGTTGGCCTATGCTGGGCCTATGTTGGCCGAAGTTGGCCGATGTTGCGCCTATGTTGGGCCTATGTTGGCCTCTGTTGGGCCTACCTTTGCCTATGTGGGCCCTATGTTGGGCCAGCTTGGAGGCTATGTTGGGCATAGGTTGGGGATATGTTGGCGATCTTGGGCCTATGTTGGTGAGATGTTGGGCCGTTTATGTTGAAAACATCTTCAGACACAACTTTTTACGATTTTTTCCGCCCCTCAAAGCAAAAACTGTGGAAAAACTTACGTTTTTTAACGTCGCCCAGGTGCAATTCTGCGCCGCCGAGGGGCCCGAAACCCTGTAAAAAACGATGTTTTTGAACACCCGGAGCAAAATACACTGTAAATTACAGGGGCATCAGTTGGTACGTTGTCCGCCCGTTTTTTAGACGGGGGTCGTCGGCAGGGGGGGCGGCCCTTATAACCTTCGGTTAGCACCGAAGGCCTCCGGCAAGGACACGAGCAGCGCCCAGTGGGCCGGCGCCCGGATTTAAGGGCTGCCGCCCCCCTGCCGCCGACCCCAGGGGTGTTGGCCGGCGCGAAATAGCGGCAGTAACCGAACAGAGGCTGAAGACGAGCCCGCAGGCGACACTTGGCGCGACGGGCGAAGCCACTGCGGCCGCAGACTTCGACAGCGAAGGGCCTGCGCGAGCGGCAAGCGGCGTGAACGCCGCGCACGAGGTGCCCCCCGCGTGCGGTCCCCAAACGAACACGGACGCCACATTCTACTACACGTGCCCGTTTTGTGAAGCTACCGTCAGCAGCAGTGTGCGTTCTGGCCAAGTAAATCACCGCAGGCACTGTGGCAACCGTTTTCGGGTCAAAGATGGATGCGTCGCAGGAAAGAAGAGGGTGTATCAGTGCCCGTTTTGCGCGGGCGAAGTGAGCAGCAATGTGATGACTGGGCAAATCAACCATCGCAGCGTGTGCGGCAACCAGTTTTATGTATTTTTATGTAAAGACAGGCAAAGTCAGCGATGCGACGCGAAAACATATGCACACATGCCCGCAGTGCCGAGCGATCGTGTGGTCGGCATGCGCCTCAGGCCGAATCCGCGTGCAGCACACCACACCAGCGGGACGCCCGTGCGCACAGAAGAGCTGGACGAGCCAAGGAAAGAAAGAAGCATAGGCAACCAACGGCTTTCGGACGCCAGCAGAAAATCTGCAGGACAGCGCCCGGCAGATGGCCAAGGGCGCCGGGAAGCATTTAAGGCCAGGCTGCTGCCTAACGTTGCTTTCTGAAGCCAGTAGAAAATCTCAGGGCTACTGCCTCACGTTGCTTTGTGAAGCCAGTAGAAAATCTCAGGGACAGCGCCCGGCAGATGGCCAAGGGCGCCGAGAAGCATTTAAGGCCGGGCTACTGCGCCGGGAAGCATTTAAGGCCAGGCTACTGCCTAACCTTGCTTTCTGAAGCCAGTTGAAAATCTCCAGGACAGCGCCCGGCAGATGGCTAAGGGCGCCGGGAAGCATTTAAGGCCAGGCTACTGCCTCACGTTGCTTTCTGAAGCCTGTAGAAAATTTCAAGGAAAGCGCCCGGCAGATGGCCAAGGGCAACGGAAAGCATTTAAGGCCAGGCTACTGCCTAACGTCGCTTTCTGAAGCCAGTAGCAAAATCGCACGGAAAGCGCCCGGCAGATGGCCAAGGGCGCCGGGAAGCATTTATTTAAGGCCAGGCTACTGTCGGCTACTGTGCTTTCTGAAGCCAGTAGAAAATCGCAGGGAAAGCGCCCGGCAGATGGCCAAGGGCGCCGGGAAGCATTTAAGGCCAGGCTACTGCCTAACGTTGCTTTCTGAAGCCACTAGAAAATCTCAGGGAAAGCGCCCGGCAGATGGCCAAGGGCGCCGGAAAGCATTTAAGGCCAGGCTACTGCCTAACGTTCCTTTCTGAAGCCAGTAGAAAATGTCAGGGACAGCGCACGGCAGATGGCCAAGGGCGCCGGGAAGCATTTAAGGCCAGGCTACTGCCTAACGTTGCTTTCTGAAGCCAATAGAAAATCTCACGGCTACTGCCTCACGTTGCTTTCTGAAGCCAGTAGAAAATTTCAGGGACAGCGCCCGGCAGATGGCCAAGGGCGCCGAGAAGCATTTAAGGCCAGGCTACTGCCCCGGGAAGCATTTAAGGCCAGGCTACTGCCTAACGTTGCTTTCTGAAGCCAGTCGAAAATTTCAGGGCTAAGCCTCATGTTGCTTTCTGAAGCCAGTAGAAAATTTCAGGGACAGCGCCCGGCAGATGGCCAAGGGCGCCGAGAAGCATTTAAGGCCAGGGTACTGCGCCGGGAAGCATTTAAGGCCAGGCTACTGCCTAACGTTGCTTTTTGAAGCCAGTAGAAAATCTCCGGTAGATGGCTAAGGGCGCCGGGAAGCATTTAAGGCCAGGCTACTGCCTGACGTTGCTTTCTGAAGCCTGTAGAAAATCTCAGGGACAGCGCCCGGCAGATGGCCAAGGGCGCCGGGAAGCATTTAAGGCCAGGCTACTGCCTAACGTTCCTTTCTGAAGCCAGTCGCAAATGTCAGGGACAGCGCGCGGCAGATTGCCAAGGGCGCCGGGAAGCATTTAAGGCCAGGCTACTGCCTAACGTCGCTTTCTCAAGCCTGTAGAAAATCTCAGGGAAAGCGCCCGGCAGATGGCCAAGGGCGCCGGGAAGCATTTAAGGCCAGCCTACTGCCTAACGTTGGTTTCTGAAGCCAGTAGAAAATCGCAGGGAAAGCGCCCGGCAGATGGCCAAGGGCGCCGGGAAGCATTTAAGGCCAAAGCTACGGAAGGCTGCCAAAAGCGCCGGCAAGGGCGCTGCGGAGCGTTTGTACGAAAGCTACTGCCTAACGTTGCTTTCTGAAGCCACTGGAGAAGCTCGAAGGAAGCGCCCGGCAGATGGCGAAAGGCGTGCGCGGAGGAGCCGGAAGGCGGCCAAAAGCGCCGGCAAAGGCGCTGCGGACCGTTTGTAGGCAGGCTACTGCCTAACGTTGCTTTCTGAAGCCAGGAGAGGAGCATCTGCCGGGCCAAGGGCGCTGCGGAGCCTTTGAAGCCAAGCCTGGGCCAAGGCCTAACGTTGCTTTCTGAAGCCAGTAGAAAATCTCAGGGAAAGCGCCCGGCGCCCGGCAGATGGCTAAGGGCGCCGGGAAGCATTTAAGGCCAGGCTACTGCACCGGGAAGCATTTAAGGCCAGGCTACTGCCTAACGTTGCTTTCTGAAGCCAGTTGAAAAAGCGCCCGGCAGATGGCCAAGGGCGCCGGGAAGCATTTAAGGCCAGGCTACTGCCTAACGTTGCTTTCTCAAGCCAGTAGAAAATTTCAGGGCTACTGCCTCACGTTGCTTTCTGAAGCCAGTAGAAAATCTCCGGGACAGCGCCTGGCAGATGGCCAAGGGCGCCGAGAAGCATTTAAGGCCAGGCTACTGCGCCGGGAAGCATTTAAGGCCAGGCTACTGCCTAACCTTGCTTTCTGAAGCCAGTTGAAAATCTCCAGGACAGCGCCCGGCAGATGGGCGCCGGGAAGCATTGAAAGCCAGGCTACTGCCTCACGTTGCTTTCTGAAGCCTGTAGAAAATTTCAAGGAAAGCGCCCGGCAGATGGCCAAGGGCGCCGGGAAGCATTTAAGGCCAGGCTGCTGCCTACCGGCAGATGGCCAAAGGCGCCGGGAAGCATTAAGGCCAAGCTACGGAAGGCTGCCAAAAGCGCCGGCAAGAGCGCTGCGGAGAGTTTGTACGCAAGCTACTGCCTAACGTTGCTTTCTGAAGCCACTGGAGAAGCTCCAAGGAAGCGCCCGGCAGATGGCGAAAGGCGCGCGGAGGAGCCGGAAGGCGGCCAAAAGCGCCGGCAAAGGCGCTGCGGAGCGTTTGTAGGCAGGCTACTGCCTAACGTTGCTTTCTGAAGCCGGTCGAAAATCTCAGAGCTACTGCCTCACGTTGCTTTCTGAAGCCAGTAGAAAATCTCAGGGACAGCGCCCGGCAGATGGCCAAGGGCGCCGAGAAGCATTTAAGGCCAGGCTACAGCGCCGGAAAAGCATTTAAGGCCAGGCTACTGCCTAACATTTCTTTCTGAAGCCAGTTGAAAATCTCCAGGACAGCGCCCGGCAGATGGCTAAGGGCGCCGGGATACTGCCTAACGTCGCTTTCTGAAGCCAGTAGAAAATCTCAGTGAAAGCGCCCGGCAGATGGCCAAAGGCGCCGGGAAGCATTTAAGGCCAAGCTACGGAAGGCTGCCAAAAGCGCCGGCAAGGGCGCTGCGGAGCGTTTGTAGGCAGGCTACTGCTTAACGTTGCTTTCTGAAGCCAGGAGAGAAGCATCTGCCGGGCCAAGGGCGCTGCAGAGCCTTTGAAGCCAAGCCTGGGCCAAGGCCCGGCACATGCCTATACAAGCAAGTCGCACGAAGCCACTAGAGAATCTCTGGGTGCTCCTCGGACGCGCTCCCCCTGCAGATGGCTGGGGTCGGCGGATATAATTATATATATATATATATAGATAGATAGATAGATACTTGCCAGAAAATGTGGAATTTTATGGAGAACGGGCGCACGCCACATAGACCCCAAAAATCCCAAGTTTCTGCTTGGAAAAGAGTGGAGCGACGACTGTTTCATGTCCAGTTGTGACTTGCTGGAGTTGTTTTCATTTTCGAGAATTTGAATTTGGGTTTCGGTTCCCCTTTTGCGGCCAAGATATGTAATGTAATGCCTTGCTCCTTGAATACTGCATTCAGACTTGCAAATCGCAATTCACTGCGCTCATCCGCTATCTTGCATGCATGGTAAGATCTCGGCAAAATCATTCATGATCACGCATCTTTGATCATCACTTATCATCGTTCATCGGCACCAACACAAACACTCATTCTCGTCATCAATCATCATGCATCAACCACTTTACTCATCATTCATTAATCTTTCATCATCCTTCATCATCCGTCATCTTCATATTTTCTTTTCCGTCCTCTTTTGATCTATAATCCCTACTGTTTTTCTTTCGGGCCATACTGTCGTCTAGTGGGCACACTTTTGTTTATCGCTGGTTCATGTTGGGTGCAGAAAAAGAGTGGCTCTTGGATGGGATCAAAGAAGTGAACAGTGAACTACACAAAAGGTTTCCAAATTATGAACCAATTCAACACATGTCCAACTTGCAGGGTCATATGTAGTAGGGATCAAGATCTGGATTTGCCTGAAAATAGGGCTCCCCGTTCCATTTGCTAGTTAAAATCCCTATTGAAACGGCCGTAGCAGGGGGGCCTATATGTTCGAACATATACCCCATTTTCAGACACACCATTAGTATTTTCCACTGGTTCTATTCATGACATGGTCAACCCATTCCTGCTTGGTGGTTCATCCCAGTTAGTAAGTGGGCAACGAACCCCGTTAAAAACAACACGAACCCTACTTCTACTTACCCTAGTTGGAACCCTGGTTACAGCCCACTTTCCGAGTGGGATGAAACACCAAGTATTAGATTCCATATTTAACCACTTGCTAAGTGGGATGATCCTCCAAGTACAAATCCCCCACACAAGTTTCAATACTAAAATGGTATTAAAATGGTCTAATGACTTGGATGATTTGGGGTACCTTTCAAGCAAACCTCCAAATCTTCCCTGCCCTATTTCTCCCCAACGGGTCACCCCATTTGACGATACCGTGGTCTCAGGACCTGACGAAGGATTCCGAGGTGCGCACCATGTTGCGATGTCATGCTGAGGTCCAGCCATCTCCAAACCCCACCGGTTGATGCCGCACATCGAATTGATTCCTTTCACCTCCCAGTAGTCCAGCGAAGCTTGCGGCTCTTTCCTGGGAATCTGTGTCCATGTCCAAAACCAGCGCTCACAGCGCAGAACAAGCAGCACTGCACTGCACGCCACCAGTTGATTTAATGGCTGGGCCCATGTGCGCCATGGAATATCTCGAATAACTCAGATGCTTGATGAGGGCTGCTCTGGCCGGCCGTTGGCATGAAGAATCCATTTGAGCAAGGCAATGCAATGCTGACAGCCATGAAGTTCTGCGTGTTTGCATGCCGACAGCATGAGATGGCTGATATTCCGAAAATGCCTATCCTGAATCTTCAATTTACCAGATAGGTTTGGGACTTGTGAACGATCAGCCATGGCTGGGCCCATGTGCGCCATGGAATATCTCGAATAACTCAGATGCTTGATGAGGGCTGCTCTGGCTGGCCGTTGGCATGAAGAATCCATTTGAGCAGGGCTATGCAAAGCCAACAGCCTTGAAGTTCTGTGTGTTTGCATGCCGACACCATGCGATGGCTGATATTCCGAAAATGCCAACTGAACATGTTTTTGCCGGCCAGTGTGGTGCTTGCAGAGAGTGAAGATGTCAAAATTCAGTCAGCCTGGTTCACCTAACACAGAGTTTATGACTGGAAAATGCCTCAACTTCAGAAGATCACTGCTACAGGCGGACGTGCAAGATGTGCCTTTGCTCTTTTTACGCTGGGGCCCAGCTTGCAAGATGGTTGCCTCATGCGACAGCTTGAGTTTCGGCGGACCAGACATACCTGATGTTTGAGTGCAATAGAGGAAAAATGGTTCCCGCAGAATTTCCAACTGAAGATTTGTGTCCCCGAGGCCAGCCCAGTGGTTTTTCAGTGGCAACGTTGAGATTATCATTGCTGTTTGCCGAGCTGCTGGGTGCTGCAAAGGTTGCGGCGCCGTGTGGGGAAGGTGGAAGGTCAAATTTTCATCGTGCCAACATTGGTGCTGCGCGAGAATTTCGGAGCATTCGTGGTCGCACGGAATGCTATGCCAAGGGCCCCATTGTTCGGATAGCATGGGCGCGGATGTTTGATTCTTTTGCGAACTTGGGTTGTGGTGGACCTGTTCAGTTTAACTAACAATGCCAGTTCAATTAAAGTGCAACACAAGCCGTTGAAATTGAGTCAAGCAGCAAAAGCCCTGGAGTGAGCTCATTTGTGCAATGGGGATCGGAGAGTTTACTGCGAGACCTCTTGGCCAATTCATGGTGGCTGATGCGGCTGGGGATGACTTGCTGAGACCAAAAACATCCAAAAACCATCAGGACTGCTCTGATCTGCTCCGGCTGGCCATGAAGAATCCATTTGAGCAGGGCTATGCAAAGCCAACAGCCTTGAAATTCTGTGTGTTTGCATGCCGACACCATGCGATGGCTGATATTCCGAAAATGCCAATTGAACATGGTTTCGCTGGCCAGTGTGGTGTCTGCAGAGTGAAGATTCCAAAATTGAGGTTGCCTGCTTGACCCGAGCAAAGGTTGCGGCACCCTGTCGGGAAGTTTGTAGGTCGAATTTTCATCGTGCCAACATTGGTGCTGCGCGAGAATTTCGGAGCATTCGTGGTCGCACGGAATGCTATGCCAAGGGCCCCATTGTTCGGATAGCATGGGCGCGGATGTTTGATTCTTTTGCGAACTTGGGTTGTGGTGGACCTGTTCAGTTTAACTAACAATGCCAGTTCAATTAAAGTGCAACACAAGCCGTTGAAATTGAGTCAAGCAGCAAAAGCCCTGCCTCATTTGTGCAATGGGGATCGGAGAGTTTACTGCGAGACCTCTTGGCCAATGGTGGCTGATGCGGCTGGGGATGACTTGCTGAGACCAAAAACATCCAAAAACCATCAGGACTGCTCTGATCTGCTCCGGCTGGCCATGAAGAATCCATTTGAGCAGGGCTATGCAAAGCCAATAGCCTTGAAATTCTGTGTGTTTGCATGCCGACACCATGCGATGGCTGATATTCCGAAAATGCCAACTGAACATGTTTTTGCTGGCTAGTGTGGTGTCTGCAGAGTGAAGATTTCAAAATTGAGGTAGCCTGCTTCACCCGACACAGAGTTTATGACTGGAAAATTTGGAAAATGCCTCAACTTCAGAAGATCACTGCTACAGGCGGACGTGCAAGATGTGCCTTTGCTCTTTTTTACGCTGGGGCCCAGCTTGCAAGATGGTTGCCTCATGCGACAGCTTGAGTTTCGGCGGACCAGACATACCTGATGTTTGAGTGTAATAGAGGAAAAATGGTTCCCGCAGAATTTCCAACTGAAGATTTGTCCCCGAGGCCAGCCCAGTGGTTTTTCAGTGGCAACGTTGAGATTCTCATTACTGGGTGCTGCAAAGGTTGCGGCACCGTGTGGCGAAGGTGGTAGGTCGAATTTTCATCGCGCCAACACTGGTGCTGCGCGAGAATTTCGGAGCATTCGTGGTCGCATGGAATGCTGTGCCAAGGGGCCCTTGTTCGGATAGCAGGGGCGCGGATCTTTGATTCTTTTGGGAACTTGGGTTGGTGGACCTGTTCAGTTTAACTAACAATGCCAGTTCAATTAAAGTGCAACACAAGCCATCGAAATTGAATCTATTGAATCTGATCTTGGCATTAGCTGCAAGCAGCAACGGCCCTGGAGTGAGCTCATTTGTGCAATGGGGATCGGAGAGTTTACTGCGAGACCTCTTGGCCAATGGTGGCTGATGCGGCTGGGGATGACTTGCCGAGACCAAAAACATCCAAAAACCATCAGGACTGCTCTGATCTGCTCCGGCTGGCCATGAAGAATCCATTTGAGCAGGGCTATGCAAAGCCAACAGCCTTGAAATTCTGTGTGTTTGCATGCCGACACCATGCGATGGCTGATATTCCGAAAATGCCAATTGATGAAGATTCCGAAATTGAGGCTGCCTGCTTGACCCGAGCAAAGGTTGCGGCACCCTGTCGGGAAGGTTGTAGGTCGAATTTTCATCGCGCCAAAATTGGTGTTGCGCGAGAATTTCGGAGCATTCGTGGTCGCACGGAATGCTATGCCAAGGGCCCCATTGTTCGGATGGCATGGGCGCGGATGTTTGATTCTTTTGCGAACTTGGGTTGTGGTGGACCTGTTCAGTTTAACTAACAATGCCAGTTCAATTAAAGTGCAACACAAGCCGTTGAAATTGAGTCAAGCAGCAAAAGCCCTGGAGTGAGCTCATTTGTGCAATGGGGATCGGAGAGTTTACTGCGAGACCTCTTGGCCAATGGTGGCTGATGCGGCTGGGGATGACTTGCTGAGACCAAAAACATCCAAAAACCATCAGGACTGCTCTGATCTGCTCCGGCTGGCCATGAAGAATCCATTTGAGCAGGGCTATGCAAAGCCAACAGCCTTCAAGTTCTGTGCGTTTGCATGCCGACACCATGCAATGGCTGATATTCCGAAAATGCCAACTGAACATGTTTTTGCTGGCCAGTGTGGTGCTTGCAGAGAGTGAAGATGTCAAAATTCAGTCAGCCTGCTTGACCCCAGCAAAGGTTGCGGCACCCTGTCCGGAAGGTTGTAGGTCGAATTTTCATCGCACCAAAATTGGTGTTGCGCGAGAATTTCGGAGCATTCGTGGTCGCACGGAATGCTATGCCAAGGGCCCCATTGTTCGGATAACACGGGCGCGGATGTTTGATTCTTTTGCGAACTTGGGTTGTGGTGGACCTGTTCAGTTTAACTAACAATGCCAGTTCAATTAAAGTGCAACAGAAGCCATTGGCATTAACTTCAAGCAGCAACAGCCCTGGAGTGAGCTCATTTGCGCAATGGGGATCGGAGAGTTTACTGCGAGACCTCTTGGCCAATGGTGGCTGATGCGGCTGGGGATGACTTGCTGAGACCAAAAACATCCAAAAACCAAAACCATCAGGACTGCTCTGATCTGCTCCGGCTGGCCATGAAGGATCCATTTGAGCAGGGCTATGCAAAGCCAACAGCCTTGAAATTCTGTGTGTTTGCATGCCGACACCATGCGATGGCTGATATTCCGAAAATGCCAACTGAACATGTTTTTGCTGGCCAGTGTGGTGTCTGCAGAGTGAAGATTCCAAAATTGAGGCTGCCTGCTTGACCCGAGCAAAGGTTGCGGCACCCTGTCCGGAAGGTTGTAAGTCGAATTTTCATCGCACCAAAATTGGTGTTGCGCGAGAATTTCGGAGCATTCGTGGTCGCACGGAATGCTATGCCAAGGAAATTCGGATTTTCCGAACATGCACATCCCGAATCTGAAATTGAATCTAGCTTATTTGTTCCACGGCGGCAGGAGAGTTTATTGCGAGACTTCTTGGTAAATTCATACCTGTATCCTCGAAAAAGCACAAATAAATGCTCATTTGCGAGATTTCTGCTTTTTGAGCGGTTTTTCTCCACATGAGCGTAATTGCACCACTTGTGGCATTTTTTCCACTTTGTGCATTTTGAAGCCAAAAATATGAGCATATTTTCCCGGGAAATAAGCGTAAACACCCGGGAAAAAAACGTAAATGCCCGTCCGTCAAGAAACAAATGCGCGTTTTCTAGTTCAAGTGAGCATAAAAAGTCAGAACGAGCGTAAATCCAAGCGAAAACTGCTATGAGCAGAAAAAAGTGCTAAGTGAAGATCCAGGTAGTGGCTGGGGATGACTTGTTGAGACCGAAAACCATCAGCCCTGATATTCCCAGGTCATTTCTGACCCGCCCAGCGATTTGAAACCGAAATATAATCAGGTCAAGTGGCCCGCGCGTGAGATAGACACTTATTGGCATGGGCAGTGCGGTTCGTTGTGCGGATGCAGATTCCAGCTCATCTGTTGAGGAATCGTCTTGAACGGACAGCAACACGCCCCAGACATTCTGCGTTTCATGTTTGAGCGGGGCATTCCTTTGTCGATCTATTGTGACGAGTGCATTCACAGATTCCAAGAAAGTTGTGACGTCCAAAGATTGGATTTTGCTAGAGTCACGGCCCTGTGACGATTCTGATGTTGTCATGAGTGTCTGGGGTTCCATGCGACATGACATTAACGCGCCTGCTACATTGGGTCTTGGGCAATCATCTTTGCATTTTTCATTCTAGCTTTATTTGCTGAGAACATCAGCCAGAGTGACTTGAGATATAAATGCTTGCGACAAAAACGTGTTTCAAATCATACATCAGCAAAAAGCAGACCAGTGACAAGCCAGATGGCTGCATGAGTAGATGGAATGGGTTTGTTCTGTTCAAACATTGCAAGCGCTCGGCAGGTCAGTGCTGCTTGTGGCATTTACGTTTCCTTTGAGATCTGATGTTCTCGTGAACTTTTAAGTTTGAACCTTCCCTAGTTCAACAAGACATGTCACGAAGACACTTGAGCGATTTTACTGGTCGCCTACCGGCACTCGGACACGGTGTAGTGAGGACGTCAACCCAACTTGATGCCAAACAAAGACAAGCCAATCAGCAGACCCGTTATGGGGTGGTCAGTCAGTCGGGCCACAGCAGAGTATCCGGCTGAATTAGCAATGCAGTTTGCACAAATCGCACCTCCATTGTTATGACATAACAGTGGCGGAAGGCCGCGAAAGGTCTGAATACCACTCTTTATAAACCTATAAATAAACGAAAACCCTATCATAATCCCATGTCCCGATTCTGCTGGGGCGCGAAAGGGCGCGAAAGGTTCGTGAAAGCGCGGCGTAAGGGCAGTTTTCGGGTACCATAATTTTGGTTTGGTCAACCCCCATGTGACCCGCGAAGGGAATTGCAAGTGACAAACTTTGAGGAGTATCTCCCAATCAAGGGCGTGCATGACCCACCTTTTTCGCGACCAGACGGTGCGGGCTTTCCCTCTCAACATGTTGGGTCAATTTTGTTCAAATAACTTCAGTACCTGGTTCACCTAGTAACATTTTCTGTCTCACCCAGTCTCTCGTATATGACTCCGCTGTTGTGCCCATCCGACTCAGCCCTGGCCGCGAATAATCTTCGCCATTCTTAATAGGGAACTGATGTGACACGTTACATGTTTAAACCTTCCACGTGAGGTTTAGCCCCCAAGTCCTGGTATCCCAATACCAATCTTGCATGTAGTCAAATCTCCCGTTTCCCACTCCCTGCTGCTAAACTTTTCTGGAGCTCCCCAGTCGCATTTTGGGTACCCCACATGAGCTGTGTGGGCACATCCCATGACAATTTGGGGCGCCCCATAAGTGGATAGGGGTCACATGCCCCAAACACTGCTATTTACGAGGTTTCAGGCCTTTGACCCCTTACCACTCAAATGATCTCAAACGACTTGAAATGCTCTTGTGGCGACCCTTGGTCTCAATTTCTGTGGGTTGCCCTCTTTAGGATAAGAGATTTGGGAAGACCATGGGAGGCCCAAAACATAAGCCACAAAAACCCAGATTCATGTGATGTCAATGATCGATTTTCAAGGGGTTTCGCTGCAAAAACCAAGGCCCACAGAGGCTGAGAATGGTTAAGAGTTATTTAGAGTGACTTAGAGTGATTTAGAGTGACTTAGAGTGACTTAGAGTGATTTAGAGTGATTTAGAGAGATTTAGAGAAGGTATACATGTCAGGACGTATATGCCAAATGGATAGGGGTCAGATCTCTTGGGCCACATCAGACTCCTATGAATTCTTGCTTTATGTGCTGAGGACATCAACCAAACTTGACACGAACATGTTTGAGAAAGAGTGTGACATCAAAGGCCTCCTCTTAAACAGTGTCATTTTGCAGGCCATGGTGTAAGCAAAGCGCCCTCCGTGGCGAAAGGGTTTGGCTCAAGTGCTATAAGTAGTAATAATGTATGATGTGGATGTATGTGGTCGCTCTTACCACTCTGACACGATGCAGCGACAGTGTGGCGAGAACATCACAATCCAACTTGATTTGAACATGCCTGAGAGAACTACGCGTGTTACACCAAGGGCGAACAAAAGCAGCCCCGTAACAAGTCAGTCGCACAGTTCTAGATTATTGTGGACAGTTGCAGAAGGTTTGGATCTGAAGTGACGAGTGCATACATACATCCTAAAAAACTTGGCATGTCTAAGTTCCTTTGCCGACTCAGATCACTATCAAGATAGTGAAAAAACCAGCATTGGATTTCTTGGCTTGGCACATCCTGGCACATGCAAAGATTTCAAGCTTTCGCCAGACTTGAGCCACCGGTCGATTCTGATATCGTGAGCGTTTCAGTTTTCTTTGCCTTAAACACGACATGTTGGCCATCATTCAAGGGCACAACCATGACATAGACACTACCAACATCTTTCCACCAAGCTCCACCAATCTTTGGACCGTAAAGACCACCTTGTTCTGCAGAAAGAATCTTATATGTATTCCTACGTTGATTAAGATTGGCTAATAAAAACGCAGGCATTCTCACATTCTCACCAGTAAAATACAGCTCGAGCGTTATATAAGAATGTTGGTTGCCGATGGACAGGGTCCCTTAATTTCTTAACGGAAAGGGACCATGTATTTCAGTATGTATACGTGTATCTAATCAGTCGAAGGTCCCTCAATGTCTTAGCCATGCAAGAGGTTGTTTGTTTGTTTTTCCAGAGCGCCGCGAACTGTTTTTCTGAGCCCCCTGCTCTTGTGCCCATCAATTTCTTCGCAAACATCCAAATCTTAGGCTTGAAGATTCCAGGGTCCCTCGATTTGCATTCCACAAAACATCTACGCTGGAAACAAATCCAGCCCCTGATTTCTTATACAAGGAATTCTCATACAGTTCTGGGACTGTATCTCAAAAATCCACCTTGATTTTGCAAATATTGGAGAATCAAATATATGAGTATTCAGACTAGTATGTTATGGAGATCAAAATGTACTGTAACCTCAATCACACATGTTAACCCCGGATGAATCACTTTTGAGTGCTAATCTGGTGGGTTACGCCCGATCGAACCCGCCGACGTGTCTCTCCAGTGTCAACACAACCCAACGTCAGTTCTGAGAACCCATCGGATGAAGTAGTCAGCTGTGTCCGGAAAGCACGAAGTGTCCGGGACATAAAAAACCAATAAACATTGCAACGTTGCTTTCTCAATTGTACGTTGCCATCTCGTTGTTTTTCCAAAAGAAGCGGAACAAAGCGGAGAAAAAAGAAACAACAGGAAAACCATGTTTTGTGTAGCCCGTTGTCCCAAGCCAGCACATTAGCGCTGACTGAGCAAGTAGCCCCGGAGCAAGCACGCTGCAGGATCCGTGCTTGTGTTTTTTCTCACACGCGGAGGCGTATTGTCAAGTCTTTCGAATTGGACCTCCCATGACCTCCCTACACTATTCTTCATTGTAAACAGTCAGCATGGCTGGAAAATTTGCCCTGGTTTGAGAAAAATGACCTCTCATCAAATTCAAAGTTCAAATCGTTGAGATAGTTACATTCTTAGATGTCCTTTTCCCATTGGATGGTTGACTGGAGGGGAAGGCCTTAGGAATACGTGGTCGTGGTTGCAGCAAACTGGGCAAGTCATGACGCAAATTGGTCATCTCGTGTAGACTGTCATCCATTGACCATCCCGTTTCCTTGAGTTCTGCAATCACTGTCCACACTCTTTGATCTGCACTCTGAGCCTCCAAAACGCTAGGAATTAATAGAGGGGTTTGTTTACCCCTCTAACAACAAGTAAATGATGATAGATGCTATACCAAACCGGCCCTCTATTTTATCAAAAGGACATTTATGGAGCTACATTTATCCGGAAAACACGTTAAATTGAAAGAATGCGACTACAGCCAGTTGAATCTCGTCCATGGACTCTGCTTGAAGCGAGGGTGATTCAGAGGTTTCAGAGAAGTTGTGCATCAGATCAAAGCTTTTTGCACGGCGAATGGCCGAGCTGTTGGATATTTGACTGTGGCGGGGGGGGGGGGGTCTGCACAGAAAATATCAAGCGAGACTTAGTCTTCCGTGTCTAGGAAGATTTTTCTGTATTGACAACAATAGATTTCCTTGTTCCCACTGGTTGATGAGGAGAGATGTAATCAATGTAATCCACATTAAACAAGAAATAGGTAAATGTTTGGAGATCTGCACCTAAACCGACCCTTCTATCGACCGCGAAGGAATTCTCGCTGCAGCATCTTCCACTGAAAATTTCTAGTTCGCATTCTGCTTCAAAGCTCTTTCCCTTGAGGGTCTCAAGCAAGATCAGAGATGACGCACCGCTGACTTCCTCCACTTGGACAAGACAGAAGTGGCCCAAAGCCGGCCTGAGTCCAAAGCCTCACCATCGTTGAAAAAGAAAACTAAGAGTTCTCAGAGTTCTCCGATCAAAGATGGGGTTTTCCTGCAACATTTCGTTCAAGCCAGTCCAAAGACAAATTCAAAGCCAAATAGGTCCAGAGATTTGGAAGCAAAGTGTGCTGGGTGACATGAGCATTGTGAGCTGAGCGTGCCGAGCCATGAAATTTCGGCGTGAAGTCGCCAAGTTCGGAGTGGGATCTCTGGCCGATCTTGTCCTAGTCCTAGCTGGAAAAAAGAAAGAGGGATGGAGGGAAGAAGGGGAAAGAGTACGACAGGAATCGCACTTTAATCAAGACCTGAGCCAGTTGTGGTGGGTGTTCGGCTTCTGATTTTGGCCGCTGTTGAAGTCAGGTTCTTAATTGCAATGCTGAAAAAACATGAAAACACATATTTTAGCAATAGGTTTTTGTGGAATATTATTGGATTTGAGCTGACATTATATAGCCATCCAAAACATTCGAAAAACGGGAGTTGAACCTGCAAGAACAAGAGTTATGCCGAAATGATTGGCTTTTGTTTGGGATTGTACTCGGCTGTTTGAATGGTATCACACTTCATGGTATTGACATGTATTCGCGCTAACTGGATTTTGCTTCTGCTCTTCCGATTGGATTTTCAAGAAGGCCCCAAACCCAGTTCAGTCGTGTTCTTGGGAATCTTGGGATGTGTTTCTGGAGCTCCGTCGTGTGGGTTCTTGGGGGTCCTGGCAAATCTTGTGGAGTTGGTCGGTCGGTTTGCAGTGCGCAGCACAGCAGTTTTGGTTGTCAGGAATTCAAGAATCATCAAAATTCATCAAAATTCACTTCAGAAAAGTGAGCTGTCTGGTTTACAATGTGGTCAGAGTTATAAGTTGACCTGTAAACCCCTTATATAACTATAGTTGTAAGTTGTGAGTGTCATGAACCGTGAAATTGGCTGGCTCCAGCTCTGTGGAAGCCAAGTGGATTCGGATCTGAGATATTCCGAGCTGCCAAATGTGGGTAAACAGTGGCAAAATGTGACAAATATGGATGATAAGTATGGCTGATGAGTATGGATGAGAAATATGAAAACTTTGAATCATTGTGGGGGGAAAGGCATTTAATGGCATTTACAGTTGTTCTGGATGGTGAGATCTGCAAATCGTGTCACACTGCGGGATTTCAAACTTCTGATCACCGCCTTGGCATCTTCAAAGTTGCCCATCATGTTGCTGGTGGATTTGCCGATCTCTGGGCGCACATGGTGAGGAGCTGCTCGCAAGAGTTGGGACTTGTAGGCGAGCCAGTAGATCTTCGGCTTGCCGCTTTCGTCTTCTTCACGCATCAAAACTGTGGCTGGCCCCTTCCATCTGATTTTGACCAAATCAGGTGCTCTGGCATCTCTCCAAAAGAAGCACTTCTGTCCTGGCATCAAAGGAATGTTGGTGCCCGCATACTTTCTGAGCAATGCTCTCCGCAGCTTCATGTCGGTGTCGGCCTGAATGATGGCCATTTTGGCAGTTGCCCGACGAGCCAATTCCTGCTCGAAGCTGTCGGTCAGGTGCACCGGAGTGAGAGAAGTGCCAAGAAGTTCTCCAGGAAATTCAGGAGATTGGCCAAGAACCCATTGCGCAGGAGAAAATCCAGATGTAGAAGGGCTGTTGTTCATCTGAGGGATGACGTAGCACAAAGCCTGAATGATGGCCTTGGCGCCATTAATGCCATAGTCAGTGAGGAAGACTTCCAGGGCCTTGCGAAGTACAGCATGTCGACGCTCAACTAGCGCCAATTGTTCATGTGCCTCACCAGCTGCAACAACATGTTGTATGGAGTGTGCATCCGTCCACTCAGCAAACTCAGAACTGAGCCAACCTCTGCCCTCGTCAGTGAGAAGTCTTGAAGGTGGCCCAAAGTGGTTGATCCATCCCTTTTCAAGGGCATTGATGTAGTCCTGGGACTTTTCGCTGGAGACCAGGTGTGCTTTCTGAAACTTGGTGCCCTCGTCAACCACTGACAAGATTGGAAACTTGTTGTCCCCGTTCTTCAACCAAAAGACATCAGCTTGAATGGACTCGTTGAATCTCAAGATTCTTTTGGTGGATGCAGGCGCAACTTGGTTGGGCTTTCGATACCTAAGGCAAGCATGACATAGAAATTGACGGGCAGCTTGAAGAACAGCTTCAGAGGCACCTCGGGATTCCAGCATCTCAGTCAAGGATTCTGGTGAGGGGTGTCCAAGGTTCTATGAAGCCGCTGAACTGTTTTGACAGCTTCGGCACGGCTGCTGGTCATCAATTGGACAAATTTTCCTTGAACCTCCTTGACCTCTTCAATCGCATACGCATCATCCCAGAGGCATGGATCTTCTGGAGCTGCCAAGCTGCAGCAATGGAAGCAGCAAGTCCAGGCTGGTAATCTTCCATATAGCTGGTCCGGGTTCTGCCAATGCCCGGAAATTGACCTTCAAGTCTACAATGCTCATGGCTTTTGTCACATCGAAGACACAAAGCAGCAACAAGAGCCTTCTTGGTGGAGAGTATGCCGGTCGTCTTCTGAACAGGTTTCCAAATGCCATCGGATTCCAAACAACATGCACCATAGCAGCATTGATCGAAGATGGCATAGAGACCCGGCAAATTCTTCAGCGCAGAAGTCAACCAAGAAAGTGCTCCATGAGGCTGTTCAATGTGGGCTTGTCGACCGCCATGAACTTGGGAGAGGTAGATCTCTTTGACAAACTTGAGATGATTCCCTGTGGTGGTCATCTCGCTGCTGCTGGAGGGATTCCTTCTTCTCAGGAGTGGTCGCATTGATTGCTTGCATGCGACTCCAAAGTCCACAGCGAGGAGCCAAAAAGACCTCGTCTGGCATTTCCATGTTCAAACGCATCATGAATGCCTTCCGTTGGGATGGCAAGTCAAAATCCCAGCCGGTCTCATAGCCGAAGGATTCCACATGGCATCCAAGAGTCTCAGCAATCTGGCTCATTCGAGACTCACCAGCATAAACCTCCCAGATGACACGAGGTTTGACTTCAGGGTCGTTGAGTTCACGAGTGACAGTGGCATGCACTCGTTTTTCCTCGGTCACCAGGGCATTTTCAAACATCTTCCAGTGCTTGTTGAGGACGTTGCGTTCACCAGGTAAGCACTGAGGAGCATCAGAACCAAGAAAAACCTTCTCTTGCTGTTGATAGGTCTGAAAGTCCAAGACCTGTGAAGGCTGTGAAGTGGAACCATCTGAAGCCTGCGACTGATCGTCCAGGCTGAGGTCAAAACTTGGAGGTTGTGAGGCCAGCTCTGCATCAAAATCCTCGGTGAGTGAGAGAAGATACTCACCATGCCGTCCGACAATGATCTGTCGCCAGTCATGGCCCTCAAACATCATTTGTTGCCGCTTGAAGTTGATCACAATGCCAAGGCTCTCGATGATCGGACGCCCAAGAAGCATTGGAGTCTCGCCAGCAATGATGAAGGCCTGAACGTAGCCAAAGGAGTTGTTGATGAAGACAGGCACACGAGCAATCCAGTGGCTCGTGGTGGAATGGTCGCCGCCAAAGTGGAAAGTGCGCGACGTCTTGGTCATTGCAATTCCATTCACATCAAACCCAAGTTGTCGAAGATGGTCCACATAACGGTGGAAAGGACCTGAACCCATCAAGAAAGCACTAGCACCTGGGTCAAGCATTGTGCAGTCCACTCGAGGTCGCCCTGCTAAATCTTCAAAAATCACATGTCCATGCTCACTTGGAAGACAAGTGACTGCCATTCCCTCGATGTGCTGCTTTTTGGAAGGGCTTGCAGGTGCAGAGGTGGAACCTGAGTGCTTAGCAGGTCGTGGGCATTGTGCAGCTTGGTGACCATAGGCGCCACATCGGAGGCATTGAAGCACAGCTGAAGCTCGGCCCTTGGGGTCAGGTGCACGTCGATCGCCACGAGGTGGATATCGAACAGTGGTAGAGCTTCGAGCCTTGCCCTTGCCCTTTCCGCCTTTCTTGCCATAGCCCTTTCCCTTGGAGGGAGAGTTGGATCCAGTGCTCGTAGGCGAAGCTGCTCCTTGGTCAGTCAGAGCAACGACTGGAAGAAAACCTCGGGAAAGTTTGAGATCTTGAAAACGGCGACGAGCATCAAGATATGCAGCATACGCCATGTCATACGATTCAACGTCAAAGTTGTCGCCAAGCTCAGAACCCTCAAAGGCGTCGTCATCCTCATGGAAGTAGGCTGCATCGCCATCAAATGACTCATCACCGATCCAGCTAGGGTCATCACCTTCGTATTTCTCATCATACTCATAGTAGGCCTCTTCGAGGACCTCAGGCTCATCAAAGTCTTGATCATCCTGAGCAGCATAGGCCTTTCCACGGTGGAAAGACTTGCCAGGGAATCGATGTTGTGGTCGATCTTGGCTCACAATTTGTAGTCCTGTCCAAGAATCACAAACAGCGCTTCTTGGACCCTGAGTTTCTCAAGCTTCGGAGCCTGGGAAAGGACAAGCTGGTGCTGCTCCTTGGTCAAATTGGCACGACGCAAAAGAATCCAGCCCTGCATTTGATCCGGAAGCTTGACTCCATGTTCTGCCAGCTTCCTCAACTTCTCATCATGCTCTGTGACAAAGTTCAACAGGGTGGTACCTGGCCGTCGTGACAAGTTGAAGTAGGCATCAAAGTCTTGGGGCATGCGAACTCTGGCATCATACTTGAAAGCTGCATCAAGAATGGAGATCACATCATCGAACGGCTTCTCTTCGTCAATCTTGGTCACATCAAAACTTTCAACTAACTTCCAAGCCGTCCCTTGCAGTGAACCGATCAGATTCAAAACCGCTTCTACTGAACGTTTCTGCAGTTTCATCTTCAAATGGTATATGCTGATCCGTTTATGCCATTCTTGGTATGAGCTAGGGTTTCCATCAAACACTGGTATGTACGAGTCCTTGGTGAAGTTGGTGTCCAAGGTCGAAGAGCTCGTGCTCGACATGAAGAGCAACAAGAAAGAATTATGTGTACCAAAGAAACAAGTGAACCTGTCCAGTCTGCGGACAGGAACACAAGTAACTTACGTGTACCAAAGAAACAAGTGAACCTGTCCAGTCTGCGGACAGGAACACAAGTAACTACAATTACCAGGGTCGTTGTCAGGAGCAAGAAGCATAAGTTGATGCTATCAAAGAGCTCAGCAGGAAAGTTGAAGTTGGAGTGGAAGTAGATGGTGAAAATGGAGTAGCGCAGTGGAGCCCAGGAGCGCAACCGCTCCGCTACCAGTATCAACTGGGCAGCAGTTGCAGGATCAAGTTGCACGAAGTCCTTGTCCAAAAAGTAGTGCAGGCAAAGCACGCGAAGTCTTTTGCAGCGTAGCGTTCTGGTTGGCTTCGAAGCACCCACCTCTTCTGTGGGAAATATATTGAAAGGAAAATGGCCACGGCAGTGGCATATATGAAACGTCTGAGTTCCATGCAAACGAAACCTGAGTGTGTGGCGCACAATCAACAACTTCAAAAAGGCCGATCAGCACTTGAAGAAGATGCCCAAGCACATACCAAGCAACATACAGTTCCCTAAGAAAAAGACTTGTGCTTGATTTTGGACACGCTTTCCTGGCAGTCGGAGCTTTGAATGGAAAACTAGTAGAAAATTTAAGGAAAATCGGTGGAACACTAGTAGACAAAGTTGGGCAAGAACTTCAACACCATGTGTGAGAAGATCATTGAAAAAATGGAGGCGTCCACGTCCCTTGTGGCCACCGCAAGAATGACATCTAGGGCGTCAACCTTGAAGTTTGCCATGTCAAGGTTGAGAGTGGTGACAGGTGTTGGGTGCTGGAGCAAACCTGGAATGTGGAGGCTTCTGCCATACCTGGAACATGCGAACTGGGAAGACCTGCGCAGACACCTCAGATTTGGGTTGGCTTGGCGATCCGCTGGACATCATCAACCCACCAACCCACCCAGTGGCTGTTCCCATGGTCCGCCCCCTCCAGTACCTTGTCCAGAGCATGATGAGTATGATGGCCAGTTCGTGTTTTTTGTGGATAAATGGAGCCTAAATTGACATGAGCTTCAACTGTTGTTCTCACCCACCGAGACTGTTGCAACTGTTGCATCTTTGCAATTTTGATGGATTTCTTGTTGGCTCTTTTTTTTTCATGTCACTTCCAGATCTCTGCAGGAAAGTGTGGGACTACAAGGCGGGAGCTGGTCGAATTGGCATTTGCTTTGGTGGCTCCAGCATCATTAAACTCAACGAGGACTGTGACCAAGGCGGAAAGGTTGGCTCCAGCATCAATAGACTCAACGAGGACTGTGACCAAGGTGGAAAGGTTTGGGAGAAGACGATCTCAATGACACTGCCTGAGGCAAGTGAGTTGCTTTGATTTTGATGTGGCATTGAAATCTTAGTTGGTTCCCATGTTTTTCTGGTAATGTGGGTAACCCAAGAATAAACTTACCCTTCGGGGATGGTTGGAATCCCACCAATAAGAATGGTGATGTTGGGGATGGTTTCTTATTATTTGGTGTGCCACATGAATCATGAACTTCATTGAATCTCGAATTCGCAGGAGGGAGACAAGTACTATGATTTTGGTGGCGGCGACGCAAATGATAAGCAATGGATCACACCTGAGCTTGTGGCACAGCTTGATGGCCACATGGACACAGTGAAGGCTTCAACATACCAAGGCATCTTCTATGACATCGAGACCTTCATGTGGCTGCTGTACTGAAGGCCTTGGAGATTTCCTTCTCCAAAGCAAAGTCTAAAGGCTTGAAGGTCATGGTGTCCACATCTTACCTATCGCCATACAATGCCTACGATGATGTAGCTTACAACAAAAGGGCCCAGGAGCTGTGGAGGGGCATACTGGCCAACAAAGATTTCGACATCTTCTCGCCGCAATTCTACAATGATGGTGGCATGTCAAGGTTAGTGATTTTATGTTTCGTGTCATTCTGTGCAGGAACTTGAGTGGACAAGGAGTATTTTGCCATTCTGTTGAAGTGATTCATTTACCCTCAGGCTTGCTGGGAAAGCCTCCATTTAGTTCGTTGATTTTCCCGTTAAATCCTCCATTTCTACAGGATTTCCAGCTACCTGAGAAATTACCAGAGGTATTCTGTTGCTTGAGCCTGGATGTGCTAAGGAAAGACGGCCGGGATCCACAAAAACTGGGGCATGTCCGACTTGACTTTAACGATTGGACGAGCGCGCTCTCAGGGCTGCGAAGATTCTCCCCATCCTCAAGGCAAGCGATTGTGGTTTTCTACCACACGTGCCACCAGCGCACAATGAGAGTCTGGTTCTACCACACCGGTCTGTTGATGGTGGTGCCAACATTCCTTAATTGATTCCCTAGTTTGAAGTGGTTTTCTACCACATGCCACATGTGCCACCGGCGCACAATGAGAGTCTGGTTCTACCACACCGGTCTGTTGATGGTGGTGCCAACATTCCCTAATTGATTCCCTAGTTTGAAGTGGTTTTCTACCACACGTGCCACCAGCGCACAATGAGGGTGTGGTTCTACCAGACCGGTCTGTTGATAGTAGTGTCAACATTCCCCAATTGAATTCCCTAGTTTGAAGCTTTGAAGGGGGAAAAAAGCGCATCATTTCCATGCACGTCGAAGTGATTGATCTGCTAGACTGCTATGACAAAGCAGTGAAGAACTTCATATAGAGCTGAAGCTGCCATGTGACATGTGCTTCTCATTGCAACGATCTATGTGAACCTGACAGCGACACTGCGCAGCAAAGAAAGAGAAAGGTTCATATGGAGATATGAAAGCTCTACTCGCCACTTCTCAGGGAAAGCGTGAAGTATAGTACTTTCCATGGTAATTTCACCATGGCTCAACGTCTTTCTCACCTTTTTATCGCTGTGATTTTTGACTATCAATGGGTTGGTTTAGTTCTTTTTCTTTCGGGAGACACCCATCGTTTTTTTTTTAAATCATCTTAGAAATGTGGTTTCCTGCACATTTTCCTGCATCCCAGTCAGTATAGGTGGGTAAAAAAAACACATGTAACTGAGGGGATATTCTATATATAACTGGGCTATGACATGGTATGATATAGTTATATACTGGTTGTTGGTTTGGAACATTTTTTATTTTCCATAATATATGGGTTGTCATCTTCCCATTGACGAACTCCATCATTTTTCAAGATGGTTAAAACTACCAACCAGTATACAGTATAACAGTATATATATAATCCACCAGATAATCCACTATAAATCATAATTAACCATCATTAACCATTGTTAAACTCATATATATATATATAGCTATGTATCCACTTGAAAATGAAACTCCCAGTTGTAGACCATGACTGTCACCTGCTACTTTTCTCCATGAGAGCCGTGACGCATGTGGCGCTGTGCATGCTCTGCGGGCTGCTGGGATATCAAATCCGACAGGTCAGCACGATGCGGAAGGTGCACCGGCGGATCCGGCAGTGAAGCGATGTGAACCAGAGAAACCATGAATGCTGGGAACAAGGAGAACCAAAAAATCATCAAAACTTGGCATTTTTCACCTACATTGGGAGCCACAAACATGGTGACTGGAGCCAGCAGAAATGCTTATTTCGTCAACGGACATGGGGACGTGACTACAGCGGAACCGTTAGATGAGAACCGATTAGTGGCATTTTTTCCAGCCTACCCTGGGGTTCTTAAGTGCTATAGGCTATAGGTGGAAAATATGGGAATTATGAACGAGGGTGCCCTCAAGTTCTTAAGGGGTTAGTTCTCAAGGGGGAGAGGGAGTTCAAACCACAACTAAATTCTTTTTACAGTAACCAAAAAAAACAGCAACTAGCATTAGTATTAAACCCCGACTAACTGCTTGATGATTAAGTATAGCCTTTCCTGTATATTTCCCGCGGGAAATTGCTCACAATACATCCCGTAGAGCTTCCTGTCCACTGTATTATACAGTGCCAGGTGAGGATCCGGAGCTTCCCGTCCACTGTATTATACAGTGCCAGAGGAGGATCCGGAGCTTCCCGTCCACTGTATTATACAGTGCCAGGTGAGGAGCCGGAGCTTCCCGTCCACTGTATTATACAGTGCCAGAGGAGGAGCCGGAGCTTCCCGTCCACTGTATTATACAGTGCCAGAGGAGGAGCCGGAGCTTCCCGTCCACTGTATTATACAGTGCCAGAGGAGGATCCGGAGCTTCCCGTCCACTGTATTATACAGTGCCAGAGGAGGATCCGGAGCTTCCCGTCCACTGTATTATACAGTGCCAGAGGAGGAGCCGGAGCTTCCCGTCCACTGTATTATACAGTGCCAGAGGAGGATCCGGAGCTTCCCGTCCACTGTATTATACAGTGCAGAGGAGGATCCGGAGCTTCCCGTCCACTGTATTATACAGTGCCAGAGGAGGATCCGGAGCTTCCCGTCCACTGTATTATACAGTGCCAGAGGAGGATCCGGAGCTTCCCGTCCACTGTATTATACAGTGCCAGAGGAGGATCCGGAGCTTCCCCTCCACTGTATTACAGTGCCAGAGGAGGATCCGGAGCTTCCCCTCCACTGTATTATACAGTGCCAGAGGAGGATCCGGAGCTTCCCGTCCACTGTATTATACAGTGCCAGGGAGGATCCGGAGCTTCCCGTCCACTGTATTATACAGTGCCAGAGGAGGAGCCGGAGCTTCCCGTCCACTGTATTATACAGTGCCAGAGGAGGATCCGGAGCTTCCCGTCCACTGTATTAGCTTTCCCGTAGCTTTCCAGGAGACTTCGGGAAATTGGCGGGAAATTGCTTAGTTTAGCTTTCCCGTAGCTTTCCTGGAGACTTCGGGAAATTGGCTGGAAATTGCTGAGTTTAGCTTTCCGGTAGCTTTCCTGTAGACTGCGGGAAATTGGCGGGAAATAGCTGAGTTTAGCTATCCCGTAGCTTTCCTGCAGACTTCGGGAAATTGGCGGGAAATTGCTGACTTTAGCTTTCCGGGAGCTTTCCTGTAGACTGCGGGAAATTGGCGGGAAATAGGGAAGTTTAGCTTTCCCGTAGCTTTCCTGGAGACTTCGGGAAATTGGCGCGGAAATTGCTGAGTTTAGCTTTCCCGTAGCTTTCCAGGAGACTTCGGGAAATTGGCGGGAAATAGAGGAGTTTAGCTTTCCCGTAGCTTTCCAGGAGACTTCGGGAAATTGGAAATTGCTTAGTTTAGCTTTCCCGTAGCTTTCCAGGAGACTTCGGGAAATTGGCGGGAAATTGCTGAGTTTAGCTTTCCCGTAGCTTTCCTGGAGACTTCGGGAAATTGGCGGGAAATTGCTGAGTTTAGCTTTCCCGTAGCTTTCCAGCAGACTTCGGGAAATTGGCGGGAAATTGCTTAGTTTAGCTTTCCCGTAGCTTTCCTGGAGACTTCGGGAAATTGGCAAGAAAAAGCTTAGTTTAGCTTTCCCGGAGCTTTCCTGGAGATTTCGGGAAATTGACGGGAAATTGCTTAGTTTAGCATTCCGGGAGCTTTCCTGCAGACTGCGGGAAATTGGCGGGAAATTGCTGAGTTTAACTTTCCCGTAGCTTTCCTGGAGACTTCGGGAAATTGGCGGGAAATTGCTGAGTTTAGCTTTCCGGTAGCTTTCCTGTAGACTGCGTGAACTTGGCGGGAAATTGCTGAGTTTAGCTTTCCCGTAGCTTTCCCGGAGACTTCGGGAAATTGGCGGGAAATTGCTGACTTTAGCTTTCCGGGAGCTTTCCCGTAGACTGCGCGAAATTGGCGGGAAATAGAGGAGTTTAGCTTTCCCGTAGCTTTCCTGGAGACTTCGGGAAATTGGCAGGAAATTGCTGACTTTAGCTTTCCGGTAGCTTTCCTGTAGATTGCGGGAAATTGGCGGGAAATTGCTGAGTTTAGCTTTCCCGTATAGCTTTCCTGGAGACTTCGGGAAATTGGCGGGAAATTGCTGACTTTACCTTTCCGGGAGTCTTCCGGTAGACTGCGGGAAATTGGTGGGAAATAGAGGAGTTTAGCTTTCCCGTAGCTTTCCTGGATACTTCGGGAAATTGGCGAGAAATTGCTGACTTTAGCTTTCCCGTAGCTTTCCAGGAGACTTCGGGAAATTGGCGGGAAATTGCTTAGTTTAGCTATCCCGTAGCTTTCCAGGAGACTTCGGGAAATTGGAAATTGCTTAGTTTAGCTTTCCCGTAGCTTTCCTGGAGACTTCGGGAAATCGGCGGGAAATTGCTGAGTTTAGCTTTCCCGTAGCTTTCCAGGAGACTTCGGGAAATTGGCGGGAAATTGCTTAGTTTAGCTTTCCCGTAGCTTTCCTGGAGACTTCTGGAAATTGGCGGGAAATTGCTGAGTTTAGCTTTCCCGGAGCTTTCCTGGAGACTTCGGGAAATTGGCGGGAAATTGTTTACTTTAGCTTTCCGGTAGCTTTCCTGTAGACTGCGGGAAATTGGCGGGAAATTGCTGAGTTTAGCTTTCCCGGAGCTTTCCCGGAGACTTCGGGAAAGTGGCGGGAAATTGCTTACTTTAGCTTTCCGGTAGCTTTCCTGTAGACTGCGGGAAATTGGCGGGAAATTGCTGAGTTTAGCTTTCCCGTAGCTTTCCAGGAGACTTCGGGAAATTGGCGGGAAATTGCTGAGTTTAGCTTTCCGGTAGCTTTCCTGTAGACTACGGGAAATTGGCGGGAAATTGCTGAGTTTAGCTTTCCCGTAGCTTTCCTGGAGCCTTCGGGAAATTGGCAGGAAATTGCTGACTTTAGCTTTCCGGGAGCTTTCCTGTAGACTGCGGGAAATTAGCGGAAAATTGCTGAGTTTAGCTTTCCCGTAGCTTTCCTGTAGACTGCGGGAAATTGGCGGGAAATTGCTGACTTTAGCTTTCCGGTAGCTTTCCTATTTAGTCGGGGTTTGCAAACACTTTTAGTCGTGGATTTACAGAATTTAGTCGGGGTTCAAAGAAGGCGTTTTTGTCGTGGTTTGAGCGCCGTCTCCTTAAGGGGTTCATATGGTGAGGGTTTTGCCAATTTATTTTGGAGTGGTATTGGGTTGCAAAGGAAGCGGGGGGAAGAAAAATACTTTTTAGATCCCGAAAACAATTTTCAGGTGCAGGCATTCCAAACAGAGCTACAGGCCAGTTCCACCATGCCAGGGCTTGAAAGTTTATTTTGGCGTGGTATTAGGTTGCAAAGGAGGTAGGGGGAAGAAACAACTTTTTAGGTCCCGAAAAGTTTTTTTAAGTCCCGAAAAGTTTTCAGGTGCAGGCATTCCAAACGGAGCTATAGGCCAGATATTTCACTATGCCAGGGCTTAGGTTGCAAAGAGGTGGAGGCAAAAAACTTTTTAGGCGCCGAAAAGTTTTTTGATTTAGGGGCCCGAAACAAGGCAGCACAGGCAAGACAAGCTAAGACAAACCAAACACCAGCCAAGGGCAACATCTGAAGTCAGATGGCCTCTAGTGAGTCCGGCTGGTGTCGGGCTCAGGCTGGTGCATTCAGACTTGCTAGCCGCATTGGTTCGAGTCCTGTGGCGCTGGCGGTTTGCTTGCTTCTTGCGTGCGTGCTTCTTGCTTTCATATATCAATAATCAATGTTTAGTATATTGATACCCGTTAAAGGGGAATAAGAACCAGCGGCTAGAATTCCAGGGTACCCTAGGGTTCCGATTTCAATCAGCCGAGAGAAAGGGTTGAATCCAGCAATCCAGCCCCTGAAGTTCTTATTGTGTCCTTCTATGGTTATGGCGGTTATGGGTCAAAAATGGTATTCATTGGGAAATCTTTGGATATGATGTAGTAATGGTGTATGTTATATATGCATATGTATAGTTTGTATATTTAGAATAATTTACTTATATATATATATACATAGAGATGTGCACTAACCAACACTATCATACAACTATTTTCTGATGGGATGCACTGCAGTGAAACTGAGGATGGTTGAAGGATTGCGTCCCTTGACTCCTGAAAGCTTCCATACAAGTCTTCCATAATCGTTTTTGGCTACAATGACACCACTGTTTAAGAACCTACTGCAATTTTAGAGACAAGTGGAGCGCTGCGTCTCGCGTTTCCCCAGTTAACTCCTTGGCTCAGGGCGGCTGTCGGATTCCCCGCAGCTGGTTATGGTTTGGCAACTGGTCAACGCAGGACGCATGTTGTGTGACAGGGATCATCAATCCATGTTCATAGGTAATTTGCCTATAAACCGTCATATTGTACATTGGAGGATGGTCATTCCCCTTTTTCTTGCGGGGTATGGTCCTCATTTCATGGCAATTTTTCCGGGGAACGTGATGAAAAAGTACGAGATTCTGGGTTACCCTAGCTTCGCAAACTTGCACATCTCTTGTTGGATTGTAATTCTGGGTTTATACATGTTTATACTAAGAAGTTATCGGTTTTGAATATCTTTTCAATTTAGTCCGTGCCCATGACAATGACCCGGATGATGAACTCCGTCGAACAATATTTCAAACTTGGGTTGAAACCACCAACCACTTAAAATGGAACTGATTGTACAGATATATATGATTGTCTATATTGTGAATGGCTATTCACACTGGTAGTCCTCTCTCCAAACCAGCCTCCTCCAAGGCACAGCGCGCTGTTTTCCCCAAACAGCCGAACAGGCCACAGACAGTGGCAGCGGAAATCCAAATGCAAATGCCAAAGGACGCCACGTCCTATCCAAGCTCCCTGAGCTATGCCGCTATGGCCAAGCAAATGACCCCCCCCGCCGCTTCACCTTGTAATGGGCCCTGAGCCATGTATTGCTATTGACATGAACATAGTGGTCAAAATGACCCTTCGGTGGATTTACAACCTGGCAGTGGTGGAAGATCCTGTATATTGTCCTGCTGGTACACCTTGCAATGTTGGGAAATTCACACTCCCAAAAATCTCTTGGTAACTTCAAAACTGAAAAGACTCACAGAGATGTTAACGCATTGCAAGGTTATTCATCGCAGTTCGATTTCAACCACTTCAGACGTGTGCGTTTGTCCAAACGGGCTTTCAGGATCTCCAGTTCATCATTCAACCTGTATTTTCCACGAAGGAGAGTTTCTCTCAAAAAGCTGGTGTCCATGATTTTGGTGAGGCAGTCTGCAAGCTGGGCTCCTGAGTGTACCCATCTGATTTGCACTCCTTCATCCAACAGATCTTTGATCTGGCGGGCGTTCAGTTGCGTCCTGAACTCACTGCACGCAGGAACTGCAGTCCTTGTGACTAAATCAAAAAGGCTTTTGCAATCCGTTGCTATGGTTCCCTCCGGTAATTGTTGAGATTTGATCGTAGCTGCTGAAAAGGATTCAGGCAAATCCTGCAGAGCTTGCTCTGGTCGCTTCCATGGAACAGCGTTATCGAGTAACCACGCCCAGCAAAGTCGAATCCAAGAGAGCTGATCTAGCACTGTGCTCAAGGAGACGGTCTCGGCAGCTAATGTGCTTGTAACTACTCTTTGGATTTTCTTGCATCCCCATGACATCGGATTTACCACACAAGTAGTATTATTGCCAATATCTTTATGGGTACTCATGATCATACAACCAGTGTGGGAATCGGGATTCTTTCTTGAAGCAAAAGAAGCATCGGAAAATGCCAAGAATCTCAGATCTGCACAAGCAATGGGATTGATGGTTAAGGATACATTGGAATGTCTCTTGGCTTCGTGAAGGGTACGGTTGGCTTCAAGTAGAGTCTGTATGGTTGCTTGATTGATATCTGATTGAAGGAAACTTAAACGGCTTGACAAATCTGGACGGGTGTGGACCGATGCATACTGAAGGCTTCCAATTAAACCCCTGAGTGCCATCTTTTCTTCTGAGGTGACCTTGGCGGTTTCATCCTTTCGGCGTTCAATTGGGATTTTAATGGGATTAATTGCATTGACGTACTTGCTTTGGGAAAGTGTAATGGCTTTGTTGGGATGTTGAAACATGTCAATTCCAGTGAAAGTAAATTGGCCCACCTTTTGAGATCCAAATGGATAGCGCTTTTCCAACTCTTGAAGTTTGGACATGAACCTCTGATTTCCTCCACATAGACCATCATCTACATGTACCCCAATGATACCTTCAGGAACTCGAGTCTTTGGACACCGCAGTATGAAAGTACACGGACAAAATGGGGACTGTTCGAATCCTAACTTCAGCACTTCTTCTTTCAGGGCTTGAAACCACATGAACGGTGCATCGATCAACCCATAGGCGCTTTTGGTTAAACGACAAATTTCATCTTTGCTCAAACCCATCTTTGCAGCAAGTTCTGGCACAGGCTCAAGACCTAAGATCCGGCCACTTTGAGGCTTGCCTTGTAGGAAAGCAGCCTTGATGTCAAACGATCTTAAATCCCAAGACATGGATGCAATCAGTTGGAGCAGCAGCATTTTGGAGTGTCGATTCAGAGTCGGTGAATCACGAGGGACCTCAGTGATCTTTGGATCCAAATAGCCTAACACTACAAGTCGAGCTTTTGCTTTGGACATCTTTTGAGGTTTCTTGGGATCTCGGTCACTTTCTTCGATGGGTTTCCAAGTGAGAATCCATCGACACTTCAGGACTTGCTCCGGTGGGATCTGATTGCGAAACATTCTTTGGACTGTGCCTGTTTTCAGCCAGTTTGCTATTTCATTTTCTTTTGCAGCGGCAAATTCTGCTTTCTCGGAGTGCGTCAAGGTTGACAGCTTGATTTCGGATCTCTGTCTTTTTGCTGCTGAAACCAGAAAAGACATCTCTTCCGGCAGATCGGCGAGTTTCCATTCTTGAATGTCAGCATCAGTGACCAAGACTTCAGCTTTCCAGGCGAGATCTTCTTGGGTATGTTCTAAAACATTGATCTCAGCATCTAGGCTATGCAGTCCTTCACAAATAAGATCATCATCCGTTTCAATAGGAACTGGAACATCTTTGGGATCTTCGGGGACTTGTTGTTCCTCAGATGGAGCTCTTTCTTGTTCGGAAGGTGCATTGGAAGGTATCTCTGGTTCATTATCAGGTTGATCTTCTTGACTGTTATTGGAGTTGCTGAGATGAGGTTCTTCTGTGTTGGATGTGTTGGGGTCTGTGAGTTGCATGGGAATTGGCATACCCAGATCCACATATCGGGTCACTGTTCCGGAGACTTCGCTCGGGAGTTGCTGGGCAATCTCGGAAATGGATGGTTCGGCAGGTCTCTGCAAAATGCCTTTGGCTTCTTCCGCAGTCACAGGCCTAACATGTTCTGGGGCACATCTGTAGAGTTTACTGGACATCGTCACCCAAATGGTTTGTTGATTCTCATGTACAACAACTTTCATGGGGCCTTGCCAGTATCCCTGAGTTTGTCCGAGCCCCTCTTTCCATGCCATGACCCATTCACCTGGTTGGTAAGCACCCCTATGTGGGTGAGAACGGCGCAGCATTGCTCTCCGCAGCGCGGAGTCATTGTCAGCACTGTGGAACGCCCTTCTGGCTGTCTCACGGTAAGCTAACTGTTGTCGGAACCTGATTCCCTGAGCATGTTCAGACTCAGCCAGCAAATGCGCAGGGAGGAGATTCTCACTACTGACGGAACCAGGGAGTCTCGTGTGCTTGCCGAGCACCAGGACTTCCGGGGCAAAGCCTCCTTTCAGGCTGCATGCATTTTTAGCCTGGATACACCACCACAAGGCTTTCTGGAGATCACCATAGTTTTCCACAGCATGTTCACTGTTAAACTTGGTTAACATCTTATCCAAAATTGCCCCATGTCTCTCGGCTTTCCCATTTTGGAAGTGAGCTTCAGGGGATATGGTGGTACCTTTTATATTATGGCTTTGAAGGAAATTCATGAACTCTTCTCCATTAAATTCTGAGGCCGCATCCACTAAGATTTCACCAGGTGCCCCTGCCCAAGACAACCACATCGTCATGAGGGTTTGGATGGCATCTTCTGATGTCCTAGATGGTGCCACGTGTGCCATGTGAAAGTTGGTGGCCCAATCTATTACATGGTATACATGGTAGGTTCGACCCTTATTGCTTGTCCAGGTTAGTCCATCAATGGAGATTCTGTCATTGAAGTCCATGTCATCCTTCAGTGAGCCCGGTCGGGCAGCTTTCGGCTGAGAGTTCTGAATGCAAATGGAACACTGATAGTTCCTTGCGGCTTTAACCATTTCTGGTCGGAAACCTTGCTGTAGCATGATGGTGCTCATTCTCTCGGCACTCGGATGTCCGAGATTTTTGTGGATTTTGGCTAGCATTTGTTGATCACTTTTGGGAAGGTTCTTGATTGATTCATGTTGAAAGTTATGGGTGGATTTCTTCTGATTGTCATCAGCATCATGGTTGGGGTTATGAATCTGTAGGTTATCATGTGGCTCATTATTTGTATTGTTAGTTTCAGGACTTTTACTTGATGATTCCTCATGGTCTTGTTCTAGACGGCTGTCTATGTCGTTTCTCTGGGACATTCCCTGTGGTGCTTCAGGCTCAGGAACACTGCTATCAGGCTGATCCTCACCGGCTGAACCGCTGGTGTCATGGGCTATGGATTCTCTTGATCCGGACGCCCCAGGATTGGGTACAGCATCGCAGGCAAAAACCGTTATATTGATCCGACATGCATGTGAGGGTCTTACCCTTTGGCGTTGGGATAACTCTGACCAATTTTCCCACTGATCTTCTGCCAAGATTTTGGTGGTTCCCCTTTTCAAGAAAATGCACTTTCGAAGAGGTGCTTCTAGTGCCAACATGTTTGATGAAGGGACTATGGTCCTATCTGAACCCCTGCAGGCTATGGCAAACTGGATATTTTTATCCGGCAACAGGCATTGGATTTCGGACAACAATTCAGGATTGTCAAGCTGAGTTTTTCCTACTCGAGGCAGTATACTATCCACCTTGTCAAAGACCTTGTTCCAAGCTTCCAATGCATTGAGACTGGCCTGTTTGCCATTCAACTTCCGACGTTTCACAAGCATGTCTGCGGTCACTTCCGAAGACCTGGAAAGTTTCGGTTTGGCCTGAGTGAGGAGTCTTCTCCTTTTCAACGCCGGCTCATTGACAAACACTGCGGCATCATTTGGGCACATCATGGGTGTGACAGGGCATTCTTTGGGATACTGCAGCTTACACAGGACTTTTGCCATGTCTCTTGCAAACTTTCGGGGATAGGATTCAGAAAACACCGATCTGTTCACTCTTTGTTTATCCCTTACTGTGGATCCCTCAATAACCTGATGTTCATGTTGTCCCATACATTTCTTGTTCTTCAAGCTTTCGGCAACTCTTGGTGAGGTGGTTAGCACAGTCATGCCTTTCTTGATATGCTTACCATTCTGGGGATCTACCAAATTCCCTGCAGTGCACATGTCAAAATCCACAGCCAGCGTGGCATGGTGGATCTCGCTGAGGTAAGGCAGCTTAAACATGAGGGATGCTTGGGACTGTTCCCAGTGCATGTGACGATTGCAGGCCACTTGAAACCGCAGCAACACAACCCCTAAGGCAATTTGTTCAAGGTGTTTCAACCTGCAGTTCTGCAAATCATCCGATGCTTGAATGGATCGGCTTCCATTTAGTGTTGACCATCCTGACCATGGTCCACATGACGGAGAAAACCACAAGTGCTCAGGCCGCTTGGAGACAACAGTTTCAAACAACATGTTCCTACCTTCAGAAGACTGGAGGTCACATTGCTCGAGTCCCATGCGTTCAGCTTTGAAACCAAGCTGTTGCACTTGATGGGTCAACTGACTCTTTGGGCCGCAAAATACCTCCAAGAGGTTCAACCGGCAGGACGTCTGGGACTGTTTGGAATTGGCCTGGATGACCGTATCCAATTCTTCAGTGTATTGTTCTACCAAACGAACAAACCTACGACGTTCTTGGCATGTGTGGTGTTCAAGACCTTCAGTATGATACACACTGGAACATGGGTCTCCGGCAGCTAACATCCCTAACATCTCCAGACGATGTTCATTCACTGTTCGACGGGTGTCGCAGCTCTCACATGACCTTGATGAATCGCCATCTGCTCGAGGTGGCCCAGGATGTTCTGAACGGCGGTCTCCAGCTGGAGCATCCGTCCTTCCAGATGGTGGAAGTCGGGTTGAGCCTCGATCAACTCCTGGGTGGTGAAGTCGATGTCCCAATCGGTTAGGCTCTCTGAGGCCATGGGCATTTCTGGTCGAGCCTTGGCCTTGGCCGTCAACTTCTGGGACAATTTCCCACTCTCCTCGATAGGCATCTTCTGGTGGAGCTGTGGTGCTGACTCCTGCACTGTGATCTCTTCCCCTTCCAGTTCTGCACGTTCGACCTTCAACTCGATGTACTGGATCAACAACCGATGAACACCTTTGGTGCTGTTCTGATAGTGCTTCACGAACCACGAAATCCACTGTTGGTCGTCGTTCCAAACTTCTTGAAACGAATGGCCCAGATGCTTGGTCCCGAACTCGATCTTCATTTGGTCGAGCTCCTGCATGGAGTATCGAGACACATCCGGCAGAGGTTCTGCCACTTTCACCTGTAGTTTCTGCAGACGCTGGCTCAACGACGACATGAGACGAATCAACAATTTTGTCACGGGCAGCAACGGAGGGAAATGACTCTTGAGGTGGCTGGCATATTTTCGGACATGCGATCATGGTGTGTTGAAGCTCTTTGCCAGCTGATGCATTCTTGTCATTTGGACGGGTTTCGGCATGTTCACTTGAACCCTCTGATACTCTGGTGTGACTCAACCCTGGACCCTGACGACATGACATCTTTACGTTACTGGTTTTCTGACTTGAAATTACACTGGGACTGTCGGCGCTGTCATGATGGCTTGCATGTTTTGGCGACTCGGAATCGGCCAAATGCGTCTCGGCAGGACGTCCTCCTTCCGATGTTTTGGCCGTATTGGCCGCCAGGTCATTCAAATCAATCAAAAACAGGCCCTTTGGTGTCAACGTAAGTGGATACTCTTGGTTATATTTCTTGGACCACAAGACATGTCTTTCCACATCAATCACTGCATGCATCGCTCTGAGCAACGTGTTAGACAGCAAAAACGGAGTTGACCCTGGCACGATTGCAATTTTCAAAAGCAAATCTTGGAGAGGAACTACCAGTGCCTGTTCACTCTGCAGGGTGCCATGGTTGCCAAATCTGAATGTCACATGGCATGGACATCTTTGCAAGTTCTTGCGGATGTTTGGATGCAAGTTATTGATCAGGTCAGCAACCAGATTGCTCCCAATTACCGTCTTGGTAGCTCCTAAGTCTACAACGCCCAGGCTGCTATGCGTGGCAAACATCGTGGAGGCATCAGACATCGGCTCCGAAGTGGTATCACAGGTGACCTCACTCCTAGGTTGGCTTGGCTGTTGACGGATGCTGATCTGATTTCTGATCTTTACATTATTAAGGGATTCCCTTAATTTACCCCTGAAATCATGATGATCAGCAACATAAACAACTACATCATTGATCTGAGGCTCATCGATTGTCCCTTCGCGGGCTTCAGGCAACTGCAGAAATTCCAAGGGCATGGACGACTCGACACTGACGAAGGACGTCGGGGCAGTGGCATTCGACTGCGGGGCTCTGGTATTTCGTTCAGGGCACTCTGCTTTCCAGTGACCAACTTTGTTGCAGATCCTACACCTGGAAGTCAAAATCCTCTGTTCCAACGATTTCCGAGAAGATGAGTGACCCTTCTGGAACTTACCCTTCACTCGACCTTTGTTCGATCCTTTGGCTTTGCCACCACCTGACACTGGCCAGAATCCACGAAATCGGACCTTTTCACTCAAGCGGCGACGAGCTTCAGAGTACGTGTTGAAGGCGGCAGCAAGCTCTTCATCTCCTTGAATCAAATCTGTCGCAGCATTCTCAAAGTCGGTAATGAATGCAGCATCGGAATCACCCTCCTGCATCAATACTTCAACCATCTCATCTTCATTCATGCCATCACCCTCAGCAGCATACACCTCATCTTGAGTCTCATCATCTTCAGCTTCGGCTAGCAGAGTGGCTTGGTCATATGTCTTTTGTTTGGCACGCTTGGCACCGGTCACATCTTGAAAGAACCCTGCACCTAGCATTCGAATTGCACTGCTCACACGTGGCACAGACAGATCACCTGAACCTGCAGCATCGGCATCTACCAGGACTTTCTTCTTGTCGTCCGTGGTCAACGTCGAACCCCTCAGCGTGACATAGGCCTGAAGGTCTGACAGCTTGAGGTTTTTGCTATTCAGTTCAGTCCACATGATGTCTGCTCTGGCGAGATATGAGTCGGCTGACTCATCTGCTTTCTGTACACACTTATACAATGCCCTTTCTGCATGTTCATATTTCTTCTCAAGGCCGATCTGACCCCAGTGACCCCCTAAAATCTCGATCAAACGCTTGATGGACTTTCTCTCGTTCTCCATGAGCTCGGTCTGGTGCTGTTGCAACTTCATAAAAGCTGACCCTGAACAGTTCAGAATGAGACGTGTTGTCAATTCCGTGTACTTTCCAGTTGGCCAGGCATCTAAAAGGAGCATCACCTTTTGGGAGTAGACCTGTAGATCATCCTTCGAAGGATCAAAAGTCGGTACAAGCGCAGCTATTTGATTGGGAACCAATGAGGCTGACTCAGTTCCTGCAGCTGTGGCCCCATCACCATCTGGCATGGCCAAGGCAGAAACTCCTGGATCGCCTTCCGCACTTAGGCAGCGGAGCTCCGCTACCAGTGTGAATGGCTATTCACACTGGTAGTCCTCTCTCCAAACCAGCCTCCTCCAAGGCACAACGCGCTGTTTTCCCCAAACAGCCGAACAGGCCACAGACAGTGGCAGCGGAAATCCAAATGCAAATGCCAAAGGACGCCACGTCCTATCCAAGCTCCCTGAGCTATGCCGCTATGGCCAAGCAAATGAACCCACCCGCCGCTTCACCTTGTAATGGGCCCTGAGCCATGTATTGCTATTGACATGAACATAGTGGTCAAAATGACCCTTCGGTGGATTTACAACCTGGCAGTGGTGGAAGATCCTGTATATTGTCCTGCTGGTACACCTTGCAATGTTGGGAAATTCACACTATATATATATATATATGTATGTGTGTGTATATATATATATATATGTATGTGTATATATATATATGCATGCATGTACATCAGATTTCATCATTCTTGTGCAATGTCTCCAGTTCTCCTGCCTTCTTGATAGGGTTTTTTCGCCCATTTTCCAGTAGATGAGTCAGTAAACATACCCCTGTTGATTGGAAATCATAGGGGGGTTCTCTAATAACCTACCTTTCTTTAATGGGATTGTGATCTAATCAACCAGAAGAGCTGGATGGGATAGGAGTACTTTTCATGACACAGATGGATTTAGTGAAACTACAGGGGAGATTTGCAAGGCACACATAGTAACCCATGCAATCCCAGCAAAATTTATCAAATCTGCCCGTGTAGAGTTGACCAAGTCTATTTGGCGGTTCACCCCAGTTGGTAAATAGATCAGTTTACCCCAGTTGCAACTGGACTAACCCTACTTACGCGATTGATAACAAGGGTACAGCGCACTTTACGAACTGGAGTGAAATCTATCTATCTATCTATCTATCTACCTACCTACCTATCTATCTACCTGTCTATCTATCTATCTACCTACCTACATACATACATCCATCCATCCATACATACATACATATCTCCACACACACTACCGGCTACATGGTGGGATATGTATATATATATATAGATTGATGGATCGATAGATAGGATAGATCGATAGATAGATGACTTTAATGTTAGTAAAACAATAGTAAACCATCCCCATTTCACCATTTTTGGTGGAGATTTCAACCATAGGAGCCGCCGTCCAAGCTGCCTCGCCGGACTGATGCTAAAAGCTTCCTTAGACCCGTGGCGAGTGCAGAGGTGTCGCACCAGTTGCCGAAGCTGTTTCACTGTGCAACTTGGTGGGAACATTTGGGATTACTGTCTGGTAAACTCACAGTTTGCCATGGCATCTATGAAAAATCACCATCTTTGGGTAAATCACTGACACGGTCAATTGTCAATAGCGAACTGTTAAATTTCCGGAGAGTATATGGAAATTGCATGGCCATTATAAATATATATATATATATATATGGGGATTATATATGGGTACACCATTTTCAGACAAACCAATCTGTTTCGTGGTTTGGTGTTGGGGCTGGTTTGGAAGATTATCCCAATTGTCATTGGTTTTCAAGGGAAGATAGATGGATGGATAGATAGATAGATAAATAGATAGACAGACAGACAGACAGCCAGACAGAGAGAGAGAGAGATACATGTGTACATACATACATACATACATACATACATACATACATACATACATACATATGTATATATAAACCCACTGGAGATCGGGTTGATTTTTCGTCGTTTTTATTCACTAATCATACTTATAGGTAGTTTTCTTTTCATCCACTTTCGTGACTGACACTGGATAAGTGTTGGCGCAGGGTTTTTGGTTCGTTATGAACCTTCCATGTGGGCTCAAAAGCTCGCTGAGCCTATCAGCAGGTTGCTTCTGGGTCCTTATTGAAAGGGTTGAAGCATCTTTGCCGAGCTATTTCGCCGGCTGCCCATAATTAGATTCGATTCATGATGGATTAACTTTGCAAGACTATCTGACTGGCTGATTTTGCTGCCTCATCTTCGCACAAGTAGCTTTCTCCCATCACTGGTGACTGGAGCATCACATTTTCTAGGAATTGGGAAGGCAACAGTTGGGATCCCACTGAGTCTTGTTGAGGAAAACGAACGAAAGTGCTGAGCGGTTTCCGGCTTAACCTGATTCGTTTCCTTCGTGGCTTCTCCTGTAGCACTGACCGATATTTCTTGTTCGGATGATCATAATCCATGGGAAATCCCATATGAAGACCAATCATGATAAATACTGGAATTTGGGATAGGCATCATATTATACCTATTTGTCCATGTCTCTTAGTTGAATAGCATGTCTGATGGCGATTTCATAGATGTTTGATTTTCAACAGAAAGCACACCACGATAACTTGGAGATACTTGCATTCTTCAGAAAGAGAAAAATGTGATTTGGAATCAATGGGAGACTAACCTGACCCTTTTCTTTGCCAAATCCCAGTTACTACACACACACACATATATATATATATATACATACATAAAATGTATATGTATAATATGTATATGTGTATGTGTATGTGTATGTATATGTATATGTATATGTATATGTATATGTATATGTATATGTATATATATATAATATCTGTCCGAAAAAAAAACGGCATCCAGCTGACCTTTTCCTTCCTTCGACTCTCAGGACCCTTTGGAACACGTGATCGCCATCAATCTGGAAGACGACCGTGGCCTTGGAAGGAGAGGCCATATGATTGAGGAATTCAAGCGAGTGCCTCAGCCTACTGGTGGCAGGGTGGCAGGGGGGAATGATCATCGTAGATATAGCTTAGCTATTTATATATAACTACTGGGATGGTCACATCGGTATGGTGGATGTTCTTTTTCGATGTGAATAGTGGCTGATACATGCTGAGGATTTTTTTTTGCACGAAATACCCATGGTTTGTGGAAATGAATGGATGATACTGGCTCATCTTTCACTCTTTGGAGGTTAATGAACCATTGGATGGGGATATTTGTAGTGGGGATATAGAATTAATGGCTATTTTAAAGATGGAATGTAACTTTTTGATGACCCCTATACATGTCTTATATGGATGTTGAATCGAGAAACATGGCAACTGTAATACATGCTAATATTGATAGTGGCTTCACCTGATACCGTTGGTATGGAGATGACAATAGTGAGTTCCGCCCAAAAAATTCCGAACGCCAGAACTGGTTCAGAAACCTGGCTGTTTTACAGGAAAGCCCAACCAATTTGATGGTAAAAACCCATGGGTTTCCGGTTAAGATTTTCCCCAAGAAACCAATCCAATGATCATTCCTGTTGTGACTTTCATTTAGGATGAATGGCTCAACGAACCAGTTCTGAAGCGGCAACCGTAGTCTCTACTGGGTTTGGGAATGATGAGAACTTATACCCTCTGGTAATTTGTTACATAGTTATTGAACATGGCCCATCTATAGTGGATTTACCTATTATAAAGGATGCTTTTCCATAGCTATGTAAACGTTTACCAGAGGGTAATGATTATTTTTTTTTGTGGGAGTTTACAGAGGGGATACCAGGTTTCCTGCCGTCACCACAGGAACATTCTGCTGAACCAAGGAATTTGGTGCATGATTTTCCGGTCATAGGGATTGGAATGGCAGTTTCTACCTTGTACCACCTGGTTCGCTTCGGTTCGCACTGGTGCTTCCTCATGTGTGGAGATAATTTGGACAGAAACATGCTAGGAGAAAGTAGGAGATCGATTTTGAATGAATTTGATGTGATTTTTTTAGAGACTTTTTAGAGTCCCATTTTTGTGAATTGCTTTTTGGTACCCGCTCGATGGGTCGCCTCCCATATTTCATCCGCCCTCAGGTAGGGATCAAGAACTACAACTTCTTTCCTGCAGTCGACTTTAAGAATGACCGATGTGGAAAGCATTGGGACTACCAAGGTTAATTCGGTTTCCGAATTGAAGAATCTGTTTGTCTTTTTTAGAGGCACCAACAATAATATAGTTGGGGCATCCCACAATTTTGGACACTCACAACCACAACCCCATCCGAACAGGGGACAGATCTACTTTTTATTTCAACGTAATTTGCCCCAAGACATCAGCCATTTGTGTGCCCAAACAGGTAGTCACAATTTCATGTGTTTAAAACTAGGGTATATCCATATGTGCCACATGTGTAACATTGTATCTCTACTATTCATGGCCATTTCAGATGGACCATGATGGAACACCACTGGATTCAACATGACTAAATCCCAACATCAAGCCTCTGTCCAAACATGGCTTGCTGGATTTTGTAGTTGATTTTCCAAGCTATAAACCTCCATTTACAGTGGATTTCCATGGATTTCCAACATTTTTCCGCTATTTTTCCAATGATTTCCAGGGAATATCCACGGCAATGATGACCTGCCTTCCATGCCAGGACGCACAGCTAAAAAGAGAAGAGGCCCTTCTGGGTGGAGACATGTGCAAAAATCCCGCACGCTGCGACTTGGCCGACTTGGCAACTCCTCAGGCCGAGTCCGTAACGTGCCGTGCTTTTCGGACTGGCGATTCCCAGCATGATCCACCATGCCATAAACATGGAAGAGATTCATATACATATATATTTATACATACATATTATATATATATATATACAATATGTATATATAATGATATATCATATTATATCATATAATACACTAATATGTATACACTAACATTTGGGATCTGAACACTAGGGTACCTTAACGCTTCTCAGCGTTCCGCTCGGATGTTTTTTTTTTTGGGTTGCGACACGTACCAGTGGCAGCTTTGCCACTTGATTACCAGAGCGGACCCATAGCTTGATGATTTTGATGCACTGAATCTATCCATACCCCCCTTTTGGGGGTGATTCACCGTTTCGGTGAATCACTTTGCAGCTCCCATTTTTGTGGCTGAACAGTCAAACACATATCCCAAGAATTCCCCGGCCCCATTCTGTTGATGGAGTAGCCATAGTTTTTCTGGATGACCCATTCTATAGTTGCTATAGTTGACCCATCCTAATCACTATTGAACATGGCCCAGTCGAAATAGTGGCTTTACCCAGTTTACCCAGCTATAAAATCGTGATTTTCCACATTTTTCCACCATTTTTTCTATGTTTACCAGGGGGTTTTCCATCAGATGCTGCACCACCGGTGCCACCGGTGGCACCGGGCTTTTCCTCGAGGTCACAACACCTTGGGCTGCGCCATGAGCCATCGACGAGTCTACGAGAAGATCTTGGCCGAGCGATGGCCCTGCGCCATGATCTTTGTCGCTGGGACCAAACACCTCTGGGGACATGGGAGAAATACCACTATTTAATAATATTTAATAGTGTGATTTTTGCCATATGGCAGTGTGTCAAAACCTTGTACCCCTGGTGAACATCAAAATAGCTGGTAAATGGATGTTTAATAGTGTGATTTTTAAGCCATATCTGCCATGAAAAGGATTTCTATTGATTGTTAGATAATTGATGGTCAATTGATGCTTTTTCTTGGTGATGCGCTCAATATTGATGGTTCATGATGGTTTATGAATGATGTGAACCAGTTTCAAGGCCCAATATGTATTCAGTACATTATTGATTCAATCCACAGCTGTCTTGGTGGGAGAATCTCGATTCGCGTTGATCTATCTTAAGATGGTGCTAAAAGACATCATTTAGACAATTTAGATGGTCAACCACGACTAACACCGGAATTTAATGTTGAACTCCAAATGTTGGTTAGCACTTTAGCCCTCAATTTTTTCGATAATCACGTTCTCCGAGGAAGACGACGCTGGCTTGGCTGACAACTTTTCGGCTCGCGTTGCAGAGATGGCGCCACTGGGCATTCGTTGGGGATCAAATCATGACTGCTGTAGATTTCAGCATCATCATATGATTATCTATATAACTCATAATCTCTATATCATTAATCATCTATAATCATCTATCTGAATCTATCTATAATCATGCATCAAAAAATCTATAATGAGCTATAATAATTTTATATAATTTTTATAATCTGCGATCGATCTATAATCATCTATAATTCATCTATACAACTAAGTCACTAAGTCTGAAAATGGGGGATACCTCAGTCATTTTATTGAGAACCATGAGTGATGGTTTGTTAGTGTGGTGGTGAAGTTGTATTGCTGATGTCTGAGTGGTGGCTCTGGATGTTGGTTTTGAGGCAGTAGTTGTTGGCCATTTCCATCCCATTCCTTCATATCTCTCCAGCTACAGCAGCACCGCTGCTTAAAACTTCCATCACAAGCGACAGATTAGAACTCAATATTCGCTTAGCTGGGTTTGTTTGGATTTTTGGATAGCCTGGGATTCCTTGGAAAGCCAGTGTGAGGTGATTCACATTGAATTTCTGCTGCTTTTTGCCACAAAACGGCAGTTTCAAAACAACAGACATGAGGTCTGGAGGAATGCCACCCTTCGACATTGTTCTGATGGGCTGGTGCTGGAGTGCCAAATCCAAGATAACGCCACCTGATGACATGAAAAGCACCCCTGAGTTGTCACTTGGAAAAGGAACGCACTTGGGAGGAGGAGTTTGGTCGCAGAAAACGACGACTTGGTGGGCTGATTTTCGTGGAAAAGACAGCAAATGTTTTTTTTGGCTGTTGGCAAAAGGGGGAGGTGATGAGTAAGTTCTCTGGCATAGGTTGAAACCACCAACCAGCTCTAAACTCTCCGAAGTTTGTCCCGGAGGTCTTCGTTCAAGTGGAAAGGAACAACATCTAGCCAATTTGTTGCGCGCAGGTTTTGGTAAATACATGATTTTGCCAGAAACATCAAGTGCAGTGCTACCAGACTCTGCAATTGAAACTGGGTTTCTCCTTTCCAATCACTATGGCATGAAGCACCTCTTAGATTTCTGGAGAATGGAGGCCACCAGGCTTTATCACTGGACCACCATGGACCTAACTCCCAGTTTTTGGTCCCAAAAACTGTTCTGGTGGCCATCCGCAGATCCCCAAATTCTGAGGCGAATTGGATGGCCGGGCATGTGCATTCACGCCTACATCATGAGCATCCTGAGAGTTTGCTTCAGGTGAAATTTTCTTCGTCCCAAGTGGCAATCCCCCATGACTGGAGGTTTCCGTTTTGTCATGGGGAAACCCCTAAATCCTCCATCTTACTAGGATTGTCCAAAAACCATCAATGGGGAAACCCATGACTTGAGAAAAAATCCATCTTCCGAGGTGTTTACCTCGGAAGATGGGCCTTTTTTTGGGCCTTTTTTAGGCCGGCGCCCCGAATCCAAGGCATCCATGGCGCCCTGATGTTTGCCCAAGCCAATACGCCGATCCGCATCACCCCCGATGCCGTCATGGATGGATCGCATCACCATCTGAACCGCACGCGAACGCACATCAGCCGAGCAGGCGGTCAGTACACCGTGCCATGGCAGGGCGCACCGGCGCGAGGATGGATGGATAGATGGATGATGGATGGATAGATGATAGACAGACACATACTGTAAATGTACCTTCATAGAATGTTATATATAAATGAATAAATAAGATAAATAAATAAATAAATAAATAAATAAACATATAAATAAATAAATATCTATATAGATGGAATTCAATGAATCGACCGACACATCCTGGCGAAACACGAATCTGTATGTGGCAACGCTAGTATATAGCAATCAATAGGCCAAGGGTTCCGATTGCCTTCGACTCCATCAAACCACGTTCCGATCATGCACGCATATGAAACTTCATCACACAGATGATTGCGGGCACGGCATGATGTGATGCATGCCCATAAGGAATTGTGGGCCACCTAAGCAAACAGCAATAATTTCTTACCAAACTGAAGATGCGTTCATGCATTCCATTGGGAGATGCTGCAAGAAGCAACAGGGTGGCTCGGCAAACAGTTCTTTCTCAGGGTGTCCTGTTGATCCCTCAGTCTGCGACTGAGGGTTCCTACTGGTATACTGAACCGCGATTGTCCTGGCCACCTGGAAAATTTGGGGCTGCGGCGGGTGTGCTTTGATGGTTCAACGATTGGTTGTTTCGAATCGGAATATGATCCTAGTTGACACATGGATGTATCTTGGGGTTTTGGTTGAGACTTGGGCTGCCACGTTTGGGGGATACACATCGCTGGATTTGAAGCCCAACTATTTCCTCTACAGATCTGACTAGTAGCAATGGAACATTCCCAGTCTGTGTCCTGCGAAAGTGGAGAACTTACCCTTTGGTAAACTAACATAACTATGGAAAATCACAATTTTTAATGGGAAAATCAACTATAAAGGTACGTAATTTCCTGGCAACGAAGCAGCAGTCTTCTTTACGAACCCTGGCAACCCTCAGATCGGTTAATCTTTATGGGATCTCGAAAAAAGGGGCAGATCCCAAACTGATGGATTCCCGGAAACAATCACATGATGATACTTTCATATTTCTAGATTGTTGTGGATGGTGAATTACGTTTTTCCATTTTTAGATACAGTATTTTTGGATGTTTAAAAGAACGGTAAATCAAACATAGCTATGGAACATCGCCAATTTTTAAAAAGCGGTAAAGCATTTATTTTGCATTATTTTGCAAAACCTATTTTTCCATTTCTAGATTTCCATTCATGTTACTTCCTCCAGTTTCCGGATATGTTGGGATATTTTGGATATTTTCCCATTTCAAGTCTTCCTTATCATATTTTTTCCATATCTGTTTGGATATTCCATATTTTCCCATATCTATCTCTAGGTTAGTTCCGAAAATCTCTTGGCATTCGATCCCTTCACCCCCCCACTGAGGCAGGACGCAAACGCCGACCTACTGGGTGGTGGTGTGTGAAAAAGTGAACCGGGATTCCCGGCAGGGAAGTTTCGGGGGTGAAGATGGGGGATTGACTTGAAAAAATCATGGGATAGAATGGGATATTTTGTACATATATATATGGTCCCGTGTCCCGTGTTCCCACCCCCCCCCATGGGATGGGGGGGGGTATGATGCCCCTGTGGTGGTGTATATACATACATACATACCTACATACCTACCTACCTACCTACATACCTACGTACATACATACATACATACCATTACATTACCTTACCTTACATTACCTTACCTTACCTTACATTACCTTACCTTACATTCCATACATACATACATACATACATACATACTACCATACATACCATACATACGACATACATACATACATACATACATACATACATACATACATACATACATACATACATACATACATACATACATACCAACATACAACATACATACATACATACATACATACATACCAACATACACATACATACATACAACATACCAACATACCAACACCACAGGCCACAGGGGGGGGGGGACCAGAAGAACCATACCACCACCACAGGCCACAGGGCGGGGGGGGGACCAGAAGAACCATACCACCACCACAGGCCACAGGGGGGGGCCAGAAGAACCAGACGATACTGTCCACCCATACCCATTGGTGGGGGGGGGGGAGGGGGGGTGGCCAACGCTGCACCATATATATATATAATACAGATATTAATTGGATATTTCTACATGCATGCATATATATATATATACACACATATTATACATACATTTCTATATCGACGACCATATTATAACCCCACATATGATCTTTGGATCGGTTCGAACGTGGGGTATACCCCCAAATTTTGACGGCCATCTTCATGGGGAGAGCGTTTCCTTGGGGGGATGAATATCCTAATGAAATTTAGCTTTTGACCAAAGGGCCATGGCTCGAAGCCTCGGAATCAACGATGGGATCATTTGGGCCACGGCCAGAAGGTGAAGAAGGCAACGTGTGAAGATGTTTTTTTGTGAGATTTCAATTTGGAAGGTCCCTTGAAACATAGATCCTTCTGGTCCATATACATATAGATCCCATGATGCCACGTTTTCTTAATGCCACAACCGAAGCTGGATTGCTGGATCAACAGGCACATAGGACATAAACTTGGCCTGAAACATGAGTCGTTTAGGGCCTGATGATCCTGATGAGGTTCTTTCACGGCATTCTTCTCCGGATGACCCTTAGGCAATGGTCCTCTTTAACAAATGTCAAGCAATCAACACTCGATATGGTGATTCTACCCTGAAAGCATATTCACTAGTTCCCTCCGTTTCAGCCATTTGAATTTCAGTCAAGATGAGATTCATCTTCGATCTCGGATAGTGTCATCCCGGGATAAAAATAAAGCCTGGTAGGTATCCCGAACTTGGTAACCCCCGCCATCCATGGCGCGGCGTCCGACTGCGGCGTCTGCGCTGGATAGTCCGCCGTCAGAGCTGGTGGCGGAGTTGGAGGTGGGGACTGGATGGAGTTTGAACAACAATAACTGGCTTGAAAATGGTATGCACCCGGTTATTTTTTTTTGGTATGGAACCACCATTTTTTTAAATGTTTTTTTTTTTTTGTATGGAACACCAATTTCTGTGGTTTGGAAGATACCATGGCCATGAATATCGGTTCCATGTTCAGTTTAAGGGGTGTAGATATGAAAGATGAAATACACAGAAAAACCCAAAGAGATTGACCAAGTCAATTTATCACTGCTGGGATTCATAACCAGCAATACAATTTTTCTATCTGAAACTAGAGCATACCTCAACTCATGGCCATTTCAATGGGTAAACTGATAGCATCAAGCATCAAGTGTAGTTTTTTCTTTTCCAAAAAAAACTACTTGAGAAGATCCTGAAATATCATGTGCTTTCTTTCCCCTTGATATTTGGTGAGTCCACAATTTGGCAACACATTTCTGGGTTCGTGTTGGGGTACGATTTATGGTACCAATGATTTACAACTGTTGACACCCAGTACTTGGACGACCCTTCACCTTTATGACAAGGGAGTGCAGAATCCAAGTGCTGGCCATTTGTCAAGTGGTGTGTGAAAATGACCCCCCAGAAGGCTATCTAGAGAAAATTGTGCATTTTTCCGTGGATTCGGGGCTTTTCCCAAGATTTTCAGGTATCAAAGCCATGTAATGTGGGTAAAACAATGCCATAAACCACCCATGACAATTGGGAATGGTAACCTATAAAAATGGTGATGACTGGGGGATGGTTTAAGACATCGTTTTACCCACAAACCTACATAGGATGGCTGGACTCCCATGCCGCAGAGGATTCCTCGGTGGAGTATGAGCCGTGGGCCATTCCGAGCTGGTCAAGACTGAGGTGCGCCTTCAGGGCCCGCCCCCACAACGATAGCCGGATAGCCGGTTCGCTCCTGATGAGTGTGGTTCGTGGTGGTTACCCTCTGAGAATTGAACATAACTCTGGAACATCACCATTATTAGTAGGTAAACTCATTATAAATGGAGCATTTTCCATAGCTATGTGAAATTAAGATTCGATCTTAAGCTCTTAGACTCTTAGCAATTCTGGTTGTCTCCCTACCTCTGCTTTAAACACCAATGGATTGGATGGGAATTTCCATCGATTCCGATCAAGACTTCCAAGGTTAGGGACCAACGCTAAGTGGTTGGCTATCGGCTATCTTCAATTTTGATGATTGGCGTTACATTTTAAAATCGTCAACGCTCCATTTGATTGGTCAAATCTCAGCCAGTGCACTAGAAACGACTCATGGCGAGTTTTCCAAATCACATCCCCGTGCTTTTGTTGATCAACCCCTCATTAAACCAGACTAAAACCATACAAAAGCCCAGTGTTGTTGGCCAATCCCCCCACTTTCTTGCTGCTTATTTCGGTGAAATCGCCGTTTCTTTTTAATCACGGCCTTATGCTGCTTCAGCGTGGGTCCGCGCTCCGCGCCAGGCCCGAAACACCCAGTGCACCAAGTGCCTTGGATTTGCTGATGATTTGGCTGATTTTTCCCAATGGGAAATCCACGTTTGGACAGGGGAATCTACAGGGCATCTATTTTTATTGGGATTCTGTAGCGACTCCAAGAAATGGGGATATCAAGAGGATATCAAGAGGATATCAAGGGGATATCATATGATATGTGGCAGTGTCTGAAAATTTTAGGATTTACCCATCACTTTGCCGTTTATTGAAAAACATGATGATGGAGCATGAGATTTTGAGGTATTACACCCTATCTTGAGACAAAACCATATCAGTTGGGACCAACAATCATTGGGATATGGGAACAGATTTTGAAATCTGGTTATGGGAATGGATTTGAACTAGTATTGGGATATGGGAATGGATTTCGATTTACCCTCTGGTAAAGGTTTACATCACGAACAGGAAAATCACCATTTTTGACACGTAGATCAACGATTTCTAAATGGCAATTTTCAATAGCCAACTGTGAAATTTCTCGAAGATCACCATTTTTCATAGGTAAATCAACATAAATCAACTATAAATTGCCATGATTCAAAGCTATATGAAATTCCCGGAGGATAATCCACCTTTCAACTTAGTTTTGGGATTCGGGATTCATAGTGATTCATAGCTCTCCCGTTGGATCGTTGGATGTTGACAACTTCGAAAAGCTAGCTGTTCGACTTGGATCGTTGGTGACTCGGTGGCTCATCCCACGTAGTAAGTAGGCTATAAGATGTTATAAGATGTTATACCCTCTGGTAATTTAACATAGCTATTGAACATGGCCATAGAAATAGTGGATTTTCCCATCAAAAATGGTGATTTTCAATAGCAATGTTAAATTACCAGAGGGTAACCCAATGGAAGTTATAAATGAATTACATAACATTATACAAGCCTACTTCTCCCACTGAAAAAAACACGAGAATTGGTTTCCTGTTGACTTTGATGGCACAATTTCCGCCAGGTACGAGCATTCGGAATTGGGTCTACCAGAACGAAGAAGACAGGCACCCTGCGCCGGGCTGGTGTCTCACTGCGCGCTGGAAGAGTGATTTGGGATAGCCTCTGGTAATTTGTTACATAGCGAACTGGAAAATCACCATTTTTAATACGTAAATTATGTAGAAATGGGTCATGGCTTCCATACCTATGTTAAATCTATTGGTCAAAACCCTGGCACCTTCTGTTCACCCAAGTCATAGCTGGGATTTATGGATGTTCATCCCATTAGAATTGATAAATTTTAGGTTTCAAAAGTTTTGACCCACCCCCATATAGCTAACCTATAGCTAACCCATAAATGGACCATGTTCAATAACTATGTGGGTATGGGTCAATACCTATAGATACATTTTTAGTGGGATGAACATCCATAAATCCCAGCTATGAATTGGGGTTCACTAGGTACCAGGGTTTTGACCCATAGTGCTGTGGCCCAAGTCTTTCCAGAAGTAGCACTGTAACATCGGACCCTTGGGCTGATTTCGCTTGCCATGGTTGACTTACAACTGGATCCTGTTCCACATGTTGGGAAAACCTACACTGGTTTACTACAAGTTGCAGTTTTCGATGAGAAACAAGTCTGCCATTTGGTTAGGACATCAATCAAAGGTACTCACATGAGGTTTCGAGGTGCAATCCCAGTGGGCACAATGGCCATTTTGGTCGTCAAAGCACAGGTTCCAGCAGATCGAACCCTGCAATCAGATGATGAGACTCAGGTTTTTGCCAAACAGTGCATAGCAGCCAGAGATGTGAAAACAGTAATTGAGACGTGCTCGGGCATCGGATGCCTGGGGGTAGGCCTTGAGGAGGCAGGTTTCGAGGTGATTGCAAGAAGTGACTGGAATCCCATCCTTCTAGGTCTTGCTCAGAAACTGCATTCGTCCGACACCCTGCTTGGTGATGTGTGTACAGATGCTTTGCTTTCCGATATTGCCAGTAGATACCCCTCGGCCAGAACCTTAGCTGCCGGAATCAGCTGTCAACCGTACAGCAGACTGGGAGACCGACGTCACCAAGATGACCCACGGTCACAAACACTACCAGCTGTGTTGCGTTTGGGGTTCATGAATCAATTCGGCGTGATAATTCTAGAATGTGTGCCGGAGGCTCACACTTGCCCATGGGTACAACAGATGTTGAAGCAGTTTACCAAAGAGACTGGGTATTGCATGAGTCAAGAAATCCTCCACCTACAGCAGGTTTGGCCTGGGCGGCGCAGTCGTTGGTGGTGTGTGGTCACCCACCCATCCTTGGGTACAGTTCAGTTGCGACCATTGCCTGTAGTCCAACCGAAACCAATGGTTGCCAACGTGTTGCAACAATTTCAACATTGTGATCCGGACATGTTGGCTCAGCTGCAACTGGATTTATATGAGTTGGGAAAATTTGCACACTTCGGTTTTGATACCAACATGGTGAAATGGAGGGGGCAAATGGCGACCAGTCTTCATAGTTGTGGAAACCAACTGATGGCTTGTCCATGTGGTTGCAGACGATTTCCATTTACTGAACAACGGTTGAATTCAGGGGGTCTTCATGGTTTGCTCATTCGTTTGTTGGGGGAATCAAAGTGTGGCACCAATGTTTATCCCAATTTCCGGCATATTTCACCTGATGAGCTTGCCCTGCTGAATGGAATGTACCCTGGATGTGACTGGGGAGCACAAAGCAGGCTTGCCTTGTGTGCGTTGGGGCAACTTGCTTCCCCACTTCAATCGGCCTGGATTGGAGCATTCGTCATGTGCCATTTTCACGAACGCTTGGGCTTGAGTCAGCCTTCACAGCCTGAAGTTGTGTTGTTGCGGCTCATGGGTCAACTGCTCAAAGCAAGAGATGAGACGTTTGGAGACCAGACATCAAGTGATTGCCAACAATTCCAGACCATGATCAAAGACATGAAGTTTTCAATGGATGGGAAATCATGGGGCGTTCATGTCAACTCCAATGCCATTCATGCCGAAGCATCCCCATGCCCTGGCCAGGTTGAACATGAAGATGAACAGCATGACCAACAAGGACTGGAGCATGTCGCAGGAGATCAGCAGATCAAACCATGTGCCAAAGACACATCGCAGGGAATCGTGGCTGACACACCAGTGCCAGTTGCAACCCGACCTGAGCCAGCGCCTGAGTTTGCCCAACATTTCAAGCCTGCTGAAGAACACAAGCCGCTGATGATGCCGAACGATTGCACCCGGGCTACATCAGGTGGTCCAATCGTAGCAGATGGTCGGTCCAGTTTCGTCGGTGTCCAGGCGGGGTGGTACAAACCACAAACATCCGAAGGTCTGTCCAAGTCCAAGTCCCAGTGTCCTGACCTCCATGTCGGTATGCCAGGTTTATCGGATGGTACCAATGTTGGGAGACCCAATCTCCCTCACACAGGTTCAACACCAGATTTGAATGTCACTGAGCAGGCTGGGATTTTCGAGTCAGGCGCATCGATGCCTTTCCGACCAACTGACCAAGGTCTGCCGATTGTCCATCGTCCTGTCGTCCATGGTCTGTCGGAGCAGCCCAAGCCATGTCCCGAAGAACACAAGCTGCCCATGCTGCCGAAAGATTGCACCCGAGATGCGTCATTAAGTCCAAACATAGGAGATGGCCGGTCCAGTCACGTCGGTGTCCAGGCGGGGTGGTGCCAACCACAAACATCCGAGAGTTTGTCCAAGGTCGAGTCTGAGTTTCGTGAAATCCATGTCGGTCAGCCAGGTTTGACAGGTGGCCCAAATGTAGGGAGACCAAGTACCCCTACCACAGGTCCAACACCAACTATGATGATCACCAAGAAAGCTGACAATTTCGAGTCAGGTGCATTGACCTTTGTCCAATCAACTGAACAATGTCCTATTGTCCATTGTCCGGTCGCTCATGGTCCGTCAATGCAGTCCAAGCCATGCAACAACCACCCACCCCAGGGAGTTACTGCGTGCACACCTGTGCCTGAAACAAATCAACCTGACCCAGCTGAAAAGGTTGCCCAGCCTCCGATTCCAACCGGAGAACACCAGCCGCCGAAGATGCCACACTGGTGCAATCAAGGTGTGCCGGTAGGTCCAATCACAACAGATGACCGGTCCGGTTTCGTCGGTGTCCAGGCGGGGTGGTATCAACCACAAACATCCGAGGTTTTGTCCATGGTCCAGTCCGAGGGTTGTGAGTTTCATGCTGGTCAATCGGACACGTCAGGCGGTATTAAGGTTGGGATACCAAATGTCCCTCCTTCAGATCATGCACCAAAGCAGACCGCCACTGAGAAGGGTGGGAAGATTGAGTCAAATGCATTGATGCCTGTCCGGTCCACCAGCCAAAGTTTGCCCATTGCCCAGTGTCCTGTCGCTCATGGTCTGTCCAATGTCCAGGCGGGGTGGAATCCTCCACAAACAACCGTATGTCCAGACGTTTTTGCCCAGAGTGTGTCGTCGATTCAGTATGGGAAGGATCAAGGTGTCCAGTCAACTGAGGGAAAAGGAGCTTATCAGCGTCAATGCCAAGCAGCACACGTGGAGTGCCTTGACCATTTGCAACTGCATTGCCAAGTGCCAGTCGTCAAACCCTCAGAGCATGCCGTACCAGCCCATGTTCAATCGGAATCGAAACCACCGTGTACAGCCATTGGTCCTGATGCCTCTGCCCAGTCAGAGTTGTTAGTCCAGTCAATGGTTGGTCGTCCTGCTCAGTCGCATGTAATTCAGTCTCCCTCCCATGAAGCTTTCACAAAAGTCCAGGAATGCCAGTCATATGAGAATAGACCAACCATCATGCCAGTTGGGGTTGCCAATGCGAGCAATTCTAATGCAGATCGCCGAATGCCCACGGAGACAGCCATTGGACATGTGGCCAGCAATGCAATCGACAGGACATGCCCAGGGTGGTTGTTGCCAATGCCAAACAAGCCATGGCCCACCAAAGAAAAGTGTCACATGCCTCTCACTCCATGCCAACCTCATCAAGCTTTGACTCATGTGGACCAGAGAGTGATGCCGCCAGGAAAAGAAGCTTGTGGCCATTTGAGCCAGGTTTTCAAGCAAGCCGCAGTTCCAGAAGCTGCAACATGCCAATTTCCAACTGCAGTTTGTCCAAGCCTTGAGTTCGCCAAACCAGGATCAGCAGTCCCTACGTGTCTTCGCACAGGTAAACAGCAGACCCCACAGATTGAAGCACACATCGGTACAGCTACACCACAACCATCACAACCACCAACACCTGTAACACAACCAGCCAACAAACATGCATCTCACCTCAATGATGATGATAGCAATGACAAAAACTTGCCACACATTGGCCAACCAGATGATTGCAACAGACAACCACATCATGCCACCCAAGTTGCACCAAGTCCGGAACTTGACATCACAGACACCCAAAAAGAGCTTGCCAAGGTCGAAGAATTGCTGGAAGATGAAGCTTTCGAGCCAATGCCAAACCATGGAGGAGTGATGGGCTTCGAGGCCACCAAGAGACGTAAAATCCATCACACTCCAGCTAACGGCGAGGGGCACACTACTGCCAATACCATCCGAGCAAGTGGAGGCAAATCTTGCCCTGCAGAGCCTGCCCACAAGAGAAGTCCATTGCCAGTACGACAGTTGACTGGTGTCACCGCCGATGGGGGTTCACTTTGTGGAACACCACCGTTTGGCGCTGCCCCAGTCTCTATGAGCGATAGACATCCAGGTGTTGCCACAAACTCAGCCCGACAGACACACCAAAGCCCAGATCAAGCAACATCAGCAGCTGGTAACCCACCTGCAGGCAGTCTTCCGCATGCAGACCCTGGCCAACAGGAGCACACCAAGACAGTGTGGATCATGCAGGAAGATTCCAGGATTCCACTCGAAATCCGTGTCAATGCAGAAGTCACGCCAGGCCAGATCACACAAGCGGAAGCCAAGCTAGGTAGCATGGTCCAACCAATCTTTCCGAGATCATGGGTCGACTCACCACTGGCTTTATATGAACCTGTGCCTGCAAAGCAGTTCATCCATTTACATCAACATGCCAAGCAGACCAAATGCCCGTTGCTGACGGGGGGCAGTACCATGCCGAATTTGGCCTTCCCCTGCACCAGAATCGGTGCCCTGTGGCAGCAGGGACCGTGGGTAGCTCAAGATGAAATGGACTACTACCTGTCAGCTGCCGAAGTCGGAGGAAACATCTCTGCATTCTCCCCAACAGTTTTCCACCATGAAGCCGCAGCCGATGAAGAAGCTGGGGTCTGGTTGTGTCACCCGATCCAGTATGCCAATGAAAACCACACCTTTGTCTCTGCAGCCATTGTTGCCAATCATTGGGTACCCATAGTGATCCAGGCTAAGAACAATGTCGTCCAGCTCACCACCACGCCAGAAGGTAGCTGTTACATCCGTGCGGCTACAGAAATTGCCAATGACATGGGCAAAACATTGGAAGTAATCCAAAAAGTCCTTCCACAAAATTTCCATGCTGACTGTGGATTTCAATCATTTGCATGGGTCGTAGCCATTGCGATGCAACAGCCACCGGTAGCTATCAGCCCAAGTCAAGCAGAAGGGTGGAGACACCTCTTTGCTCAACATTTGCTGCACATTGACCAGCACTTGCAGACCATCGAAGGACTAGCTGTGGGCGGGATGAAACATGACACTGATGTGCACAAGCGCCTCACTCAGTTGCTTAAGGAACATGGGGTTTGGGCAGAACGTGCCGATGAAAGAGCAGCCAGCATCATGGAACGTGTCCCCCAGGACAACATCCGCAGTGTCCTTGCAGCCAAGAAACCATGGGCAGATCTCAAGCAAGCAGCTAACCAAGCACGGCCACCTGTCAAATTGATCATGCAAGATGAGCTTGAAGCACAGATTGCAGCTAGAGCACAACATCGAAATCAATTTGGCCGGAAACCAGCCAAAGCACCTCAGAGACCACCTGACCAAGGTAAATCGCCTCCAAATGTCAGTGCTGTTGAACTCTCAGTCCCAGTAGGTGTCTTCAAGCAGCAAGATGGAAAAGTACTCGGACCATTGCAAGCAGCACAAGTGCAGCCAAATGCAGAAGGGGTTGTCCTAGTCGATCAGGCTGATGCGGCAGCAGTTCTCAAATTGCCCACGCCAGTGACGCAAAAAGGGCTTGCAGTACTAGTTTTGGCCACGAAGGACAATGCAAGCATGCACGAAGGAGATCCGACTCGTTTCCCTGCCATGTGCAATCAGACTCAAGAACCGATCATTGCATCCGGTTATTTATACCAATTGGGATCTCAGGCAGTCCAGCGACATGAACCAGCCACCAAACTAGCAGTTGATGAAAGCACCACAGAAGCAGTCAGATGCATCGTTTTTCGAGATCAAGCTGGTGCCATATGGGATGAACTCCTATCACACCCAGTCAAGACAATTTTCACGAATGAACCACTGTTGCAGCCTGTCAGCCAAGGTGAATCGCCAGTGATCGATGTTTGGGACCGGCAGTGGGTGACCAAACGATATGAGAAAGTCAAACCAATCAATGCTGACATGTTTGTCTTCCTCTTTCGCATGATTGCTGACAATGCCAATGAGCTCATTTCCAAAAGCGGCCATGGAGGGGTATACTTCGAGCCAAGATCATCCTGCGGTAGATACCCTAGCAGCACCCACCATGTGACCTGGTTGCCAAACCTTTCCTATCAGGAAGCAAAATATGCCCAACAGACATCGCCGCAGGTCACCACCTTGGTCCGGAACTCCAACCGATATGGACTGCGCAGTGATGCCATGAATGCCCAGGAGATTCACATGAAACACAGACCAGAGACCCCTTTGCTCCTTGGACAAAACAAGATGCTTTACTCCCTGGGACCCTTGCCGTATAGCACAACCAAGTCAGCGGTCAGCAAGTTGCTCCAAGCCTGGCAGTGGGAAGCCCGCCCTCTGCAACCAAGGGGACGCAGTCTTGACGGCAATGGAGTTCAATGGACTATCCAAGCGACCAGCGATCCGAGCCATTGGATCTACGTCCTTCAACATGGGGATGTCTTGATCAGCAAGCTGCATGAAGACAAGCAAGCCGAGCCAGCAGTCCCGTACTCCATTGTTGCATCCAAGCGTACCCTGCAGCATCTCCAAAGCACAGGAGAACAAATTGACCCATGGATTGCCAATGATCCCTGGAACCCATCAAACAAATCCAAGCAGCATGTGCAGCCCAATTCCCAGCCGGCAGGCCTGTCGGCCAATATGCTAGCGGCCATGGAAACCAATGTTGAACGGAAAATCATGTCTGCACTTGCGCCCAAGTTAGCATCCACAGACTCTGACGTGCCAATGGAGGTTGATGCCATCGATGCCAGGGTCACAAGACTTGAGCAACAGCTCAGCCAAGTACATGCCAATCAAACCGGAATGGAAGCCAAGATGTGCCAATTGGATCAGTCAGTCCAGCAAGTCCAGACCTCACAGATCGGAGTTGAAGCCAGCATGAGTCAAATGCAACTGCAGCTTGACCAGCAGAGCCAACACATCACCCATGCGCTGGACAGGAAGATGAGTGAACAAATGGATAAAATAGAAGCCCTGCTGTGCAAGCGGGGCAGACATGAATGACTATCCAAAGGAGTAGGAAAAGCCACAGTTAATTACGACCTAGATGCCTTTTGCTGCCGACCGGCCCAAAAGCTCAGGCCTAGATCGTCTGCATGTAGATATCCACCAGTGCGAACACAGGTGGTCACGAGAGCGTTCCGAGCATTTTGCCGTTTGTTCACAGTTTTTGCTATCACCTTCAGGCTTGGGGAAGCCGCAGTGCCAGGTCCACATGTTTTTGCAAATGCCAACACCACCGGGCTGATGGGAAAAGGAGCCACTCTTGCTGCACTGACTCAGCACAGTGCCACCTATGCGGTGCAAGAAACGCACCTTACTGCCCAGGGTATGGGTCGTTTCAAAAAGGAGTTGACTTGGCAGAAAACCAATCTCAATATGACACATGGGGCACCAGCCCCACCCAAAAATCAGTCCCAGAAAACACTGGGTGGAAAGCACACAGGAGTGGCCTTTGTGAGCCACTACCCACTCCGAAATCTCGTTCATCACTGGTCAGATGAAGATTACTCCACAGGTAGATGCCTGGCAACAGCAGCCTACATCAATCAAAGATGGGTAACGATGGGAACAGTGTATGGTTTCAGCGAAGGAGCACATTCGGTGGAAGTCCAGCAGCACACAGACAAACTCCTCCAAGGGCTCACTTCTAGAGTAGTGCATGGAGCCACAGACTTGCGTATGGTCTCAGGTGACTGGAATTTGGAAAGGGGTAATATTCCCCAGGCTGACCAGTGGGAAGCGCATGGATGGTTAGAAGCCCAGCAGTTAGCTTACCTCAAATGGCAAAAACCCTACCAATGTACTTGCAAGAAAAGTACCATCAAGGATTATCTTTATCTCAGCCCTGAAATGATCCCTTTTGTCACGGATGTTCAACTGAATTGGACAACATTTCCCGACCATGCGGTCATTTTGGTCACGCTGAGCGACATTGATAGACCCCCAATTGTCCCTATGTGGAGGAAACCTAAACCCATCCAATGGCCAAACAACACAAACCAATGGCCAACTTGGGAGTGTCAAGTTACCCCCATGGAAAACATGGACGATTGGTATCAATCCTTGTGGAATGATGTTGAAGACTATGCCGACCAGGTTCGTACCCTTGCCAGCCAGCCAAAACTGCAGTCCCATCAAAGAGGCCGTGCAGCCACCAAAGAGGTCACGTGGTCAAATAACCAGGTTGCTCCAGTCAAGCCCAACCGACGAGGAGACATCCAATCTGAACTGGCCTGTTCCAACATGATGCACACGAGATGGACCAAGCAAGTTCGAAGACTTCAGCATTACAGCCGCATCACTAGCACAGAGGCCTTTTCAGTCAACGTCATGGAGCACAAAGCCAATCTTTGGCGCAAGATCCGTATGTCCCCAGGCTTCCCGGAAAGCTTTGGGGAATGGTGGCAGCAGCAAATGCATGCATTCCCACACACACACCTGCAGTCCTACCCATCGAACCACCCGACTCAGAAACAGCTAGCCATATTTTTATGGAGTTTTCAAGGCACTACCGTGAACTGGAACACAGCCTACGCAAGGCAAGACATGATTTTGCCAAGCAGCGCAGAATCCATGATCCGATGTTGATCTACAAAGATGTTCAAAGAGAACGAGCTGAAGCAGTCCAATCGCTTGTTCAGTGTACCGTCATCCCCGTTTCACATGTCAACCACCTCGAAGAAGGGGTTGCCCAGGTGGTGCTTCAGGATCCACTCCCTGAAGGTACCTCAACTGTTGATGTCAACAAAATCCCAGTCCAAATCCAAGTTCAAGATAAGCATCATATAAGCATGCCATCAGAAGCTGCAGCCGAGCTAGGCCATCAAGTACATGTCAAGCAGTTGGTAGGAGACATACCCTCCATTTTGGATGCATTCGAAGCCGAATGGGCACCCAGGTGGAAAAAGCATGACGAAGTGCCCAGCGAAGAATGGCGTGCGGCTCGAGATCTCCTCAAATCAGCTTTGCCCAAAAACAGTGTCGCTTTTCCCCCAATCACCCCTAACTTGTGGAGAAAAGTAGTGAAATCCAAGCGAAAAGGAGCAGCAGTGGGTCCTGATGGGGTCTCCAAACAAGATCTCATCAATATGCCAGACTCAACATTGGCACAACTCATCCGGATGATCAATCATGTTGAAAATGGCGGGCCGTGGCCCACACAAATCACCACCGGGATAGTTGCAGCATTGGCCAAAACACCGGAGGCAGAGGCCACCAAACACTACAGGCCAATTTGCATTTTTTCCATGGTGTATAGAACATGGTCCTCAATCAGAGCCCGCCAGTGTCTTGATTACTTGAAACTTTTGGTTCCCCATTCATTGATAGGCAATATCCCTGGTAGATCCCCAAAACAAGTTTGGTTTCATATCCAGCAGTGCATCGAACACGCTTATGGAAGCTCTGACGAAATTGCAGGTTCTACCATCGACTTGGTCAAGTGTTTTAACACACTTCCGCGTGATGTACTTCAGGACATTGCCTCCCATTTGGGCATTCCAGATGATGTTATCAAACCATGGTCGCAAGCACTCAAACAAATGACCAGGCGGTTTCAGGTCAGAGGATCCACTGGAAGAGTGATCACATCTTCCACCGGATATCCAGAAGGGTGTGGTCTTAGCGTAGTCAGCATGGTCATTTGTAACCTTGCCCTTGAAGTTTACATGTACCATCGCTATCCCAAGGTCCAGATTTGGTCTTTTGTTGATGACATTCAAGCACTTGCAAACTCGGCCCAAGAAGCTTTAGAAGCCACCCAGTGCATGGTTGAATTTTGCCAGATGCTTGACTTACAAATCGATCCCGGAAAAAGCTATGCCTGGGCCAACACACCTGGTGGGCGAAAGCTCATTCTTGACTCTGGTACAAATCGAAAATTTTACAGCCGAGGTTTGGGAGGCCACATGAACTATACCAGACTAAGCACCAATTGCACGGTGCAGGACAAAATTAGCTCATGTAGTCCCTTTTGGTCAAAACTTGCCAGGTCGTGTGCACCGACTGCGCAAAAAGAACGGGCGCTTTACGTTGCAGCTTGGCCCAACATGTTTTATGGTATCAGCACTATCACCTTAGGCAAAAACCATTTCCAAAAATTACGAACCCAAGCCACCAAGGCATTGAATCTGCATCAGATGGGAGCCAACCCGATGCTTCAGCTATCCTGCGTCAGCCATCCGTGCACAGACCCTGAACTATTTTGTGTTTTGAACACTATTTTGTCTTTTCGAGACTTTTGTACCCTTGATATGGCCCAGTTTACCCTTAGCCTCATCATGGATAAAGGCCGAACCACCCCCGGTCCATGCAAAAGTTTTCTGACAGCTCTCCAAACCCTGGCTTGGAGCTGGGTACGGGGGGATTTGTGTCATGACCAAGATGGTTTGCCTGTCAGGTTCATGCAGTGCCCGCGCAGTGAGCTCAGTGAAAGAGTGATTGCAGCTTGGCAACAGAGAGTTCAAGGGTTAACAGAAGATGATAGGACCACCATGGTAGGCCTCTCGAATGCAGATGTTAGACTCACCAAAGAACTTTACAAGACACAACCAATCGAGCACCAGGGTCTCCTGCGATGCGCTTTGAACGGCACGCAGTACACAAATGACGCCTTGTTCCATGCGGGCAAGACCACAGATGATCGATGCCGTTTTTGCGGAAAGGCAGACAGCCTTTTTCATCGCCATGTCGAATGCAGCTTTTTCCAGGATATCCGACAGCAGCATATCAACCCAGAGCATTTTCCAGACATGCCAGCCTGCACTTGGTGTCACGGATGGATTCCCCAAGCCGCACACAAGCAAGCCTTCCGTAAAGCACTGCTCAACATGCCAGATACCACAGGTGAATTTTTCCATCCGCCCGAAGTAGATGATTCAATCCAGACGCTTGACCTTTTCCTAGATGGAAGTTGCAAGAGACCACACGATCCTCACACAAGGATTGCTAGTTGGGGTGTAGTTCAATGGACAGGCAAGCTATTTTGGAGCACCTCATCCGGAGGGCTACCAGGATGGAAGCAGACTAGCCTGAGAGCAGGGATCACAGCAGCAGTTTCAGCCCTCAAGTACCTTGCCGCTGTCGGCCGACAGGGCAGGCTATGGATTGATAATCAACAAGTTTTTGACATGCTCAGCAACTGGCACCAAGGATTTGACCCGCCAGTCCATAAGAAACAGGATGCAGATTTGTGGTGGTTGCTCCGCGACCAATTCAGATTTTCACATCAGTTTCTTGCAGCGATCCACAAAGTGCAAGCACATGCTGACAAAGACAGCCAGCCCACAGAGGTAGACCAATTTGCTGTTTGGGGAAACGAGATGGCAGACAAAAGCGCAAATGATGCATATCAGAATTTTCCACCTCGTCTGCAACAGATTGTAGATAGTTTGGTAACCGAACTTGCACAACTCCGAGCCTTTGGAAAAGCATGGCACAGTGTCATTGTTGCCATAGGACAAAGAGTTTTATCCACCACAATGCCAACCATCGAAGCACCACCACCAGAAGGGATGACCAGTGCTTTTGCCACTGAAATTGATGCCAACCTTGCGTACGTGGCCGGGCTCTCCAGCGTAGACCTGCCCAAAAAGTTCCAAATTGAAGAGCTCCCACATGTCTTGGAATGGATGCAAACACTTGTATCCTCAGCGCCTGTAGTTTGGTTCACTTTTCATCAACTGATGATAGACTATCAGCTGCACACGAAGAGATGGGGACCAGCTAGCACAGGCCCTAAATGGATTTGCCCCGATAAAACCAAGCCATATAGTTACAAGAAACATGTGCAGTGGTTTTCTCGATTCCTGAAAGGCCTTGGCAGCGCTACAGGCCATCACCTTGACATTCAACAGCGACGGCCCAGTAGTCACGTACTGGCGTTCTGGTGCGGAGCCCTTCGAGTTTCTTTACCGGAGGAGCGATTGCAAACGATCGACTCCTTTTACAAGGCCCACATCGTGCACATGCCGGCCCGACAGATCGAACGTGACCTTGGTTTGATTCCACCAGGTGGGGACTAACAGTTTTGGTGTCACGAGGTCGAGCACCTGTCTCCGACTTCTGAGCAGGAGCTTCTGCCAAAAGAGAGAAAAAAGAGAGAGGGTTTTGACCCATCCCCATGTTCAATCACCAGAGGGTAGCCATGTTCTGCCCAGCACTTTGACCGACAACACATGCCCCAGGCATGATGATGACACCGATGAGGCGGCCCGGCCAGGGGGGGAAAGGATGACTCAACTGTCATATCCATTGGTTATGATATTCCATTGTATATATCCATATGGGTATGGGTCAAAATTAGGTACCCCAATAATTGGATGGTTAATACTAAACTATACTAACATCTGTGGTCCCCTAGGTCTTCCATTTTGACCCACATCCATATATATATATATCCCATAGTACGATGATGTATAAGATTATATACCCTCTGGTAAACGTTTACATAACTATGGAAAGATCCACCATTTTGAATGGGTAAATCAACTATCAATGGCCATTTTCAATAGCTTTTTGTTTGTTTACCAGAGGGTAACCTCTCATTTTCGGGTCGCCCATTTTGATCCGTTGTCATGTCCCCCAGGAGCCAAAGCCGGCTCTTGATCGCGCCCAGATCATGCTGAAGGCTCCGAAGTGTCCATCTTAAAACACAAGTTTTTCATGTCCGGAAAGGGTCACAAAAAATCCGTAGGCATATTAGGACTGACCTCTTTTTAAACTATTTTTGAGGGATCACCCGCCTGTCATTGTCGCCTCACCAATATCCGTTGGAGATTGCCTGCCGACTCGCATCCGATTGGGATGCACTCCTCCCCTCATTTGAATTGGTCAAAGTGAACGTTTCCATTGGAAAACACGACTTTTCAAAAAATAGGACAGATCCCTGCAATGATGAAATGCGAACCTAAGACGCTACATCGTGAACAGTGAATTCTTCCATTTCGATTGGTCAAATCCGAAAAAATCGATCAGTCAAATCCGAATTTTCTTTTAAATTGGATGAAACCTCGATTTTTCATAGGAAAATCACCATAAGTACAACAATCAGTTGGATGAAGTCCAAACTGTCCTAGGTGAAATCTCTCTTTTTGAAGCGTTTGTTGCTCCGTCCTGCAGGTTCTGACCTCCCTTCAAGACCAGCAGCGTTCTGCGCGGGTGAAACCGGGCGCAACACACGACTGGCGACAGAAGCAACTGGCAGATCGACAGGAGAAGTTGAGGAGACGGCAGTTGGGGCTTGGGAGTGGGATACTATGGGATATATTTATTTGATCAACAATAATGAGGACACACACACACAATGATATATATATATATATAAATGTAATGAAATAGAATTCTGATATGATGGCATAATTCATGAAGAACAACATTGCGGACGAAACAAGGTCCCAAACTTATTGGATTCCTCACCAGAGATGCTTCAGGTACCCGCCAATCAGCAAACTGATGCGTTTGAGTCATGGTATCCCATCGAAATTACGAAAGATTGTTGCTGAAAGGGCAACTTTTAAGTTGGTGATATATGTCATCTACCCATTTGTAGAGGGGGTGTAGTGCTGGCCATGATCACAGATGTTCATCCACTTGCAACCTATGGTATGTTAGAAGAAGTTTAGGGGGAAACCTACAGGATCCCCGGAGCAATGGATGGTCAAACCGTTGTTTCCACCAGATTTTGCTTGAAACATGATAAACATGTAGCCAGTGACAGCCAGTGGCCATAGATTTCTGGCAATCCGGTCTTAGAAATTTCCTCACATACAAAAGGGAATTCCTATCCAGCAAATGGGAAATGGTTGATCCAAGCCCAGAAAGATTGGCCGAAAAAAATGGCCAGGGACCCATCTGGAGGTGCCCCTCCAGGACCTCTCGATGTCTGGGCCCGACCCTGAAGAACCAACGCCAGCACGGCCGCGCGGTACCTTTGGCCGTGCGTGCAGGTGATGCTGGGACCATGGGTGGAATTTTCGAAGAATCAGCCTACCATTTGGGGATGGTTGATACCGCGTGATATCACGAATTTATGGTGGGGATGGTTTATTGATGTTTATTGTTGGCTTTTCCACATTGGGGAGTTTTCCATTGTCATGGGATGTTCAATTGAGGCTATGATGTGATACATACACTGTAATCTTCAATCAGCCCCAGACGGGCCAAACGTTTTCACAGATGATCTCAGGTTTTGACAACAGGCCCATCAAGTTTTCGGGCCGCAGGTGTTGTAGCAGTGCTGCGGCAGCTTTTTCCACACCGTTTTGAAGATGATGAAGTTCAAGTTCAGGTGGGGTCTGAATTCCATTTTTTGACTCCCCAAATTGGATGGGGCACGGCCCGTTACAGCTAAATTCGAACCATGCAGCCATAGGAAAAGCTCGAAATGACAATGGTCACCAAGGTCTTCTGGTACCACTCCCACAATAATCAGGGCGGGTTGAGCTCTTGGTTTGCTATGGGTGAGCTTCTTATGAACTTCAAACAAAAAAGGCATCAGCCGAATTTTTGAAGAACGCACCTGAAGATGTCGGTCAAACTGTCCTTTGGGATGCATGAGCCCAACTAACGCAAGGGGGGGAATCGCTGATAGGTGTCACCAACCTCAACCAGCGTCATGTCTGCACTATATCACTATATATATATCTCCATATATTGTGGGCTTTCATCACCGCTTTTTGTTGTTTGGCATGCCTATTTTCTCGCTGGCTAAAAGGCAGATTCTCCGTGTATATATATATATACATATTATACATATCTATATGTCTATATGTCTACTGTATATTAATATATATGATATGTATATACACATAGACATATAATGACATATGTATATATATATATATGTATGTATGTATGTATTGTCCATATATCATCCCCATCTTAAGACCTCCATGTTTTTGGGTGCCCGTTTGGTCAGGTGGCTCGACCCTTGGTGTCCAAAGACGGGATGCTGAAGTTGCCGCGCCTGGAGGTGGGGATCACCTTGTGGCCTGATGAATGTTGGAGTCTCCTCTGCCATGATGGGTCAGAAATTGGCCAACGACCGAAATTATTTTCTGGTTGGCATGTCTCTATGCTTTACCTCGTGACACCCTGGCTGGTCCCACCAACAAAACCATGCCTGGCTCAACATGCCTGCAGCATGTCGCATTCAGAGCTGCACGTGGATGCAACCTGTTGAACTGTTTCCTTGATTGCCAAGATGAATAGCTATGATAGCTTTATAATGATTATAATGATTGATCAATTGGTTTGCTGACGCTGAACTTTGATCAACGGAAAACCTGAGGTGATTCAAGCGGACTTTAAAATCCTCAGATGTTTCCCGAATATTTTGGGCGATGTGAAACATCCCCATTTTTTTTTTGGGTGATTCAACCACTGCAGGCAGTGATCTATGGCAGAAAGGCACCCTTCAGTGGCTGCTGTGGCTGTTCACTGCTGAGCTTCTTCGACGCGGAATGTGGTGTGGCTGTGATCTGCACGCGCCAGACGTGTGACTTGGCAGATGTTGGAATCATTCAGGTTTTGGAAGATGATTATTGGACGATTGGAAGAATAAAATTAGAACCATTTGATGTGTCACTGTCTCAAGATATGGCTATGAATCAATACCTATTAATACCATTCTTAGAGGGATGAACATCCATTTGCCAGCTATTTTTATGTTCACCAGGGGTACAAGGTTTTGACCCACTGCCATATGTTGGTTTTTCAGTAAGACATCTTAATCATCAGATTTTAAGATATCCTCCGAGAATCAAACGTGGCAATGGACAACACTCCATTTAGTTTCGATTATCCCAGCTAGAAACCTCCATTGAGTTGGAAGTTTTCATCGCTATGTTTGATTATGGAAGGGTATTTTAAGTATCATCAACGACAAAGATCCTCCATTTCCCTATCAAAAACCAACTATTTGCTTGTATCCCCCATTCTTAGACACACCCATATTCGGAGGTTTCCTAAGTCATGGGGAATTTCCAAAAATGGCTATGGATCAATACCTATTTTCATACCATTTTTAGGGGAATGAACATCCATAAATCCCAGCTATTTTGATGTGAACTACAGGGGTACCAGGGTGTTGACACACTGCCAAATCATCCAAGTCATCAGACCATGATTTCAGAACGCCATGGTGACTTGGGGCTGCCGGGCCTCCGCTCCACCCTCCACGCGGGCGCCTGCGCGAGGTTGCAGCCCTGCGCTGCAGCTGCAGCCGCTGAGCCAACCACGACGGCTTCAGCTGTGGGGTCCCTTCCTAGCCTTGACGGGTGGAGTGCTGCCTCGACACAGGCGGGTTGAGGATTTGATATGGATTCAAGGGGATGTCATGGGATTTTGATGAGATTTAATAGGGATTTAATAGGGATTTCATGGGATTTAAGGGGATTTCATAGGATTCATTGGATTTAATAGGGTTTTGATGGAATTTAAGCGGAGTTCATGGGAGGTAATGAGGATCTAAATGATGGGATATAACTTAACTTGATATAACTCACCAACAATTGATATCACCATTTTTTCCAGAGTTTTTCAGTGGTTTTTGCACCCATGTTTCATCCCCAGACCTCGGAGACACCTAGAAATGTGCCCAAAAGACGATCGATCATGATAGATCATGATAGATCTATATCTACCATCCAACATAAACCCTGTCGTGAGTTGGGAGTTGGGTTCCACATGTTCCAAGTTTCGATCAAAACCCGGGCCTTCTCAGGGTCTAAATCTTCAGAATCATCCAAGAATCATCCAAAAAACATCCAAAAAAATTAAACAAAACATCCAAGCACTGATATCCTTAAGGTTGTTACTGTATATCCCCTCACATCCCACTTGTGGATTCCACCTCTTCAGACCTCCACCGGCCTCCTGTGTGGAGAATGCCGTGGCGCCCGAGGAGCCAGGGAATCTGGGATTGGCAATGGAGGTATACCCCTTGGGATAGCAATTTGAATAGGGAAAATGATGATGAACCATGATGAACCCATGGATTTAGGGTACCCATGGGTACCCTCTTTTCAGACAATGCCATTTTTGCCATTCTAAAGGAGAACGTGGGATGGGCAACCATAGAAACAGGAGAGAAGGGACTAAGAACAAGGGGATTTTCATGGATTTTCACCCAAAGTGACCCGACCAGGACGGCGTGTCCAGCATGGTTCCCCAACACTTGGCGCTTCTGGTGGAGCCTTGCCACTGCGGGCGCAGGTGGATGGCTTTAACCCAACGAAATGATGATCACCGTTCGCGAAACTTGGGATGGTTGTGGTGTTTTTGTGTTTTCAAATTTGGAGATGGGGATCTTTCGGATGTTTGGAATGCAAAAAAATATGAAACAGCCGGAGCAGCCGGATCAGCACGAGTCAATTCCTGGTTCGAGGAAAATCCCTCGCCGAGCCCTGAGATGAAAGGCCCGGCTCTGTGATGAGTTTGTTTTTTGGGTTGCTGGACCCGGCCACGGTGTTCAAGTTGGTATTTTTTTTTTGGTGCTGAATGTGTCTTGACTCTTAGATGTTTGGGGTGGTGAAACGCAGGGATCTACAACGATGTTCTCAACTTGTTCAAGTTGTTGGTAGGTTTCATACTTCCCAGTCTATGGCTAGTTCGCTACAAAAGTAGGGTTACAGCCCGACCTTGCCTCAGGCTCCTCAGCTTCGCCTTCAGAGGGGGAGAGGCCATCGGATGACTGGGGGATTTCAGGGATTTCAGATTTCTGGCTCCGTTTTTACTATTTTTTTTTACTATTTTTTTTACAGATTACTGGATGGTACTGATGTCACTGGTGAAAAAATCAGGGATCGTTTCCATGTTTAGAAGGTGAATTCCTCAATTTTTGGATCGGCTTGTTCCTTGGATGGGCTCCGCCAGGGAAGAGCACGAGGACCTGCGCAGGCGCGATGTCTCTGAGAACTGGTGGTGAGATCATCTTCCACAAAATGGTCATAGAAGATGGAGATCCATCATTTTTGGTGATTCCCACATAGAAGATCAATCACCATGATAGATGGTGTTTCTTAGCACTTGAACTTGGGGGGATGGAAAGAAATCTATTGGGTAATGGTGTTTTGTCCCACAGATTGGGAGGCTTCAAGTTCTCCGAAACGGTCCGATTTCTTGTAGAAACATACAGAAACCATCCTGCAAAAACGCTATCCGCTATCCGCATTCTTTGGATATACATCGATGAAACCAACATGAAGCCCGGGTCTGGAGTGTTTTGGACCATTTTGGCTTAGAGGAAGTGGCCATCCAACATTTGACCATCCCAGCGATCCCAGTCCCAGGGCATCGGAAGAGGCCATTGTGACTTACGCAGCTTGGTGTTTTTTTTTGTGCCAGACCTTGGTACTAGAAGAGAGGGAAGCGAAATGAAAGCAGAAGTGCTGCAAGTTGGGCCGGGCCTTCCCAACTCTCCAATTTTATGGTCTACAGAGTCTACTGTGTTTATGTTGGAAGCCATGCTTGGTGACAGAGGCCTGATAGAGCTTTTGAGTCGACTCCAATTGGTATGGCGGGAGCCTGTTTTGAGCTTCAACAATGCAAATTTGGAGACACACCCAGATATCCCAAGTTCTGTTGGTTTACTCTAGATCGCCAGTGTTCCCCAGCTATGATGAGTTCTCCAGGATATTAACACATATCAACAGATATAAACATCTATTAACTCACATATATTCACAACTATCAGCATATATCAACATATATTAACATATGTGGAATATATATATAAACATATAACATATGTATATAACTATTCCTTTTAAAAGGAATGGTTTTTGTCACCCCATTCATCGTAGCAACGTCTTGTCCATTATGCCATCGCCTAAGGAGGACATGGTGCCAGATGTGCCATGGCCGTGGCCCTGGGGGGCCTTCCCTTGACGTTTACGATGAACAATTCAGTAACTTGATGATTAATGATCATTGATTGATAGATTAATAATGACCATTGATTAACAAGCAGTAATGATCATTGATTGATAATGATTAATAGGCTAAATGAATCTAAATGATCAGTAATGATGATTATATACCCTCTGGTAAACATACACAAAACTATGGAAAGATCCACCATTTTCAATGGGTAAATCCACTATTTCTATGGCCATTTTCAATAGCAACCTGTTAAATTACCAGAGGGTAATGATCATTGATTGATAATGATTAATAAACTAAATGATCAATCATATTCAATAATGATAATTATATAATATAGATTGAATGATCATTTAGTGGAGGGTAATCAGTAACTTGATGATTAATCGTTATATAATGATTACTTGATTACCCTCCAGTAAATGAACATAGACCCTGCCAGATAGGCGCTGGAAGATGAGTTTCCACTCAAAATTGGTTATTTTTGGGGTCTACGTTAATTTTCCCGGGGGTAATGACCAGGATTATGATTGATTATTGATAATTGATAGATTGATGATTGGTAGATTGATAATAATCAAAACCATCACATTTTAAATCCTAGATGATCAATGATCGATCAGTAAGCATCAGTCACGAGTCACTAAGTGTCAATTGACCAATGACAAAGCAATCAACCACCCAACAGTCAATAAATTAATGAAATAAACAAATGAAGGACATGAACGGACATGACATGACATGAGAATAACAATTGAATTAAATGGCATCGAATCAAATCAAGTGTCATTCTTCTTTCTAGAAATAATGAAGGATTGACATGAATGCCATGAATGCTATGAATGAACCAACAGAAGGTGTAGTGGAACATTCATATCAACCCTCTAAAATCCCTGGATGTGCTGATTTTTCGACCGAGTTCGCGACCAAACTGCGGCGCTGGGATGCTCAGAGTACAAACGGATCAATTTCCAGCATATATATATATATGGTTCATATATTAATAGGAACAATACTTATATATCACTGATATTCCTTCCATATTCCATACTTTTGATATGTTTTCTCGATTTTTTCTTGATCATCTGATGAACATTGCCATAGATTGGGCGGAAAATCCGACGGCACGCCGAGTCCAAGTCGACCCCACCACCGTCCCCCTGCGGACGAAGTGGTTCCGGCGCCTCGCCGCACACATCGCCGGTGTCGACTCCGAGGACGGGATCCCAACGGCAACGGGGGAAATCCCAGAAAAACATGGTCATTTCAATGGGAAAAACCATGGAAAATCTCAATTTTCAATGGAAAATCCCAATTGGAAAAACATGGAAAAACAGGAAATCCTAATTTTCAATGGGAAAAACATGGAAAATCCTCTGCAAATGGAGGTTTTGATGGGACAATCATCTATAGTTAGAAATTAGAAGGACCTCACGTCGCGACGTCACTGGAATGATGGGAATTGGATTGGGGTAACTGAGCCCCAAAGTAACTGAGCCCCAAAATAGCCGAACTTTTCAGGTTAGTGCAAGATTAACATTTACTCAGATCCCCTTTTGATTGGTTAACGGTCAAAAGAGCTTTTTAAATATACTATAATTACAACTGGGATTATGATATCCCATTGACGAGATACCCACCTACCAGCCAGGACAACGGGATGGGGTAAGGGTATTTTTTATGGCTCATTTGGGTCTGTCTGAAAGTGCTGGATTTGCACCCCCCCTCCAAAGACCAAAAAATGACAACTTTAAATGTGGAAACTGCTGATGAAGCCTGATTAAATGTCAAATGTGGGTTTTCGCGTCATCTTCAGACAACCCAACATGGGGTAGGTGTAATTTTCGGTCCAAAAATGGGGATGGTTCAACAGCTATGTTTGAGGGAATGAACTTTCTTTTTCTAATTGTCACAATTGTCTTGATGTTTATCAGGGTAGGGCTTTGTTGACATCCCGAGGTACCAGACTGCTGGATATGAACATTTTTAGGGGAATGAACATCCATAAATCCCAGCTATTTTGGGGTTCACTAGGTACCAGGGTTTTGACCAATAGCCATATATCTTCCAGACAAAGCACATAGTACTTCGGATAGGGCTTGGAACCCCAGCGACTTAGTCGCATCTCCAGGCCATTCGCCTCGGTCCCCGAGCCGAGGCGCGGATGGACAGTAAGTTCCAGTTGTTCCATCCTTTTTTGTGGTGACTTTAAGTACGATGGTGCATTTCAGGTGCGTTTTGGCTCGGAATCCTTTGTTGAAGTTAGAGGCATCTCACTGCGTATTTCTAAAGATGCGAGTGTTTTCTGGGACACCATCAATAGCATCAACCACCCACACCACCAAATTCTTAGAGGTTGGTGACCAAGCTTAATTAGAGAGTGATATTCATTTGCTTCCAAAAAGTCCTCTTGAGTTCGAAATGGGCGTGGGTCATTGAATCATAGGCATTTGATCGTTCCAAGTGTGTGCAATAGTGTTCAACCATCCAAGTTCGAGTGTGTTTATATACTATACCTACAATATATATATATATACATATATATATATATGGTACCGCACCCCCAGAAACCCACCGAAGATCATATTTCACTGATATTTACAGTGTTTTTGTAGCAATTTGGCATATATTTTTAGGAGGTAATTTTTAATGTTAAGATAGGTAAAATAGGTACTATATCTGTATATATATATGTTTCAAATGGATATATATATATACCCTGAGCTTCGAAACCCTGGAAATTTGTCGTGTATGAGTTGAAACCCTGGGTTATCACGTGATTCATATAGAAAACCTGGGTTTGTGATAAAAACCCTGGGTTTTCCCAATATCCTTCCGAACCTGCCCTCCAGAGGTGTTTGATGGGGCCGGATCTTGGCTTACAGCTCCGCTATGGGGTTGCGGAGTGCGATTTGTAAATTTCTTCTTGGTCTTTGTTTACTATTTCATCCTTTGATAGTTTGAATGAACAAATTCTATAGATGGGAAGCATCATCTTTGTGGAAAGCTTTGCACAATCTGGGCGTTTGCAAACGTTTGCAAACGGTTCTTCAGCCCAGGACCGAAGATTGAAGATTGAATATATTGAAGATTGAAGGCTGGGAAAAAATCTTTAATCCAGGAGGCTGGATTGAAGATTGAAGATTGAAGATTGAAGGCTGGGAAAAAACTTCTTCAATCTTCAATCTTCAATCCAGGACTCTGGATTGAAGAAGTTTTTCTGGACCTTCAATCTTCAATGCAGGGCTTTGGATTGAAGAAGCTTTTTCTGGATCTTCAATCTTCAATCTTCAATCCAAACCAAAAACATATAAAGTCAATGACATGCGATACTGCAGTTACGGCGCTACTTCGGAGACGTCTTTCTTTCTGCGACCTGTTTGCAAAGTTCATGCTCCATAATAAAGGCCACCCCAATGGTCACAATGCATCCTCCATCTGCCTGTGCTGGATTGCAGGCTCAACGCGCTCCACTTCTATGCTATATCTCGCACCTTGTACGTACATTGCTTGCATATGCATTGGTTTAAAACCCATGTTTCCAAGAGCTTGTTTCCTGCTCAGAGCTCCCTTGAACCGATCACTGCGCATTTATCAGCGTCATGTCCGTTCACGTCCACGGAAAGGTTAGCATTACGAATGGGACGGCTTTCTTGGAGTTGCAACCATCGCAACCTGCCCGATGTGACACGAAGGCACGCCCGTCCCCGGATGATATCACCCAGAGGATTCAAGATGGGAGCATTATCGTTCACCGAAGCAGAAGTCCATTGACGAGAGAGGCAGTGAACTTGGCACTGGTCACGGTGCAAAAGAAATTAGGGCTCCAGACTGGGACGGCTAAGGAAGGACAGACGAAACTGACAAAGTGCTCGCAGAAAGCAGAAAACTTGTCATCCTCAAAGAAAGGATCGTCTACTACCTTGGAAAAGGCCAAGAGACCATTGTTGGCTTTGCCAGCTCCTCCAGTGACTCCGGTGGTGGAAGATAAAGGTCAAGAATCATCATCTGCTTCAAGCAGCGAGGAGAGCCAAGATCCATCTGCAAAAAAAGCCAAGGAGTCATCTTCATCTTCATCATCATCATCACCATCATCATCATCATCATCTTCTACGTCGTCGTCTTTTACACACAAATCCGTCCTCAGGCACAAGATTGAGAAGTTGAATGCAGACTGTGAAGAAGTCATGCAGGCCATCGGATGTCACCAAGAAATTGAACAGGAGAATGAAGAGCTCAAATCTCTTTGCAGGGGCCTTACACCTGCAGTTGTGTTTCAAGCATTCATAGATTTTCTTGTGTCCGGCTTCATGCGCCCAAGTTCAATCCGTTCCCGGCCCCAAAGCGTGGCAAGGGCCGATCTGTCTTGATTCGCCAGCTTCTATGAATACAGCATCATGGAACAAGGTGAAGTACACCAAGGGCAATGAAGGTGTCTACGCAAGGATCGAGTCATGTGGAAAAGGACCATGAAGGAGTTGCTGGGGGCCTCCGAGAAGGACATTGCGCGCCCTCTGCTGCAAGACAAATTGCTTCCTGCTTGGGATGGCCATGTATGCGCTGCAGCAAGGGTTCGCTGTCCAAACTTCAGCCTAGTAAAGGTGACGGCTTGCCCAAGTACCGATGCAGGGCCAAACCGTGCCATATCTATTTGAATCCCATCACATACATCCACTTTTCATTGATGGGAGGGGCTCCTCTGCAACGTCGTTGCAAATGCCTGCTTGGCACAAACCATCGAAGACATGCAGGAAAAGGAGAGGCACATCGACTTTGGAACTGGACAGAAGTGGTCTGATGTGGAAGCTGATGAGGCAACCTTCCACAAGCAGAACTTAGGCAAGCACTCTCCAGAGTCAAGCACAACCAGTTGTTTGGGAGCAGTGGCGTGGAATTGTGAAGCAAGACTGCCCACAAACCGTGGTCGGCTCAATCCTAAAATGTCAGAGCCTCGGCCCCCAGGCCCGGCCGCCATCCGCAAGGTAGAGTGGCTGCCACTGGCCAAGACTTGGCTGAAAGACAAGTGCGTCATCCTGCACACGGACGTGGCCAAGAGCTACAAGTGCAAAATCCACCGATGGTGCATGAGCACGTCATCCAGTGCAAGAAGAAGATTAAGAAGAACGCAAGTTGCAATGGTGCGCCCCAAACTACGTTCACATGGTGACGCACAAGGTTCCAGGCACCAAGAAAACATTGAAGACCAAAGCCGGAACGCAGATCATTGATAGGGCGTGGAGATTCTTGAAAGATAGGATCCATGTGAACCAGAATTGCGCAGTAGGGCCAAAGACCCTGAAAGCAATGCTGTGCTCCGCCCAGTATGAGTCCTGGCATTCGGGTGCGGATCTGTGGGTCGCCGCCGGCAAACTTTGCTCCTGGTTCCTGAATGGCCCTATCCGCAAGTGATGCTCAGACAAAAGGGGACGAAAGTCTGCTTGCCCAATATGAGTCTGCAATCAAGATTGTGTGGCACATCTTTCACGTCCACCCTTCGAAAAAATTCATGAATTGTCCGACTTCATTCAGCTTCCATAGGGCATTCAATTGGCTCATCAGAACAAATTGCTCATCAGAACAAGTAATGGTCTGATTTCCGTTGGGTATCGTTCATGCAACGTAGCCCGCAAACCAAAGCCCTTTGTTGTCTTCTCGTGGCAAGGCGCTGGATTGTTTGTCTGCTCATAGAAAGCTGTTTCAATGGTAGTTAAACACATATTTCGTGACACATCAATAAGCATCTGAATCTGGAACGCGGTGGGTTTTGTGGGGGTAGCATATATATATATATATACAACATTTTCAATACATTTTTTTGATATTTTTTCGGTGGTCGGTCAAACCATGCAATTCTTACCTTTTTTGGGAGGCTACCTCAAGTGTGACCAACAATCTGCGGTTTTCGCCCAATTGAACTTCCCAACTTTGTAACACAAAGGTGGAACACTCCCCCAAAGATATCCCAATAAAAGACTCCCGAACATACCCTCTGGTTAATGAAACAGTTTGCTATGGACAATGATCCATTTATATATAGCTAATATAAATGATGATATGCCTGAAATATTTACTTTTCAAAACATGTTGATTTTCCAGTTCGCAAACCGATCACCAAGGGGTGCCTTTTCCACAGTGTTTTCCAAGCCTCGTTCTCGTTCATGTGTGCTGGTTCAGGCGCTGCTTCAGTGAACGGGCTGCCCGCCTGGCTGAGGCCATGGTTTGACGTTTTCCTATCATTTGGGCACAGTTTGACGGATTGGAAAACAAACCACATTTTTTTGGCGTTTTTTTTTTCCACCTTGAAATGAACATTTTTCAACATTTTTTCTGGTTCAGTTGACACACGTACATGTGTATATCAATATATTGATATATCAATGTATTCATATTGAGTTATATTAATATATTGATATATTATTTTTTGATATATTAATATATATATACACTCTAATTAATATATTTAAATATTAATATATTGGCGTGTAAATAAATAAATAAATATATATATATATATATGTATATGTATATGTATATGTGTATATGTATATATGTAAATGTGTATATGTGTATATATATATATATATGTGTGTATATGTATATATGTATATATGTAACATATGTAAATATGTTTATGTATATATGTATATAAATATATATGTATATAAGTATAAATGTATATATGTATATATGTATATATGTATATATGTGTATATGTGTATATGTGTATATGTGTAAATGTAAATAAGTATATAAGTATATATGTATATATGTATTTTTGTATATATGTATATATGTATATGTATATGTGTATTTATGTATATATATATGTATATATGTATTTATGTATATATGTGTATATGTATTTATGTATATATGTAAAACAATATATATATATATATATGTGTATGTATTTATATGTATATATGTATATATGTATCTATGTATCTATGTATATATGTATATATGTATATATGTATATATGTATATATGTATATATGTATATATGTATATATGTAACATATGTAAATATGTTTATGTGTATATGTGTATAAATGTAAATATGTATATGTATATATATATATGTATGTGTATAGATGTATATATGTATATATGTATATATGTATATATGTATATATGTCAATATGTATATACGTGTATATAAATATATACATATTAACCCGATATAGGAATGCCAAACTGACCAGAGACATTGGCACTTCATCAGAGGTTTCATCCAACTGAGAGAGAAGGCAGTGACTGACCCCATGCCCACGTCCATGTTGAAGATGTAGCTGAAGTAAGTGACATTCAGGTGTGGCATATTTTCCAATTCTTTTTCATTAACTTCAAAAAAGATACCTCAATTTTTTTTCGAAACTTCATGGAACCCAAACCCCAAATCCGCATACCGTGGGGTCAACTTTGGGATCACACGAGGTGCGCAAGCGGCCCCAGAGCCAACTGAGGCTGGTGGAATCCCATCCCTCCTGAAACGCACCCTAAATGGTCACAAATATGTGTAAATCATTGTAAATCATTGTAAATCCCAATATTAGACCATGGTTTTGTTTGGAGGTGTTGGATATTGGGGGAAGGGATTGCAGATCAACTCCGCGATTCTTCAGTTTGACCAGGGCGCTGGAAGTTTCATACATCATGCCAGCCCAAACAATATCTTTTGGGGCACTCAGCGGTGGCCAAGAGTCAAGGGTCGCCGGGGTAAAGGCCAAATTACGGCTAGGGAAAATATGGGGAAATGATGAATGTACCAGTACCAACCAAACAGAAGGGGTTCCTGCAAAAATCCTTCAAAACACTGCCGAGAAATTGCACACACACCAATTTTCTGCAGCTCCATTTTTTTTGACTTTCCCGCGTTCTCTGGGCTTAGCGTCAACAGCATGACCAGCCTGGAACAGTTTTTTCCGTCACCCTGCAGCTCCATGAAAACTCCTGGTCACATGTCCAGTTCACTTCAAGGGCGAAGACAAGAACACAGACATGAACTATACCTGGGTTTGTTTAAGGTGATGTGTTTTTTTCCCCCAATGGGAAATCCACTACTTGGGGAATCTATAGGGAATGATATATTTTTTGGGGGTTCCTTAAGCAAATCCAAGTATATAGCAACCATTGAAGTATTGGGATCTTTTGCCTTTTGAGTCATACTTGGTAGCTCATCGGCTTAGTAAGTGGGTTGTAAACCCAGTTATGACATGTTATAACTGGACCACCTCTAGTTATCTCACTTGTAAGTGGGATTATGATCCACTGACTAACTGGGATGAGCCACCAAGTGATATGTCAAAATTAGTTCATACCCAAGGGTAAACTGACATAGATGTGGAAAAACTACCCTTGCTAGATAATTTTCCTGAGGAAAGCATGGGTTTTCATGGGTTTTCCACATCTATATTAGTTTACCCTAGGGTAAGCCTTGATTTCTTAGGATCCACACTGATCCACGAAGTTCCAAGGTACCACGTGCTGCCCAGGTGGCCGCAAAAGCCCTGGCGCCAAGCGGTTCCGGCAGCGCAGTGGGAGGGGATGCTGGGAACATACCCCGGAAACACCATGATACTGTGGTGAATGATGGTGAATAATACCCTCTGGTAAACTACCAGTAGTACCGCACAAGGCGGTGGCGGAAGTTTCAGAATAGGAAACCGAACGTTGTTGTGAATCACGGATGGCAGAGCGAATCCACTGATTGACCGAAAGGTGGTTGGAGCTGTGTGTGCTGGAGTGGTTGCAATGGTTGCAGTGGTCACCTCACCCACAACTGCTGGATGTAGTGTGATGTACTGCAACTGTAGTTGTAGTTGTAGCGTAGTGGAGTTGTAGCTGTGGTGTAATGTAATTAGTGTAGTGTAGTTGCAGTCATATAGTTGTTGTTGTTGCTGTTGTTGTTGTAGTTGTTGTAGTTGTAGCTGTAGTTGTTGTGTAGTTGTAGATGTAGTTGTAGTTGTTGTAGTTGTAGTTGTTGTTGTGGTTGTTGTTGTTGTTGTTGTTGCTGTTGCTGTTGCTGTTGTCGTCGAAGTTAGGGTAGTTAAGTTAGGGTAGTTAAGTTAGTCAAGTTAGTTAAGTTAATCAGTGTCTACTTTTTCGACATCTTAACGTCAAAAAAGGGTCAAAACCCGCAGTTTTTTACAATTTTGACTTCGAAATGTGCTTCGCGCCACAACGGCGTGCACTTTTTCAACATCCGAACCTCCAAAAGTGGCACGAACATGTAGTGTTTTGTACATTTTGACTTGGAAATGTGCTTCGCGCCACAACGGCGTGCACTTTTTCGACATCTCAACTTCCAAAAGTGGTCCGAACCCCTAGTGCTTTTAACATTTTGACTTGGAAATGTGCTTCGCGCCACAACGGCGTGCACTTTTTCGACATCTCAACTTCCAAAAGTGGTCCAACCCCTAGTGTTTTTAACATTTTGACTTGAAATGTGCTTCGCTGCCACAACGGCGTGCACTTTTTCGACATGCAACTTCCAAAAGTGGTCCACATGGGTGTTTTGTACTTTTTGACTTCGAAATGTGCTTCGCGCCACAACGGCGTGCACTTTTCATCTCTCATCTGGCCAGCTGGCTCCGCACCCCGCCGCTTTAGCGAGCCTACTTTTCGACCCTCCGGAGCCCCAAATCATTGGAAAAACACAGTGTTTCGCGACTTTCCTACCTTTTCGCGCATCTCCATCTTCTTTCTTCTTACTCTTCCTCTTCTACTCTTCTTTCTTCTACTCTTTCTCTTCTCTCTGCCTCTTCCCTGCTCTGCTTTTTATCTGTCCATATTGTCGGAAGTTTGCTTCTCTTTCTTCTAAACTTCCTTCGAACATCTTGCTATGGAAAGATCCACCATTTTTAATGGGAAAATCCACGACTATTTCTATGGCCATTTTCAATAGCTACGTAACAAATTACCAGAGTGGTAGAAAGATCAAACATACTAGTTGTATGTTTGTTGGTTGAAAAAAAAGGTCAAAACACACTAATTATATATATATATATGTTGGTTGAAATAAACCCATTGACTATACATATATCCAATACTGTGGATGGCTGCGAAATCATGGAAAACCAGTTGATAACTATGAAAGGAAATTACGAAACACGATTGTAAATCATATGGGATTAAATAATGGGATTGACCATCTAGCAACTGGTAAAGGGATTTCTTCCATCAACAGTAGGACCGATCTTTGGGGGTAGTAACCATGAATTCCCGTTCAGATGTTCCTCACAGAAGCAATCCAGTTTTTCTTGGCGGTGTGGATTTCTGGGCTCCAATTTGGACCTCGCCCTGAAATCGAGCGCTGAATATAGGTTGGATCAAGATGTTATCTTTCACGCCCCGATTCTTGTTTGAGGATTCAGTCTCAGTGAAGAGCTCTTGATTTTATAGCCCCCCAAAAAGAGGAAACTCCTACCAAAACAGTTGTCTGGTTGGTGGTTTGGAACATTTTTTATTTTCCATTTCATATATGGGATGTCATCCTTCCCATTGACGAACTCATATTTTTCAGAGGGGTAGGCTCAACCACCAAGCAGTTGTAGAATAGGGGTTATATACCCTCTGGTTATTTAACATATCCATGGAAAATGGCCCATTTATAGATGGTTTGCCTGGGTTCACCTATTAAAACTGGTGATTTTCCATGGCTATGTTAGTCATAACCAGATGGTACTACATGTGTTGTGATGCTTCCCATCTGCAGCCTGTGGTTGATCCTGCTGCAATGTGGCCGATGCTCAAGATATCAGGTGCGCCTGAAAAAACGTCTCGCCCCAAATGAGTCACAAATGGCTATCTGATTGGGGAAATCCATATTTCAGCTATGAAAAAAAACTATCTATACCTAGATCTATTGGACGATCTTATTGGGGAACTTGATGATCATCCAATAGATTTAGGACACGAAAATTCGCCAGCTACATGCGGTGAACTCTTTTGACCATGCGTCATCTACAAAGTCTGAGACCTGAGATATGTGTGTTACTAGACCCATCAAAATCTGTCAAGCAAATCTTGAATTGATTTTCAAAACTTTTGAAATCAGAGTGATTTCAGGTGATGGAGTCTCAACTCCACGAATGCTGTAGCTGGGGTAGTGGATTGTAAGCAAAACCAGTGGTAAGAAGCTATGCCCGTCTATCCCAAACCTGAAGTGCCAATGGAAGTGGTCGCAGCATGTCGAAACCGGAGAAGACGAGGCATGAGTTCTTCGGACTTGGAGACGAGCTGTGTCCTAACATTTTGGAGATGGAAAAGAGTTGGAGTATGAATGAACTACTCTCTGGTTATGACTAACATAGCCATGGTATAGATGGCCCATAGAAATAGATGGTTTACTGTACCTATTAAAAAAATGATGATTTTCCATGGCTATGTTAAATAACAAGATGGTATAGTATGTATATATTGGGAAAGCCTACAACAAAGATTCCATTTGGGGTTACTGTTGTTGTATTTATGGTGATTTTGGCGATGGTTTAGGGCATTGGGTTTACCACACTTCAGGTGCAGAACCAACCAGTAGTTGGTGCGCTTACTGCTATAGTGGTTGATTTTTGTTCTCGCAAAGGAATACAACCACCAATTTAGTAGAGATGTAGAGCAGCAACAGTGAGGATGTGACTCTAAGAACTGATTTGAGTGTGTGCAATTGTACCCAATGGTAATTTTACATAGCTATTGAACATCACAACATACCACAAATCTTTACCAGGTAAATCGGTCACTCATCTATACATGGCAATTTTCCATAGCTATGTTAGTTTACCATATGCATGTATTGTATGTGTATATATATATTAATATGTATATATATATATATATTAATATATTATATGTATACCAGTATATATTATATGTATATATATATATATACATATATGGAAAACCCCTGGCCTCCACTCTGGTTCTCCTGAGGTTGGAAACTTGTAAGATCCAGGGGTTTTCCTATTGGGGTAACCCCAAATAATCCTTAAAATTGAACCATTTTAGTTTTGAAACCTATATGGACCTATGATTTTAAGGATCCCCCATGTCAGGAAACCTCTATATGTCATATTTCAACATATCATGGTTCCCGCCATATTTGCATTTTTGATGGTGAAACAGTGAAACCAACATCTTGATGGTCAGACCGATTTGTTGATGGGCAACTTTTTTTCATCAAAAACCCATGCCCATCAATTCAGTTCTTGATGATCTGATCTTCCAATCCCCCCATTTTGAGACTCAGCTGGCAGGGTCCTGGTGATCGGTGCCGGTGTCTCTGGGCTCACTGCAGCACGGCAGGTGCGGTCACGGCCCTTCCAGCGTTTCAGCCCGTTTCAGCCCATGGGATCCGGATCGCCAGGTGAAGGATCAGCGACCAGATGCAGAAGTCGTAGCAATTTGGCTCCAATGAATTGCCAATTTAGGCAGGTTTCATCCCAATCTTTGGTTGGTCTCCAAATTTTGAACTCCATTCCATGCCGATCATTTCAAACAAATAGATTCACTTCTTTTTACCACGAGACTGGCCATGTTGTCGGACAATTCACAGGACCCCCTAGAATTGCTCATAAAATCATTTAAAATCCATGGTTTCCGGTTAAGATTTTCTCTTGAATCAATCCATTGACGTTGGGGATGACATCCATTTCCATTTCCATTTCCATTCCATTCCATTCTCTCGAATATAATTTGCACACATTATATATAATTATATATACATGCAGGGTACGCAGTGAGGCAGGGCAAAAAGCATGCAGGCCCACAGACCCAAAAATGGGTCCGCGTCGCAGTGCAAACTACAGGAACGTTTCAAAAGGTGCAGGGTTGCCCGTCCTGTTCTGCAGCAAGCATGTCAAATTTAACCCCACCCAGCGGCAGTGTACAGGACCCTGGGCGCAACCCCCTGCACCCCCAGACATCAAAGTTGACTTACTTCCGCACTCTGCAGAACAGCTACACCAGGAAAGCAGCAAGACTGGCTTTTGTGAGTGGCAACATTGATTCCTGGGGAGCGGGGCCATGTTTGCGTGCGCATATCCACACACATCACGCGGAAGCAGCGTTAAATTCGCAATTCGGATTGGCTTGGCCGCAAAACCATTAAGAATGTGCTCAAAAGCTACTAAGCACGGTGTCGCATTTCGTATTGGCTTGGCCGCAAAGCTACTAAGAAAGCGTTCAAAAGCTACTAAGGACGATTTCGCAGTTCGTACTGGCTCCGCCGCAAAACTACAAAGAAAATGCTCCAAATATTGTAAAAAATAGTACCTTCTTCTTTTCTTCAAGTTTGAGGGAACTTCTGAGCAGTTTTGCGTCCGAGCCATTGTGATTTGCAACTCACGCCTTATATAATAGTTTTTCATGAACTCCGTAGTAGTTTTGCGTCCAAGCCATTGTGATTCGCAACTCGTGCTTTAGTAGTTTTTTTTTCGATATGCTTAGTAGTTTCGCGTCCAAGCCATTGCGATTCGTACCTCATGCCTTGCGGGCCTTTTATAAATTGGGGGCGCTTTGTCTCAAAGCCTAGGTGGGCCCAAGGCCCCAAAACCGGAGCCTTAAATAAGTAGTAAAGCAAGCTTCGCGGGCATGTACCCGCGGAGTATCACGGATATGTGCTGCTGTCAGCTTGCGTCAGCAGGAGCACGCCTGCGGCCCGTGTTGAACAGCTCCTGTTTGTGTTTTGTGGCCCCAAAACAGATGCCAGATTCTGGACCCAAAAACGGGGCCACCATATTACCGCTTCCAAATTTATGGCCTCAATTTTGGGCCCATGGTATATGCGTTTTTCTTTCTGCAAAGAGTGCGTTGAGCTGCGACAGGTTGCATCTCTCATGCATGTTTTCTTGCACTTGGTGCCAAGATGCTGGTTTCACAGTATATGTATGTATGTAATGTAATGTAATGTAAAGCAATGTAGTGTTAATGTAATGTAGTGTAACATATGCATATGTTGATGTAAATGCATATAGATGTAAATTTATGTAAAGATATGTATATATATATGTATACAGACATATACACGCATATACATATATATGTGCATTTAAATATATGTGTAAATATATGTGTATATATATATCATATATATATATACAAATACATATGTATATATCAAATGTAAACATATACATATGTACATGTTTATATGTATATGTATATATGTATACATATATATATGTATACATATATACATATACGTGTATATTTAAATATGTATATATATATATGTATATATATATGTATGTATATACGTATATGTATATATGTATGGCATATGTGTAAATATTGATGTATATATGTATATATATACATATATATATATACATATATATATATATACATATATATATACATATATATATATACATCATAGGTATATATACACGCATATAAATATGTATATATACATATGTACACGGATATATATATAGATAGTTATATATAATATGTATATATGTATTTTTGCATATATATATGTATATATGTGTATATATGTTTTATATATATATTGTGTTTATTTTTCATTTTTTTAAATTTCTTTATTTAGTTTTTTTTTAATATATTAATTTATTCATCAATCATTTTTTGTTTTTTTGTTTATTGATTTCTTTATTTATTTATTCATTCATTCATTCCTTCCTTTCCTCCTTCATCCATTCATTCATTCGTTCGTTCGTTCATTCATTCATACATACACTCATTCGTTCGTTCGTTCGTTCGTTCATTCGTTCCTTCATTTTTTTCACCACAATACTGACTCTGTCGAGGGTTACCCCCATGTTGAGACTACCCCATTGGCTCCCCTCAGGTCCTGGAGGCGCGCGAGCGTCTCGGAGGCCGCGTTTGGTCCGAGAGCTTTAGCGATGGTGCGCTCCTTGGTGATGGGGGAGTTGCCAAGGTCAAGACATGGCTCCCCAAAGGGGGGGGGGGTACAATACATTAAAATGGGTGTGTCTGAAAATAGTGTACCCCTAAACCCAATGGTTAATGATCATTATCCCTATTAAATGGCTATTTCATTGGGAATATACCCTATTTTCAGACAAACCCAGATGTTTTGATGGTGGGTTGACCAGGTTTTTTATGCAACGACGTTGATTTGATGGGATGACCATGTTTTATGTTTTGACCATGGCACACTTGTGTTGGTGTTTAAGCACTTTTGCTAAGTAGACATTGATGGATCTAATGAATAATTACATACATATAATTGATAGTTACTTTTTAATTTGTAGTTCATGAATGGTTACTATCTAATTCACGATTATTTACACATAAACTTGATGTGAACGATCGTATAAACACATACATTTATTTACTTCTTAGTCTAGATGCATCATGATTATTTGTGTACATCAATGGTGTTTAAACATGTTTAAACGATTTTTTTCACCACATCCACTTCCGCAACTGCTGCGTTTCAGGCAGCACCATCGATCTGGGTGCCCACTTTCTGCATGGGCTCTGTGATGAGCATCCCATTGCCCAGATCGCTAAGGAAACCCCGAGGGAACCCACAGGGATGCACTCTGGCAATTCTTAGGGTAGTTTTAAGCGTATTTTTCTATGGTTAAAACCTATAACTTTCTCCATTTTTGCATGGTGTATGTGTTTTTTTCGTGTGTGCTATCCAGCTTGGCGGGTTTTTTTGCACACATTGTTTTATTTTTGAGGGTGGAATTGGTTAGGATAATCCGTTTCGTCGTTTCACTTTTGGCAAGAAACGCACATGGGGAATATGATTCATACCCAGCTAAAGGGGTTATCTTTGTGTAGTTTGCATCTAAAATTAATCATATATAAATTGGAAATGTCGGGCAAACTGTGCTGCCAGGGCATCTTCAGATCTAAACACCCACACCTTCACAAAATGGCAAACATGTCTCAGAGCATATTACGGAGAAACCTATGATTCTCCCCAAACGTGGATATTTTGGATGACCTTAGTGGTTTCCTCTCATTTTTTTCCAGAGGCATCCCGCATCCCCCGTACTTTTTCCATATCTTGGTGCAAAATCCACGGATCCAAAGAGCTGACCCAGTTGAAAATCCACTGAAACCCAGCAATATCCAGCACTAGCTGTGGGAAATTCAGGACCACCCTGAGTGGGGCCAGTTGGTGGAGATGGACTGGGACACATGCCCCGACTTCGAGCAGGGCAGTGGCCAGCAGATCAGTGAGCAGCAGCTGAAACGTTGCGAGGAGCGGGGAAGGACTCCAAACAACCTCCAAAATCCAACAAAATCCAGGAAAAATGGGGTTTGGGTTACTTTGGTTACTTTGGTTTCTGGCTTGTATTCCTGATGATTGGGCGCGATCCTCATTGAAACGTGACTTCATCCAACTGGGCAGATGTTGGGTGAAATCCTTGGAATTTGAGCATCAAACCCAGCAATTTTTGGGGATGCTTTTGCTTATTGAAAATATTTAAACCACCAGTTTGGGATCTTTTTTTGCTGAGTGAGATCTCCATATTTTTGGAACTCTTTTTCACTTTTTTGATAATTGGTGGATCTTTCTGGATGATTTCATTGCCATCAAAAAATCCTGGGTGTTGCAGTGTCTCCCCGTAGCTTCATCCCCCAGGAGCTCTACGAAAAGACCTGGGACCTCTACGAGAGCGGCCAGAAGCAACGCAGGGCGCAGCTGGAGGTGCGAGCATGGCTGGGATGGGAGCTGGGCAGCTGGGCTCATTGAGACCATGATCTATACCCTCTGGTAATGACTAACAAAAAGCTATTGAAAATGGTGATTTATAGTGGATTTTTCCCATTGAAAATGGTGGATCTTTCCATAGTTATGTAAACGTTTACCAGAAGGTAAATGCTGGGGGCTAGGAATCTATGTGCGAAACTTGGGATAGAATCCAGTGGGGAAAGATGGGATGAACGACTCAGTGGGGTTTCATGGGTTTCATGGGATTCGATTTGGGACCTAAACCTTCCAGTGCTCGCTGGAAATCCAGAACGACCCTTTGGCGTAATTGCTGGTTTACAGCAAGTGAGTTAAGTTATAGCTCCAGTTATAAGAGGACTAAGCCTACTTACCATACTTACCCTACTTATAACAGATTTGTGCATTTGGATTGAATTGGTATCTTCGACTGCAGTCGTTGTTCTCCTTGGTTCTGATGTGAGTAACCCACAGAATTAGCGGAAGACTAAATTTTAAAGTAGTAGAGAGTGGACTTGGGATGTTTAAATGTGTGTGAAAACCTTCACCCACATATCCATACCGTATCATAGCTTATTTTACACATAGCATTGAAGTACAAACCTTCACAACCGATAGGAGATCACCCACTTTGGCCATGTCCATTGCGAGTAGGAAGTAATTTTGTCCACCATTCATGTGGTCGCTACCCACTTGGCAACTTGGATGCACATGCAAGTGTGCTGAAGTTTCTCCATAATGCTGCTAGATGCCTTTGCTCTGCCATGCACAAACTATACCTTTACAGATTTTTACAATGATTCTTCTTCAACTGTGACATGTTCCACTCCCTCCGCACAAATTTTTGGTCAAGATTTGTAGCTCGATCCAGGTTGTCCTGAGACCTTGAGCCAATGTGCTCTGTATACTCCGCAGTGTCAGGGGAGGCAGTGGCTTTTCTGGAGGAACATGAAGGTAAAACTGCCAAGGACTTGAAAAGTGATGTGGCCGCTCATAGTGACATCTCCAGATTTTGGCAAAAGCTTTGGTCTGAAGATTGGTCTCACGAAATTCCAGATGATGAGGTTTTCACCGCGGAAGAGGTCAAGATGCAGCTTGTTTTGTCAGAATTTTGGCCGCCAGAAAGTGAGCAAGATGCTAGGATGATCGCTGCATCTAAAATCAATGACCCGAAGGCACTTGAAAAAATGCTTCAGCGCCCTCGAAATCCCAATTTTAGGGATGAGAGGGGTTGGTCCCCATTGCATTATGCAGCTGCGAATGGACATGTGGAAGCCATGCGGCTCTTACTTGAGGCAGGTGCAGAGAAGGATGCCCGAGACACGAGTCCTCAAGGTTGGACACCGTTGCTCGAATCTGGATCTGATGCAGATCTTGCCACACTCGACCTTGGTGGGTCTCCTTTACACCTCGCAGCCCAGGTTTTGGTCACGTTGAAATCGTTCGGTCGTTGATTGCTGCAGGTGCTGACAGGAAGTTTCAGCCTCCGCCCATGTTGGAGTCACACCATTGCAGATCGCAGCTTGGGATGGCCAAGTTGAAATGGTTGGCCTGCTGATTTCCTCTGGAGTTGACGTAAACAAAACCACAATCGATCATGGAATCACACCCTTGTACATGGCAGCTCTTATCAAAGTCATGTCGAAGTTCGCAGCGCTTGCTGCTTGAGGCTGGAGCGAACCATGACAAAGCCAGAACCGAGACTGGAACAACACCCTTGCACCTGGCAGCAAAGAATGGCCATCTTGAAGTTGTGCAGTTGCTGATTGAGGCTGGGGTTGACATCAACAAAGCGAGAACAAACGATGGAGCAACACCCTTGCACATCGCAACTCAGAAGGGGCATGTTGAAGTGGTGAGCTTGCTGATCAAGGCTGGCGCTGACAAGAATCAGGCCAGAACCGATGATGGAGCAACACCATTGCAGATCGCAGCTTGGGATGGCCAAGTTGAAATGGTTGGCCTGCTGATTTCCTCTGGAGTTGACGTAAACAAAACCACAATCGATCATGGAATCACACCCTTGTACATGGCAGCTCTTATCAAAGTCATGTCGAAGTTCGCAGCGCTTGCTGCTTGAGGCTGGAGCGAAGCATGACAAAGCCAGAACCGAGACTGGAACAACACCCTTGCACTTGGCAGCAAAGAATGGCCATCTTGAAGTTGTGCAGTTGCTGATTGAGGCTGGGGTTGACATCAACAAAGCGAGAACAAACGATGGAGCAACACCCTTGCACATCGCAACTCAGAAGGGGCATGTTGAAGTGGTGAGCTTGCTGATCAAGGCTGGCGCTGACAAGAATCAGGCCAGAACCGATGATGGAGCAACACCATTGCAGATCGCAGCTTGGGATGGCCAAGTTGAAATGGTTGGCCTGCTGATTTCCTCTGGAGTTGACATAAACAAAACCACAATCGATCATGGAATCACACCCTTGTACATGGCAGCTCATCAAAGTCATGTCGAAGTTCGCAGCGCTTGCTGCTTGAGGCTGGAGCGAACCATGACAAAGCCAGAACCGATACTGGAACAACACCCTTGCACTTGGCAGCAAAGAATGGCCATCTTGAAGTTGCGCGGTTGCTGATTGAGGCTGGGGTTGACATCAACAAGGCGAGAACAAATGATGGAGCAACACCCTTGCACATCGCAACTCAGAAGGGGCATGTTGAAGTGGTGAGCTTGCTGAGCGAGGCTGGTGCTACCCGAAAAAAGGCCAGAACTGCCAAAGGGTGACTGATATGACCAAAAGTGCATGAAATGATGGATATAGATTTTGCACAAAAGGATTATTCTTCTATTCTTTATTTATTTTTTTGTTCCCATGCAATTTCATGGTCACTTTGGCCACAGAGTATTCAGCGGCTGAACTCTTCTGGAAAAGACGCGTCGAGCGGATTGCTGCTGCAAGGGGGGCTGGCTGGTCCTGAGGTTTAATGTGAATGGCTGGATATGGCTCGAATTCGCCCCAATTTCCGTCCCAACAACTCTTGTGAATATCATATTACATGGTAGCCGGCCTAAATATTTGGTTATACATACAAAATCATACAAACTTATATCCCGTTAAAACAGAACTACAAACATCTACAAACAATTTATACTATATAAACTACATAAATATAATTATATATACTGTTTATGGACTGCCTCTATGTACTGGTGCCCCTTGTGGTGGCAATTGATGAACAATTTATGTTATTCATAAATACGTATTCATCTTATATGTTTAAGTATATATATATATATTATAATATTCTAAAATTCTATATAATATTTCATATTTACCAAATTCATCACCCAAATCATCACATATATTACTTGTAAATGGTTGAAACAAGGTTTCCGGTCAATATTTTACCTTAAACCAATCCACGCCCCATTGTTGCTGGTTAAAACCTAAATTTTACTGAAAAAAAAACCACGCTTCTGGATGATTGGCTCCCAAGATTTGATGATTAATCCCGCGTCACTGTAGCTGGTGGTTGGTAGGGGAACTATCCTGGCTGAACTTTTCAGACTGGTGAATTTTTCTGATTTATCCAGATCCAATATCACCAGAAAATCCTTTTAACTTCCACGAAATCACCATAAATCCATAGATTTTATGGGACTTCATAGGATTTTATCAAAAGATACACGACAAAATCACCATAAAATCACCATAAAATCACCATAAAATCACCATAGAATCACCATCTCATCCCAATTTCCCACTATTTTCCCACGATATCCCAGAAAATCCTTGGAAACTCCAGGAGGACAGGCCTCTCTGGGAGCAGCTGCAACGGGACTTCGACTGGTCGCAGCTGAGCACCACGGAACGGTCCATGCTGCGGTGGCGCTGGGCGCGGGAAACGGTGACCTGGCAGCGGAAATGGGGGGGTTTCAACGGCAGAAATGGTGACTTTCAGCAGATTTTGGTGGAGTCTAGCCGCCACTAGCCTTAAGAGATTTGGGCGGCTTTTTTCTTGACACGACTAGGCATGTTGATTTGGGACCCTAGGGGATTTTTGGTGCAAGGATTTCAGATGTTCATTTATGTTTAGAGCAGAATTGAGGATTTTTTCATTAGAAATGGGGATTTGAAGCAGCAGAAACGGAGACTTCATCGATTTGACATGGGGATTTAATCCGCAGCCATGCTGATCAGACCCACGTGGGAACGGTGATTTCGGTCGGCAACAATGGGAATTCGAAGATTTTGGGGATGGGCTCTTCACAATGGGAAGAGCATCCACAGCCATTTTTTTTGCACAGTGAAAACTGAGGTATACCCATAAATGGGGATTTTAACATACTTGAAGCACAATTCTCAGGTTAGAACCAAATTTATCCAAATTTCATGCAATATCAGGCGCATGGAGATGAAATGGATGAAAACAGGGATCTATATCCAAAGATGGAGTGTCGTTCCTTGGTACTATGCGAAAAATCACCACTCAAAAAACAGTCAAAAATCAAGCGAAGAAAGTGTGTTGGGATGTTGGTTGAGTTTTTGACCTGCACCCATTCAAGTTTCAGACGCTTATATAAAGAAACGCTACCACAACCAAGCGCCATCTTCACACTCTCGAGATATCTCACCCAAGAAAGGTTTAACAGGAGTTATTTCCAGTTATAGATTAACATTTATAGATTTACATAGTTATAACGTAGTTATATTATTTCCAGTTATTTCCAGTTATGACTTTTCAGTTTCAGAAAACCACATCCACCATTTGGAGATCATGGACACCTGACACCTTGGGTTTCCCCCTGGATTTTCCCCTGGCTGAGAGGAATGGATCTATGCCGCGCCAATGGAGGAGCTGAGTGCTCAATGGTGGAACGATGACGAGGAGTTCGAGGGACCTGACTGCGACTCGACCATGGTGTGTTTTTTTTTCTTTTCGGACCCCTGTTGGATAGAGTTCACTACAATAACCAGGGTTGATTCGGGGGATATATATATATATTTATAATATATATATACTGTAACACTACTGTAGGCAGATGAGATTATAAACCAACAAACATAACTAGAGGGCCCCACTTTGTAGGAGGAGGATCTGGTGGGGTTCAAGCTTTTCCAAAAGGTTATCATGTGTCATGGCCAAGATGAATGGGAATATGAGTGGGAAGAGTGGTATATTCCATGCCTGGGAATATGATGGTACACCCCAGCTGACAAGCATAGTGACAAGGGGGGGCTGATGCGACTGGGTCAATCTTGGTTGGGTGGTAGTCTAGTATTTTAATCTTGTGGCATGGTTCCCCAGGGTTTCTTTTTGGTTGGTTAATGTTGGTGAAGTTTAAAATCATGGGGAACATCTTTTATCCCCATCTTAGCACCAACTTTGTTGATTGAATACCGCCATAGCAACTTATCAGTTGGCCCATCCCACAGGGCGCCCAGGTATGTGGCCTACGGGTTTTGTGAACTTCATGGGATGGTTGTCCGAGGCCGCTCGAAGTGAAAGAAGTGAGAAATCTCAGCGTAGGTTTGATTGAAAAGGATGAGTTGATATCAGTTGAGTTGGATTCAGATTTCTGTTCAACCAAATTTGGCAGTGTTGCACTCCTACCACCATATGCTTTAGTTATTGATTATGTAAATATTTCCAGTTTCTGTTTGGTTGCCATGAATTCGTTCTTTAAGACTCAATGGAACCTTGATAAACGAAAGCTACACAGTACATTGACATTGTTGTATATTATTCTATTGGTATTATCCGAACTTGGTCGTCTGGCCTGTGCTTGTTTTCTTTGCTTGAGATACAATATTGCTGTTTCAAACATTCAGAATAGGTGTGAACTCTCGCGGGTCATTTTGCCTCGAAGTCCTGTCAACTGGCATGGCATCTTTGGAATTTTGATCGGCAGAGAGCTGGCAGCAAATGGGGCCATGTGATATTTGCCACCGATGCTTTGGCAAAGCTGGTGATATGCCCACTTTGGCTGCTTACATCATGTTTCTGAGCTCTCAATCTGGGTTGCTTTACCAGTCTGCTTGATTGAGATCTTCAATCTTCCAACTTTTGTCGCTTCAAAGTTGTTAAACATCTGTCAAAGCACCATCAACATCCCAATCAATTCCATTAAATCCCATTAACATTCTATATACCCTCTGGTTATTTAACATAGCCATGGTATAGATGGCCCATAGAAATAGATGGTTTACCTATTAAAAATGGTGAATCTTTCCATGGCTATGTTAGTCATAACCAAATGGTATTTCCTATCAAACACCATCCTTTTTCGACCGGAAATCGGGCAGGGCCTGGATATCCGCCTCGGCTGCCCCGTGGCCCGTGTGGTCAGCGGCGAGAAAAAGAGCGTCACGGTGCACTGCGCCGATGGGGCCGTCTTCGTTGCGGAGGTCGCAACTGGGATGCTGGTGGATGCTGGTGGATGCTGGTGGATGGTGGATGCTGGTGGATGCTGGTGTTTTGAAGTAGACTTTTGTGGTTTATTGTTGCTAGGAGCGAGTTGCGAGTCGAAGTGATAGTTAAAACAAAAAGATCGTGTTGTTTGAGACTTGTGTATCTGAAGCAAAGAATAATTTACTGTATGGTTTCCGCACACCGATCATAATATTCAAGAACATCAAGTTTTAAGTACTACTGTAATCATAACATTTCCGCATCGTTCCACATAAAGCATGAACATAATTATCATAATCTTGGTAACACATCATGTTCAATACTAATCGTTAACTGTTTTCAAGTGGCTTGTTGCACTGGACCAAGGTAATCGTGACGCTTCCTTTGGGTGTGCTAAAGGCTGGCGCCGTGGAGTTTATTCCCCCTCTGAGTGCCAAGAAGCAGGTGCCAACGCGGCAAACCGGTCGCTGCTGTATGTGAAAGTGGTACCCTCTGGTAATGACCAACATAGCTATTGGACATGCCCATTTATAGTGGATTTACCCATTGAAAATGGTGATTTTCCATAGTTATGTTAGTTTACCAGAGGATACTGCCCCCGGAACGTATCTATTGCATTTGTTATCTTTGTTGCTGAGTCATCACTTGAAAATTACCCTCCAATGTAACAACATTTCACATAGCTGTGCAAAATGGCACATTTATAGATGATTTACCTTGATTTACCTATTGTAAAATGGTGATTTTTCATGGCTATGTTGAATTACCATAGGGCCATAGGGTATATATTTCCAAGCTGTCTCGGAAATTGGCCTGGACCGGGCATCTTACCTGTCTCAGGCAGCGATACAATCGGTTGGCATCTTGGCAGGGGGACGCTCATCCACGCTTGCCTCGATAATTACTATCCATGGTCAACACTTTGATTATATAACTATATATATGGGGTTGGGTCAATACCTATAAAAATACCATTTTTGTTAGGGGTTATTCACATCCATAAATCCCCGCTATGAATTGATGTGAACAGAAGGGGTACAAGGTTTTGACACACTGCCATATATAATCCCTATTGTTGATGGTTAAATCCTATTTTTCTTGGCCATGATTCTCCATGGTGAATTTCTGGCGCCAAATATATGTCCCCCATTGCCATAGCGCTGAGGTATGGCGCTGCTGAATAAGGTGGCCTTGCGCTTCCAGGAGCCCTTCTGGCCACAGGAGATCTGTGGTTTCAACCATGTGCCGCAGGCGTGCAACTGGGGAGTTGCGAAGCCAAGTGGCAAAACGAGGTGGTGAAAAACCTGATACAACTCATAGATCACCCAAAAAGATGAAAGCATGGACAACAAAGCTGAGGAACAGGAATAAACAAGAACCAGTTTTTAAAAGTTGCACCCACAAGCCTAAGATAAGATTAGTAGCCCCACCTATCTCCCCTGCTGCCCTTCCTGTTCAGTGGGTCCTGAGCCTAGAGCGCCCCGATGTAAATGATAGTCACCGTAGTCATAACGGTAGCTCTCCCAAAATGGCGGTTCACTTTTCAGCTTGGTGAATCATTCTGCTTTGTCCAAGTTCATTGATTATGGTTGGTTATCTCCCATCATTTAACGGGTCCGAATATCATAACATTTTATGAAATCCAATGAATGCACATGATTTTTATGGGATTTATGATTTTCCGAGATATAGGCCGATAAACCACTAGAATTACCATAAAATCCCCATACCATCCCAATTTTCCAATTTTCTTACCCTTTTACTATGATCTCCCCATAAAGTCCCGAGAAAATCCACTGATTTCACAATAAAAAATGGGGTGGGTGTGCATCGTCACCAGGTTTGTAAGCCGGAGGATGTGGAGCCGCATGAGTGGGTCTTCCAACCTCGCTGCGCCGCTGAACCTAGCTCTGGGTGGCTGAGATGTGGAAAAGCCACCATTGGTAGGATCATTTTCCGAAAATCAATGGATTGGTTTAAGGGAAAATCTACAGGAAAGCCCCATATTTAATGGGAAAATCATGGTTTCCTGTAAATTTTCCCTTAAACCAATCCATTGAGAAAAGGATTTTCATGTTCTCCAGGGCGCTGCCTGGGGTTGCGCTTACATAATTTGCACCCCACCCCAACACATATCTACGCAAGCATACTATACATGGAACAGGTCCGGGTTTTCTTGAACCTGGCAACTTTTTCATGTTAGAATTCAGTCTACCACTCAACATGTTTGACCACCAAGATTGGGTGACACAAGATGACCAAGTTTGAGGGTCACTCGTTTATTCATGTCCGATTCACTAACGCTTTTGGACTGCTTGATGCGTTCAAACACAAAGTTTCATCTTGGCTGGAGCGGGACCAGGTATTGCCCGAATGGATGAACATATCTATTGGTAATTCATGGTAATTCAACATAGCCACGGAACATGGCCTATTTAGAATAACTAGTACATGATTTACCTGTGAGCACGTGTGATTTTTCATCGCTATGTTGAAGTACCATAGGGTGTGCATATATATATATAACTATATAATTATATAATATTAGATTATATATACATTTACATACATATTATACATTGCATATCATGAAATATTCCCATTGAATCCCATTGAATCCCATAGAATCCCACATTCTCCCACATTTTCCAGCATTTTCCCAACGTCTTGGTCGCTGATGTGTTGAGGCAGGTCCGGTGGCAGTGGCTTTCTTCAGTTGTTCCAGTGCAAGGCGACCGCTGGTGATCCCTGGCCTGGACTAGGGATGATCACCAGCCATTATATTAGCATGGATGATTTGATCACTATGTCATACTATGGCTATATATATATATGTCTATATATCAAATTACATAGTATTTGATTATCATAGACATAGTATTATATCAAATTATATTATAGACAGACATGGTTACATAGACATAGTATTTGATTATCACTATGTCTAATCATTATATATCATATCACTCTTATTTATACTATGTTTGTCGTCGTTGCTATTCTTGTTTTTCGTTCTGATGGCTGACCTGCCCACTTACGAGTGCAAACTGAGAAAAAAAACTGACATCAACATCGAGGGCTTGATTTGGGTTAGTCAGAGTCAGGTCTGTTTCTTCAGTGGGTGAATCATATTTTGTTGGACACTGAGGGCTCCCTATTTACTTGATGGGTTACTGAATGCGTTTTGACCCCAAGAAAAACTCTCTCACTGAAATCCAGAGGGACATGGGTGGTGAATTCACCCTGTTCATTTTTTCCAACAAATGGTGGTTGTTTTATCTGCTTTATCGTTTTGTGAAGCATTCATTTTCCATCTGGTCTTATTTTCGATGCGCATTCCAGGCATCGCAAGTGGGTAATGACAATACGAAACAGAGAAAGTAGATTAGCAATTAGCACGACATACGCCACTTAGACTTAGACGAATGGGTTATTGCCCACGTTGTAATCAAACATCCACAATCAGTAAAGTTAGCAAGTCGTGATATCTGGTTTATCTCCATACTGATATTGATAAACTTCGTGTCAACCATCAATTGATACTGAACATTTGATTGACACAAACTTGATCAACGCATTCTTGTGACTAGTCAACAATTAATCTTTAATAAACCATGGGGAATACGATTAAGTGGATAGTCACCAGTTGTAGCTGATCCAGTCCTCTCTAATCCTCAAACTACTTGGATTCCAAGCTACTTACCCTCTGGTTATTTAACATAGCTATGGAAGCCATGGCCCATTTACAGATGATTTTCTCATTAAAAACCGCCATTTATGAGGATTTTCCATAGCTATGTTAAATAACCAGATGGTACCATCTTTGTTTAACACCCCAGACCCGACATTTGCCCAGGCGCGTGGAGCACCTGAGCGACGAAAGCTTGAGAGCTCGCTTGCTGAGGCGTCGAACGCTTCGACCGTCCATTGAGTTCGATCAATGACCAAGCTTTGAATGGGATCGTTGTAAGCCAGGTTGTTGGGTTGTTGCTTTTTTTTAAATATACATACGTCTACATACATATAATTACATATATATATACATACACATATATATATATATATATATGTACACACATACATACATATATCATATATATATATATACATACATATATATATATGATCATATGTATGTATATCCAAGCAAGAGGTTGATCCAACACTTTCACAGAGACAGCAAATCAAAGGCCAAATAGGTATTCAATCCAAGAGCAGGACACTTAAAGATAGGTGAGGGTGAAAAATCAGTAAGACCTGGAGCCTGGTGTCATGAAAGATGGCTAGCTGGGAAATCAGCGAACTCGCCGTGGAGATTTTAATGAGAAAATCATCGAACTAAATGGTGAGTCTTGTCGTTGCCATGTTTGATTACCAGAGGGTATGTGACAGCATTTTTTTATCGCATTTGTATTACTGTATGTGTCGAATAATGTCGGTATGATACTTCTTGGCGGCCATATTTCTACAAGATTCATATGTTGTTTACACCAACTATTCGACCACCACGTTGCCCAGCCGCCAGAGGATCTTGGCAGAAACCTTCGACTCCAGTGTGAAAGATCTGGAGGCAGCTTGCAGCTGGGAAAGAGGGGTCATGGCTTGGAATTTCCGTCATCTCTTGGGTGTGGACCTGGCTTAGAATCTCAGATTTCATGTGGGTGTGTCTGAAAATAGTGTACCCCTACACCCAATGGTTAATGATCATTATCCCTACTAAATGGCTATAATTGGAGGTATACCCCATTTTCAGACATACCCATGTGATTTTTCAATGTTTTCCCGGCTTTGAGCTTGCCCTTCCGAATTCCTGGAGAGAGGTTTGCAGTTTTTCTGGGGGGTCCAAGCTCAATTCTTGGGCTGGCTCCTTCCAAAGTGTGGTAGCTTCCGCATTTTGGATGGTAAAACTTTCCACTTTTTCTTGGTGAAGCCATCCGTTGACATGGAGATGGCGGTGAAAAAATAGGTACCATTTTCATGACCGAATGGAGACGATCCTTGAAGTTAGTAGCTAGTGTAGTACTTCTGATGTGTATAATATATAAATTTATACATATGAGTAACTTATATCCTGCACTATATAATATATACAGTATGATTGTGATATACATACATGTATCATCATGTATCTACATATTCACTTGGAGTTACTATTAACCAACTCGCCCATAAAAACCTGGGCACGCCGCAGCGTTGAGGCCTCCCTATTAGAGCTGAAACGAAGTCGTTGGGAGGCACCGTTGGGCACTGTTGGACGCAGAGTAAAGCCGTGTGATTTTTTGGCAAATTGGATATATGCCATCTAGGTATAATGAATATCATGGAATATCTCATGAGTATCAGATTGGATATGCGCCATCTATATGCAATCTATATGCCATCTATATGAGTAGCAATATATATATATATACATATGGCATTCACCAAGAAAAAAGTTGTTCCCTGGTCAAAAGAGGGCAAGGTCCGGCAAGGTGTCCTGAAGACTCCATTGTGGGTGGTTCAATCAGCCACCGGTGCGTTATTTGTTTCTGTTGGATGTCCAAATTTTGTTGGTCACGTAATAGCTTACATATACCCAATTGTCTCATAACTATGCTAATTATATATGTATAATATATATATATATGTGATATATATATATGATACATATATATATATATATTACACATGATAATTTAATACGATTTATGCATATATATATACATATATATATACATACACATCATATTCCCAATTCATCGCGGAATGCCTGGGCCCTGCGCGAATCGCGCACCATTAGGCGGATGAGTTCTCAAGGGGCAGCTATTCCTATTTGCCGCTGGACAGATTTTGGTGGATCATCCAGCTGGAAAGAGGTCATGAAAGGGGGATATGTAAGGCATGGCATGGCATGGCATGGATGGCAGTATCTACCCTCTGGTAATTTGTTACATAGCTATTGAAAATGGTGATTCAAAAAGTGGATTTACCCATTGAAAATGGTGATTTTCCATAGTTATGTTAGTTTACCAGAGGGTATATGAATCTTATGGCGCTACCTGAAACATAGTTCATCTGAGGAATCGCATGGTTGACCCCGAAAGACATGGCTACTACATTGTAGTAGCCATGTCTTTCGGCGTCAACCAAGCGCAGGCCTGTTGGGCAGATGGGACATGGAGCAGAAAACGGTGGGATGGCTCAAATGATAGATCTGATAGTCCATTGCCAACTTGATCCCCTAAACTCCAGAGCAAATTCTCTTAGCAACGTCCGTTGGGGAGAGGCTTCTTTCGATGACCAAAAATGCCATTCATGGCCAGCCGCGTTGCCAGCCGCTTATTAAGGCCCTGTGGTGTAGCACCTTGGCAACGTGCTTCTTTGGCAGAGCCTCATGGAGAACGTGCGACTTGGCCTGGTGATCCCTTGAAGAGCGCACCAGCGACTATGACTTTCCAACAGCACGTTGCAGGATGCATTCATCACTCGATAAGTCTAATGAGTTTAATGCGTCTAACGTATATTGAGTAATTATATTGATCCTGGACATGTGTGGATGTTTTGATAGCATTTCTATGACTTTCCAAGTGTAGCATCCAAGCTGTAGGCCACGCAATGTTTGTTCCGTTGGATTTGAGCAAACAACTGTACGCAACCGCTTGGTTTCTTTTACCATCTATGTTTTTTCTTGTCCTGATGAAATCATCCCAACATTCATCGGTTTTTTCCCTGTTTTTGTTGGTGGCTCGGTCGTCCTGTACACGCGCGTTTCTTGTGACGGAAGTCCCACAGGCACGGATGGTTTTTGTGCATTTTTCTCCGCGTACGTCAGCTTCTGGGGTGGGCTGGGGACGGGTGAGGGGAACCAATAACATCACTTGGCACTTGCACACTCACGTGATGCTACGTTATGAATCTTATCTCACAAATGTGTCCTGCTATAGAGATGTGCTACATTACGTTATGGGGTTGGGGCAGTAACATTCACCTTAACTTGTCCAATTGATCTTACGCCTTACGCTAGAGATGATGAAAAAAGGTGCCCAAGACGTCTCTTGGTGCGCGAAAAACGAGACGACTCTTGGTGTTGTTGGTGAAATCCACATTTTGATTGAAGAAATCATGAAGCAAAACCCATAATTATTTTTGTTGGTGTTTCACCACTCTTACACTCTGGTAGTGCCTAACATAGCTATTGAAAATGGTGATTCAAAAAGTGGATTTACCAAGTGATCATGGTGGATCTTTCGCTCGTTTTTTGTATGTTTATCAGAGGGTACAGTAGTTGCTATGAAATCCATTTTGCTGTTGGTGAAATTTCCATGAGGTGATCTTTGCTGGAGAGCACTGTCGGAACGACTACCCCTCGACCCTTCACGGCGCGTACCTGTCGGGCTGCCGGGCAGCTGAAGATGCGATTCAGCTGTCGGGATCCACAGATGCAGCGAAGCATGGCGAAGAATTCTGATATATATATACATACACGTATATATATATACATACACGTATATATATATATGTGTCAACAATGATATATAATGATATAATAATAATATATAATGATATAATAATAATAATGTTATATAATGATATAATAACAATATATAAGAATATATTATTATTATTCTTACTATTATTATTATTATTGTTATTAGTATTAATAATTATATTATCATTCTTCTTCTTCTTCTTATTATTATCATTGTTATTACAATCTGTATTCTTCTTTGATTATACATATTTGTATATTGTTGATGATAAACACACCATCGATAATATTCACAGTGATTGTTTAAACATATTCATTGGTTAACAATGACATCATTGGTGTGTTTCAAATAAATAATGAACCCAATATAGATAGTGGATAATAGTGTGTTAGTCATGAATAGGGATGGTTAAACCATGTTAAACACATAGATTAACGTGGACGTTTCTTGGAATGGGTACCCCCAAAACCATTGGTTTCCCCATTAGGGATGATTTTAGGAGTCTCCAATGTTCTAAGAAACCTCTATATATACATGTAGCAACCTCCAATCAGATAGAAAAACATCACATCTTAGCATTAGCACGTTACCATAGATAGTGTTATCCTATTTTTTTTATCACCGACCCCCGGTAAATTTTCGTCAATTGGTCCAGCCATCCCGCTGAGGTGTATGAGATCCGCGGACGCGGGTGGATATAGATGAGCAACGAGGCTGACCTCGGTCGCTGCATGGGGTGAAGAATGTCAACCTCTGTTTTTTCTTGGTGGGGGGTGGGGCCGGAGTGTTTTGAATCTACTCTCAGTTGATGGAACATTTTGGGGGTTATTCATATATACGGTATCAATATATTACTATATTTGGGGATTCGCTATGTGAGTTTGCGTCGTGTACATATTCGTGACAGTGGTGTATGACTTTGCAGTGCAAAGTCAGGATTTCACCGGTGGATTTTGGATGCCCAAAGATTCATGGGTTGGAGTCCCCCAAAGTGTCATTCCAGTTACAAATGCTACACATCGGTTCCCCTATATACATTAGTCAACTTATTCATCCGGGGTTGACATTACAAAGTACAACAAAATGGCTTTGCACCCAAGACGCTAGGAGCACTTCAGCCAGAAACACAGTAAAGTGCTTTGTAGATGTACAGGTTGTGGCAGACTTGCTTGGATGACCATGCATTGCTAGATTTATACCGAACTTCTGTGATTTGACAGGCAAATCAATTCTTGGTCTTTCAAGTAAGTGATTCTAGTCCTCGGTTATTCCTCGGATCTAGTCGAGCCTAGGCAGTGATCATGACGCCCGAAATGACTCTGTTGGGAAGACTCTTGGGCATTGCATGGCTCAAAAAGCGCACACAATGAACGGCAGCAATCAAGCAGATCTGGGGTAAGGATCATGTTCATGTTAAGTCCAGATCGTATCCAAAAACAGGAAAACACTGACACATTGCCAGCCATTCAATGCAACATTCAGCCTATTGGGCATACATGTAGAGATTGTTGTGCAGAATCTGCTCGATGGCTGTGCCCGACGTCTGAGTTCTGAATATGAAGATCCCGACGTTGAAGTTCACTGTCAAAAAAGACTGTGAGGCCTTGAAGAAAGGGCGAAACACACTCGAGACGTTGAAGAGCACTTCGAGGTTTGGTGTCAAAATTGTGAAGATTTCCGAGGTACGGCCTCACCGGGCAAAAGGAAAGAAAGATGACTTTCCAGATCGCGAGTCCCGACTTGAGAAGGGCCTCTTAGCTGTGAAGTGAAAGTTGCATAAGTGTTGAATATGACACGTATGACACGATAGCATCACTTAGCATTTGTTCATATTTCCTCTGCCTCGTGTTCATGCAGTGACCCTCAAAGAATCCATGATCAGATGGTGAACGTCTGAGGTTTTCACGTTTGGATACTTCCTCACTTGTCCGCGAGGGTTCGGCTAAGCGCAAAAGACAACAAGATCTTGGATGAGAAGCAGGTATGGAAAGTCTTTCTGACAGCTTACGAGCTGGAGACCTTGGCTAAAGACTGAGTTTTCCCCGGACAGTTTGCCCATAAGATATGGGATGAGGACTCATAAAGAACCCATGCTCTGGTCACCCTGGTCTAGCTCTATTTTTTCCTAACCTCACGCCTTTAGCATTATGCGGTTTGGGTTGGATGTAATTCTTCACGTTCGAAAGTTCGGGGAACCCAACCCACACATTTTGCAACATCTCATAACAAAGGAGAATATTTACACCATTGACGCCACGAAAAGAAATGCGGTGAAAGTGCCTGCGGGCGACAAAGATGGGCGCAGCGACACGGAGCGGGTATTGCAGGCAGACCTCAGAGGTTTTATGAACGAGTTCAGCCTTGACGACGAGGATTTAGAACTGGAGAAGTTTGCCTGTGCCGCTGAACCCTTTTGCAAGTATGAACTTGAGACTGCTGCCTCATTTTGCACATTCCCTTACGCCAAAAGGCGGCTTGAGGAAGAAATGGACCCCCAGCTGCTTGACCGCTTGCGCAAGAAGGGAAGGGTGGAATTGCTGGCGCTGAACATGCGCTACCATTTTGGTGTCAGCCCCGTTGCAGTCATGCACCAGCCCAACAAAAATGACGAATATTTGGTTGAAATTCCAGAAACCGTCTGGACCATACTCCACCCAAACGACCACCTTGTATTTCTGGAGTCTGACGTGCATACCATGAAGGAAATCAAGGAAAGCATGCAGATGTTGAACAAGGGCATTAGAGAATGGAAGGACCACGAGCTGGAAGGAGTTGGTGTTGTTCGTGAGGTCTTGACGGTTGAAAAGGTGGATTTACCGGAGCCACCCCCAAGACGTGGCAGAGGTGGCTCAAAATCCTGAAGCGTTGGAAGCTTTCGCATCTCAGTTGCGGCAAGGCCCAAAACGTACCGAGCTGATGTTTTTCACCCTGTCTTTTTGAAGTCTAGCTGGATTTATCACTGCAATTGATCCAAGTCAGCCGGCCCATGTGGATATGATGCCCAGGCCGAGTTCGGAGAGCCTCTAAAAAAAGGAATGCATAGGAATGGAAAGGCTCAGCTCGGGTGAAAACCAATGAGGTCACCCTCCAAGTTTCATCAACAATCTGGATATCTTCTAACGACCTCTGTGGGGGAGGGCACTGTTAATGATGGTTATCGTTGGGGATGATCCCAAAATTGGAGAACTTTTGAGGTTGCTGAAGGACCGCAAATGATGAATGGTGAATTGCTATAATTTATCCAGAGCAATTGTACCTGGGTGGTGGTTTCAATTACATTACATTCTGTTTATTTCTTTGTTATTTCGTTTTTATTTTATTTTCAATCCTCTTTGGGATCACGATGCAAACTGATTGTCCTCTCTTTTAGGGGCTGCCGGAACCAGCAACCGGATTATGTGTTTGTTAACCTATACCGTGTGGATCCCCAGAGAATATTACTAGATCATCAATTTCTCCAGAACGCAGAACGGAACCGCTAGAACTGGTACAATGATGACAATCATGGGGAATGATCAGATCCCCAGACAAAAGTATTAGATTAGTAATAGCTTAGTAAAATATAATAATAATAATAGTAATGACAATATAATAAAATAATGATAAAACTAATAGTAATGACATTATTATTATTATTACTATATTTATTACGATATTATATAATATTATTGATAATGATAAGTACTACTACTACTAATAATAATAATTATTATTACTATATTAACTATTGTACAATTCTCCAGAACAATGGTAAATATATGTACATTGAGTGATTTTGTGATCAAGACGCCTCAAGGCGAGATTCGTTTCCTTCGCTCCAAGCTGGCGCTAAAATAGGCACGAGTTGGTTGTCAAGAGACAGTATACACTTGGCTTTGTTTAAGTTTAAGGTGATTTGGCTTATTTTCCCAATGGGAAATCAGTTCAGGGAAGATGTTATATATGTTTTTTGGGGTTGAGGTGAGTTGAAGAAGATTCCTGGACGAAGGGGATCCACGATGATCACAGGTCTGTTTTTCGATGGCATCCACCTCACTGCAGTTGACGCGAACGGATTTCCCAGATTTCCCGAGCAAAGCTCGGCAAAGACGGAGTGCTCCAAAGAATGCAAGCGGCGCTTGGGGACCCCAAGCGGTAATGTGGACATGTGAATAGGAGCCAACTCAACTGATCCGAAGTGGAAAGAACTGTAGAGACTGTTGTGGGGGATTTCGGCTCAGAGGTTTTAGTAAAATCCATTGGAATCCGGAATTTCCAACACATTGCCGTGCCTTTGTTTGTTGCACGTCGGCAGCCTGTGACTTTTTAATTGTTTTTGTGGGTTCATGTCACCTGATCACTTAGCCACTGGTGATTTAACAGTTCGCTATGGAAGCCGCGGTCCATTTATAGATGATTCATGATGATTTACTGATTAAACATGGTGATTTTCCATAGCTATGTTGAATAACCAAAGGGTATCACTTCCCACTGGTGATTTACCACATGGTTTTTACTTTCACATTGCCTCAGCACGACGGAACTCTGAACTGCTCACTGGGAATTTCAGGATCCTAAAATGGAGGTACCTACCATATATAAGGCCTATTTTTCAGGCCTAAGTGAATATCACCAGAAAATATGGCCAGAAATATGGTACAGTACTTACCTCCATAAATTGGATCCTGAAGATCTCCCATTTTCCACTGCTGAGGTTTCACCAACTTTGTGCACACACATGCCACCATGACGGCACGTCGCCGGTGAGTCAGTGTTTTCCGAACACAGGTCGAGGCATGGCATGTTCGGGGGAGTCTTTCGGAGAACGGGATCTTTTATTTTTAGGGATACCCTCTGGTTATTTAACATAGCCATGGTATAGATGGCCCATTTATAGATGGTTTACCTATTAAAAATGGTGATTTTCCATGGCTATGTTAAATAACCAGATGGTAAAATTGGACCATGGCCTTAAATCGGGTTTGTCAGTTGTGATCCAAAGATTTTAGTTCAGAGCCCTTTTTTCATAAATTGGAGCTTTTTCGGAGTCACCATGAAAACAATTGGCGGACCAAGTGACAAACTGCAAGCCATTCTTGGTTTGATTCTATTCTGCTCTGCCGCAGCTGCAGTGCTCGGGGAGACAGGGAGCGCAACACAACTTTGCAGTTTCTTCACAAGACATGGGCTCAGCGAGCAAAGTTTTTGTCCAACTGGGGTGAACATCCCTGCTTGCAATGTCCTTGCAGTATATTTGTCCTGGCCCCCATGCCCGCAGTTCTAGCAATGAACTGGCTCCAAAGTTTCTTTGCCTTCGGGCGTCACCCATGAAAGTCAAGCGTCCTCCCTTTTTTGTAGAAAATCAATTAAATCCCAGCCTCCCTCAATTTCTCGGAGCAGACATTTGGAGCCATCCATATCCGCCAGTACCCACTTTTTCGACATCAAGTCCTGCGGTCATTCTGCTACAGGAGATCCCACAAAGTTATAAGTTGGTCTAAAAAACTATATATATATATATCTACAGTATTATATACATATGATATGATACATCCATTAAAGCCCGCCATCTCAAGCCACCTTTTTCAAACAGAAGCCTATGGAATTCCGATGGAATTTGGAAGCCCTGCATGAACTTTTGCAAAGCGAAGCGATGAAATTCGCATACCTCGCGCTGTACCTGGCTGCGGGCTTTGGCGGCTTCTTCCTGCCTGACCTGGTCTCAGAGAAGGTCTGGGCGGGGCAGCCGGGGACCTGTAGGGATGAAGAATAATGGTGATTTTTGCTTATGTATTATTAAGATTTATTAAGATGCTGATACATTTGTGTACATATTATACATACATATCCCTCCGGGGCAGACGTTCGCCCAAAGTTTCATTGGGGGTTTAGTTACGTTGTGGTTTGTTCAGGATATATTTCAGATTGTTTTAGGGGTGGTTTAGATTTTCTTTAGAGTTTATTTAGTTAACTTTTGTGCTATTTAGGGTTGTTTTAGGGTTTGCTCACGGTTGTTTTAGGGTCTATTTAGGGTTATTTATGGTTGATTTAGGGTTGGTTTAGGCTTTATTTAGGGTTTATTTAGGGTTAGGATGGGGTTAGGTTATTTTGGTGTTCTTTCAAAGTTTTGCGGTTTGTCGAGGTCTCAGTTAACGGCTCGAAACACTGCAAATTGCGGGGGATATCTTTAAGATACGCTTCAAACGGTGATTTTGGCACCATCTCAGGTAAGCGCAAAACACCATGAGACGCAGGTAATATCAATATTTTGCATGCTCGCAGTGTGCGAAAAACACGCACGGAAACAACACAGCAGATTGGAGTCCCGCATGGAATTCCGTGGATTTCGGGCAAACGTCAGCCTCCTAGCGATGCATATACATATATATATATATGCATAGATAAAAATACACGTAAGATGTATATGTCTATGTCTATGTTTACGTATATGTACGTGTAATGAGATAATTCCGCAGAACTTTGGGCCTCCGCGTAGCTGATGTTGATGTTGATCGCCAAACACTGTGGCATTTCATATTATGTATATACACATATTATGTATATACACATATTATGTATATACACATATTATGTATATACACATGTTATGTATATATATATATACACATATTTTTTTTCCATGAGGCACATAGATGCGAGTCGCAGCGGCCTGTGCTAGGAATTCTGTGCAATTGCAGCTTGAGGTAAAATGACCAGTCAGAGGTGTCATCACATGAAAACAAGAAAACAACAAAGCAACAAAGCAAACACAGCAAACAGAAAACAAACCCAAACCAAAACCAACACACAAACCCAAAAAACAAGAAATTGATCACCTGACATGGTCCGGCCCAATGTAAGCACCAAAATCTCGACTTACCATTTGATGACACTGCTGCAGAAAGTGTGTGTCTACACTGATCTGTTCAGCCGTGTCAATGCTTCGCATGGCTTTCACTGTACATTGAGCCAGCGCTGCGCAAAGGGCAGGAGGGTACTCCTTGAGCTGCGTAGTTTTAAAAGCACCATCCTGATTCCTGCCAATGTTGGCATTGCGTGGCAGGTCAGGGGTGATTCTCCAACTACAAATGTCATGCTTGATGGAAGGCAAATTCACAACAAGCAACTCAGTTGGTTTAGGGCTGTCAGCCCCGAGCAAACCCTGTGCTAATCGGATACGTTCAGCACCAGGAAGAGTGAGAATCAAGTGAACTAACGGCAGCTTCCAGATGGATGGAAAATCAGCGCCCTCTGGCTCAGCAGGGTGTTCCACAATCCCTGTCATGCCCTGTACAGCCAGAGAAAGAATGGCTTCAAGACAAAACCCAAGTAAAACATTACCGTCAATCACTTGTTCAAGTTCACGTATGGCAAGTGCTGAGAGACCCCACAAATGCATCGCTGAGCGCACTGGTCGTGGAAGACGACGATGTAGATCCATCCTTTCGGCAGAGTGTTGCACCGCTCTAGCCTTTGACCATGTGGCACATGGTGGACCCCCGAGGAATCCATGAACCCATCCTTGTTGAATTCCATCAATCCAAAACGCTTGCATCTGTGGGTCGCACAAGTCGCCGTACTTCTTATCGATAATGATGTCGAGGGACACGACATGGAGCAAGAATCCATCGGATGTCTCGCACAACTTGTCAATGTACCACTGATAGTCTCCCACGCGCCTTCTGCCGGCAAACGCGTGCAGGATGATTCTGTCTTTCCCAATTGGTCGCGGAGCTGGTACGTTAGGATGCCATGGTTGTTCTTCTCGTAGAAGGGAGCTGCACCATCTGTCAAAGTGGGCCAATTCATCATCAGGTCCACTATGCCCCAGGGCCGGCTCTTCTAAGAACTCCCATGCCTCCACTCGTTGGAGAGTCTCAACCGCCCTCCGCAACGCCGAAGTCTCAAGGCCCAGCATTCCAGCAAAATCATCATCAACACTCTCCAAAAAGACTGCCAAAGTGGCTGAACATTGTGTCCACGATATCGGCATTGCTTGAATTGTGGCTCGCAAAGTCTGAGCTAGGCAAGCGTCAGGCTCACGATCTGCCAACGCATCCACCAACTTGAGAATGAGGTCAGTGCTCTCGATCCTGATGTCTCGAGGACGCACTGGTTCTAGGCTTGCACCTTGTGTTTGCTGTGGCGGTAGAGCTCCGTCATGTCGCCGATCGCCATGTTGAGCCTCAAGAGACCCAATGCCAGGTCCAAGTGGAAAAAGATGTCCCCTTGCCCAAAGGTCTCGTCGGCAAGCGCCAACATTCCTGATGTGCAATTGCATCTTCGTCAAAGTGTGAAACTCTTTTTGACAACACGGGCACCACGTATCAGCAAAAAGGCGACGAATTGGGGCTGCTTGGCCATGACATCGAAAGAAATGGGCCCCTTCTCCTCCTTTAGTTTTACAGCGAAGTTGACATTGCATGCATCCAAACACCCCCATGTCACTATGGGACTTGGTGTACATTGGCTCTGCTTGCGCAAGTCGCCCAGCCGCTTGCAAGACTGAGAAAGAACGTCGATGCAACTTCACGACACCTAGTCGACTCCTCCTCTGAAGAATCGCATGTCGTACTGCACGATTGATGAGTCGCTTCCAGTAACCTCGATGGTGTCGCATCAGATAAAGCCATTGGTCAAAATGAACTGCAGGGTCACGAAGTTCAGACGATCTGTAGAGCTGATTCCACATCCATACCAAATCATCTTGGATCAGACCGATCCATACATGATCTTGAGAAAGAAGCCCCCACTCAGCATAGGCTCCGCAATGAATCAGAATACCAATATATCTGAGTCTGGCACGCCTCAGGAGCTCCGTCGGTGTCGGCAGTCCAAGAAAATCGCAAATCTCATCATCATTCCATCCATTGTGCTTGTGCGGCACCCATTTAATCAATCGCTTATAAAGCTTGATAATGCCAACATGAATGTGATGACGATCAGCAATCGTACCAAAGCACCAAGATTCGGATCCATAGGTGAAGGCACTGCAGACAATGGACTCAAACATTTGCGTTCTGGTTTTCAAATCCAGCGAAGGGTTGCAGTAAAGCACTTTCCTCTGTTGAGTAAATGTCTGATGGGCAACTGCAAGTCGCTGTTTGGCTTCTTGTCTCTGATCTCCTCCATGATGGATGACACCACCCAAATGCTTGTAGCGGGTCACAACCTGGATTTGATAGGAGCTATGTTCACCGATAATTGGAAACAAGCGCCGGCCATGCGCTCCATAGAACTGCTGGCGCAGTTGTCGGGACTTGCGACCACGAAGGGCAAGAAGGATCTCGGTTTTTCCTGCCGCAAGATTCGGGGACATAGCAAAGTTCACACATTGATCCAGCAGGAGTCCTGCTAGAGTGCCCACTTTCCGTACAGCTTCCTCAGCAGAGCTTCCGGCAACAGGTATTGCCAAGTCGTCCATCCAACATGGGCCAAGGAATGGCCTAAGCGGCAATTGTGGATCAACCTGCTCATTTGCGGCGAAAGGATTGGCCATCTCTTGCTGTGGAAAAGCTTCTAAAAGGCCCATCTCAATGCACTTTTGTTCCAGAGAACGCAAAACACGTGCCCATAGATAACCAAAAATGGTATCTGCAAAGCAGTCGCCGGGGCGACTACCGGCAGTGGTCCGGCACACGTCATTGTCCTGACCGTCAACGACAAACCACGTGTCCGTATGTATGGCAGTGATGCAATTGCGCAAAAGTGGTGGCAGAGACGCTTGTTGGAGCGCACAAGGGTCTCGAAGATGTTGATGAAGATCCTCCATGATCGATGGCGGAAGCCCAAGCCGTTTGGCTACATCTGCAATGTCCTGGTCATCCCAGCGATTTTGCATTGCAAGTGGTCGAAGGACTCGATAGAAAGCTTCCTTGAGATCAAGGAAAATGATGCAACAGGAACGATTCAACTTCTTTTGCAGTCTCAGGAATGCCCGCAAGTGATGGATGCCAAGGTAGACAGGGATACCTGGCCGTCCTCCAAGCTGTTGGTTTTGTAAGAACTGCTCGTAGAAGCTGGTCTGATTCATTCTCAATGTACGATGCAAACATTTTCCGATTTGTGAGGAAACCAAAAGACTGCGGTACGACGCGCAGTCATCAACATCACCTTTTCCTTTGTAGGCTGCAGTAAGACGGCCACCCTTATGGGGGATGGCTTCTTGCCCATGGAGGGCCATCTTGAGCAATTGTGAAAAGGTGGCACGCGCAAACTGGCCAGCATTGTATTTGCATGCTTCTGGAGGGATAGAGTCCATGCCAACAGCTCGACCAATGCGCACATGGGAATAAGCACGTTCCAAATCACAAAGCGTTGGGAGTGAATCAAAGTTCAAGTCAAACTGATGCTGCCGGAAGTGCTTCAAGTTGTCAATCCAACCTTCTCTGAGCTCATGGTGGGTTAAACGCCTTCCTCCTTCCATGTTGCAAAAGAATTCAGCCCAGCGGTCACTTCTCTGGCTGCCAGACGCACAGTGTGTGCCGTCTTGATTCTTCAGCAGTGGGAATGGGCGTCTCTTGATCTTTTTCGGATTCGTGGGTCCCTGAATTTTGTGAATGGCTTGCAGTATCTGACCAGCACTGGCTTCTCTTGGCAGCTGCTCAAGTCGGCTTTGAAGCAAGTGCGCTTTCGCCTTGCACAGTCGGACCTTCAGCTGCTGAGCAACACTATGGAGTTGAGCCATGCAACGCACTGAGCAGCAAGCAAGGGTGGTTGAATAACTTCGGATAGAGTCAGCCTGCTGCTGATCACCAATCTGTCGGGTCCAAGCACGCCAAATTTGAAACAACAGTTCAATCTTCTGTCTTCGATGGATTTCACGTAGGGTTTTGCGATGGCGAAGTTTCAACGTTCGCAATGCCCATGTTTCTTCATCCAAATAAGGTTTCTTGGGGCCTCTTTTCCGACTTGGGTGCGTCTTTTCCATGGCTGTGATGACAAACTCATTGAAATGATCAACATGGTGTTCAATGTTGTGAGTCCAGCATGGGACCTTGTAGTCCTGCATGTCAGGCTGCAGACTCAAACGGCTAAGATCAGCCCTTTCAAAACCTTGCTTCTGATGCGCCATCTGCAAACTTTGTTGACTGCATCCTTGCCAATGTAACTGCACGCCCACCAGTTCATGGTCAATGTGGGTCAGTCCAAGGTCAAAGGTCTCGTCAACAAAAGAAAATTCGCACTTCGAACGCAAAGACTGCGGTATGGCCACATGATCAATGCGACATTGCAGCTCACCCGAGGGTGACGTCCAGGTGGAATGCTTGCCAACATGCGTTGAAAAGGTCGCTGGGAGACAAAGTCCCTGCGCATCCAAAAACGCTCTCAACATTGGTGTGCTGGCACTAGGCGCATCTTCATGTGGACCAACAAGAATGTCGTCACGCACTCCTGCTGCTGCATTCGCATCAAGAAGTGCAAACAGGTACTGAGAGTCGCAGGCTCTTTGTCGCGTGCAAAGCTCTCCGCAGGAATGCCACCATTGCTCTCGGTCAGAGAGTGGCTGTCCACTTTGTGGACCATGGCCAACCAAAACCAAAGCATTCAGGAATGGTGCATCAATGGAGACCAAAAGTGTGCGTGGATCAGCATGTCGAACTGTGAAGTGTCTGCGGTGGAAAAACTGCGGTTTACCCAGCACATAAGCATAAGGCTGTTTCAGACTAATCCAAAGCTCAGTTCCATGATGCCCTTTGTAGGCTCCAGAGGCAATTCGCACAACTTCACCTGCTGTCGAAAAGCTCTGAGGACTTCGAGCTTCTTGAATGCCCAGAATATTAAGACAAGTATCTCGAAATTGTTGGCGTAGGTACTCAACTTTTCCACCATGTCCCTCTGGTCCGGCAGGCAGCGAGAGGACGTTCACGGTCGCAAGACTGAACAGAAATGTCACGCCAACCTCATGGACTTTTGCGGCAGGTGTCCGTGCGAATGGACTACATCTGTCAGGCAGTGAAGGAGCCGACGCATCAAACCCTTGTTGTGTAAATGGAGGCACTCCCGCATCCTTTGCAAATAACATCCAGAGGTGCGGCATGGCAGGTTGCCATTTCCGGACATCAAAGGTCTTCGGTCTCGGGAGGTAGAAGCTCTTTTCTCGTTCAGCTTTGGCTGCGTAATCTACAAAGTCGTTCCATGGGTCCTGTGAGTGACCTTTCACATGGCGCACATCAAGTCGTCGTCCAGGAAGGCAGGCTTCAAGAGCTTGAAACGCACTTCTCAACATGATGAAAGGTTGCTGGTAGTCATTGTTGCTAAGACTGCCAGATGCTTGTCCACAGGAAATGGAGGAATCTGAACAAAATACTGTCGGGATATCCAAATTGATGGACAACCTCCAAAGCGCTGCCCAGAACAGTGCCTCCTTTTCGGATGCGTCGGAGCCAATTCTGTCAGTACCAAGGAAGAATTTGCTGTTGGGATCGTAGTGCACAGGTTGGGCTTGCCAGCCAATGAGTCGAATGATCTTCTGATCACCAGAATAGCACTCCCCCAAGGCGACAAACGCCCAAGTATCTGATAATCCTTGCTCATCAGAAAGTGCAGGTGGTTGATGTCTGAGGTGGCTCATGGAGGATCCATCAGTGTAAATCACGATCCTTTCAATATCTTGCATCTTGCAGCTTGTAGACCAGTCAAAGAAGGGTGCCATTGCCGTTGAAGGCGGAAGTTGCAGACCTTCAAATGTTGTACAAAGTGGGAATTCCTCTTGCGAGAAGAACGACGCCAATGTAGCAACATCGACTCCTAAGCTGAGTTTGCATGGTCCACATTCCACAGGGACGTCTTCACAACAAAGGTTGGGCCGAGGCTGTGTCCTCAGCTCCGCAGGAGTGCGGTCAGGCCACGGTGTTGGCTGTCTTGACTGCAGGCTTCCTGGATCAAGGATGGACATTTGAAGTACAAAGACGACCTTATAGACATCTGGCAGACACTGAATAATCGCTTGGATAGTTGTCTTGAAAAATCCCAAGCTGTGCAAAATCTTCATGCAGTCCAACTCGTTCAGTACATCTCCTTTGTGGGAGTGCAGAAAAGCTGCATTCGGATCTGTGCCGTCCGTGCTGCCAAAGATGTAGTGTCGAACATTGTCATCAGGTGTACGATCGCGAGAAAGACAGAGGAATTCATGGTGCTCCGCAAATTGAAATACAAAGCAATCATGACCCCAGTGCTTTAATTCGTCAACGATCTTGCTTTCAGTGGGCATACCATCAATTTCCAGAAAGGAGGGCACCTGGACAATGAGGTCCCCTGCACGTAGCCTGACAGCATGTGATGGGCCCTCATCAGATTTCTGGTCTTGTTCACTGTCCTCGACAAGAGCTTCTTCGATATAAATTGTTCTTCTTTGTGCCTTTGTTTGCAGAAGAGATGGGCCATGTTGTGCCTCAAGCAGTTCAGCAGTGTGTGGCAGATAGTCAGCAAGGCGAAATTGCCAAATCTGAAGCGAAATGCCATAACCACTTCTTCCAGCTAGAGGTTGTTCGCGGCGAAGTGGTATCTGAAGATACCATGCAGCAAAACCATGAGATGGGATGGTCGCAAGGCAGTGCGTCTCATGCCCAACAACTCGCAGTAAATTGTCAACAAGAATATGCTCATGTGTTGTGACCGCAATGTTGTAGTGCAAGCTCGGACGATCTGGCCGAGCTTCGTAGACACTCACTAAACTTGTGACCCAGTCTTCTCGCTCTTGTTGCACCAAAATGACGTGCGCTGCTACAGCATTCGTACCACTTGGAGGTTTCGGGTGGACGATGTAGAACTCAATGTTGCTTCTTGCGTCAACATATTCAATCCACAATCTCCGTAGCTCATCTTCCCATTGCCAATAATTGGCAAAGAGTTGCTTTTGTCTGCTGTTGCGGCAGTGTGGATTCTGCCATCTGTGATCAACAAACCAAGTCTCGATTGTGCAAGGAGGCGATTCTTCATCCCAAACGGCAGCATGTTGGTTCCACTGTGCAAAAAGATCAATTACAAACTCATTGGCTCCAAAAAGATTGGCCTGTCCAGGTTGGAATGGGGCCGCATTGAGATTGAATTGAAACGCAGTGGCTTCTCTCGGCGGTGCTGAATGATTGATGTCGACCGCACATTGACTGCCGGATTGAAGTGAACTGTTCTGTGCTGTTGAAGCAGGCTGCAGAATGAGCTCCGACTGCATGAGTGAGAACACTTCATCTCTGAAGGGGACATCATTGCGAGGCAGCTGAATCACTACGTTCGTGGCACTCTCCAAAATTTCAGGATCATAGATAGCAAAAGGAAATTGCTTCCAGGTCACACGGCACTGACCTTGCGGCTGCAGGGTCTGCAATCTTGCTAAATGGATAATGCTGCCACGTGTTTGCATTGCTTCATCTGAATGCGCAGAATGCATGATCTGCGCACGTCGCTGATCTGTGCATGCCTCATCAATGACAGAAATTACAAATCCAACTTGGTCAGGCTGCTGGCCTTGCTCAATAAGGACATGAGCCTGTGTGCATTCAAAGTCACTGCAAGGTGGTTGTGGTGTGACCAGACTCAGCGAAAGGCTTTGGTCCAAGCGTACAACGTCTTGCCAAGCTTCGATAATCTGTGCCTTCCACTCTTCTGGGTGATCAGAGAGTCGCACCGAACGCGAGTCTCTGCAGGTCTTGTGCCCAGAGTGGTGAAGATACCATGTCGTGATGTATGCAATTCTGCCTTCTTCTTCACATTCAACAAGATCAGCTTCATCAACCAAGCGGGAGAGCCTACGAAGTTGGCCTGCTGCAAAATCGGCCCTGGGTTGCGGCCAAGTGGGTTGCCTCCCAGTTCGATCTCCTTGCCTATCATTCTGTCTGCGTGCAAATCGCGGACTGTCGCCATCACTGGGGTCTGTCTTGAGCTCCTTGATGGCATTGTGCACGTCAGTTTGATGTGCAAAGTGAGAGAAAACATCAACAGTATTCTGCATGAGTGACAAATGTGCCTGGTCACTTCTCGAATTGCAAACACTGGGAGTCTCTTCCAATACACCTCTGGCTATCGCAATTGCAGTCTGAGTGTCCAACTCAGGATCTTCAGGTGGTGGTACCTGTATCCTGATGTAGTCTCCATGTGCTATGACATGCAGCGTGTTGTCCCGCCATTCCCAAAGCCGATGATTTTTGTGCACAATGCAGCGATCTTGCATAGCCCGGCAGTAGTCATCAAGATGCTGCAAAATCAGTATATGCGATCTGTGAAGCTGCGCATTGACACGCATGACCTGTCTGCTGGTTGCAGCAGGAACCGCTAAGCCAGATGCTGACGCATGAAAGTGCAAAATGGTGTCCACAAGGACAAGCTTCTCATCAGATCCAGCGGGCACATCATGTATTGATTGAAGAATGACTGCTTCTTCAGAGATCTCATGAATGTCTGGAGGCAAGACTGCAAGTCGATGAAAAGTCCTGATTTGACTGCGCGGCAGCCGCAGGGCATGAATGATGCCATCAAGAATTGTCATATACGTGGACCATGTAGCAAAGCAATGCTCATCTCGCGCATGTAAACGGTACACCAGGATGCCTTTGTCAGCACTGTGAATACTGTCGTCACTTGCTGAATCATGTGGATCAGCATCAGGTGGCTCATACGGCGGTTGTCCACCTGTTTCTCCTGGATGACCATTCTCATAATCAATGTCATCATCATGTTGGCATGGGCGCAGAGAATGTGAAGCAGCTTGACTACTTTCGCCACCTTGATGTTGGTTATCACTTGCTGCAGCAGTGATTGGCCACGCAGTCTGGATATGCAAAACGAAAGAGTGTCCTGCGCGCATGAAATGTAATTGTCTTTCATCGCAGGGAATTTCATTCCAACCAAATGTGATCAAGCAGCGATGATTGACAGTGCTGCACCAATGCATGCAATCAGCCGCATCCACAATGTTGAAACCAGAAATCATGGGGCCAAAAGACGCCGCATTAGCAAATGAGAACTGCTGTGCAGAGCTTCCAGAGTAGTGCGTGGTGACAATACCTGAAAGGCGATGAATCCATGTACCCTGCGACAGGATGATATCTGCATGCGTGGGTTGTGGCAACGATCCCCTATAAGGGTCTGGAAAAGCGACATTGAAGTCAACTTGTTCATCAGGCCGGATGTGGTCTCTCCACGCACCCCGAAGGTCAGCATCCCATCTTCTCCAATCTTCAGAAAATTCCAAAATTCGATATTCAAGGTTCCTCTGATGATGGACATGATGAATGTACCAAGTACGCACTCGGAAGACGTCTTCAGTGTCAAGATCCGTGAATGCGCCATGTCGTTCAGCCAATTCGAGAAGGTCATGAACAAATGGTGGAGCATGAACAGGATCTGGGATGACGTCCGGATCAGGCTCTGGCTGTTCCGCATCCTGTCGCATCTCAGGTGGAATTGGGTTCTGCCATTGGTCGGTGATACGGCACCTGTCAATGGACAATGGGTCTTCTGCAGAGTTGGGACTGGAGATACACACGGCCAAGCTTGACAGCGGATCAACATCAGTCCTACTCCATGCACACTGTAGATGTTGGATGATGGTCAAAAGATCATTCTCAAAATTGATGTGGCAAAGCGCATTCTGTGGGATCTTGATCCCAGTCATACAAATTGTCGTGTCATGACCAACCAGAACTTCGACATCATCACAAAATCGAACACGACCAGGACAATGCGGTGGAGTTGGAAAAAGATCACGAAGAGATGAAACATTTTGACGCACAATACCATCATAGGTCCCCAGCTCGAAAGACAATTGTCTGGCACGTTCAACAGCTCCCCATTCTGTCAAGAAAGCCGGCTCAAAGGTGATCGAGTGGGACCATTTGGCTACAAGCAATTCAATGGGCAAAATGCACCTAGTGTCAACAGGCTTCAGGTTGAAGTACGAAGATGTCACTTGCAACCAGCCTAACCAAAAGGCTTGCCAGGCTCTGCTGATTCCTCTCTTGGAGCATCCTGCATGCTGGCATCTTCCTCCTTGGGATGTTTTCGCCTTGGTCTCTTTGCCAGATGAACTTCTTCTTCTGGAACTGCCATAGCTTGCTCTTGAAGCGTGGCCAGAGACTTGTTGAGATCTACCATGGTGTCGGTGATTTTCTGGGCAGATCCCGATGTGGAAGTCGTCAGGTCCCCAAACTCCTCGTCTGAGATCTCCTGAACTTGCCCAGCTGCTTCGTGTGCTTTGGCTGACGACACTTTCGATTCCAAGAAAGCCTCTTTGGTTGTAGTGATCTGCTCTGCAAGCTTTTGTTCTTGAGCGGCAAATTGCGCTGCATATTCCTGCCATAACTTGACTGCATCTGACAAGAACTTTTTCCAGTTGTTGTGCAGTTGTGCTCGTGCAAGAATCGCATCCTCGTATGCTTTGCGCATGTGCCCTAAATGGGTTGCAGCTGCATGTAGATTCCTTGTGGCTTGTGCACCATCTTTGACTCCATCCTTGATCGCAGACTCCTTCACTGCTTTCTGGATGTGAGGCGGAAGAACAGCCACATCTTGCTTCAGCATCGACATGAGCTCTGGGGAGACTTGCTCTGTCTGCGCCGGCATGGTGGGCGCCTTTGGCATCACTGGCATTGTGAATCCTGCTCCCATGACAGAGTTCATTGGTTGTGCTGGTGGCATAGGCTGCATCGGTCCTTGTGGTGGAGCAGACCACTGTCCACCAGGAGGAGGAGGAGGCAATGGAGGCTGGCTGCCACTGTGTGGAAATGGCGCCTGCATCATCGGCATAGGCTGCATGCCCCAATTCATGAGGGGCGCTGCAGGTGGCATTTGACCTGGGTAACCCATTGGCATCCCCATCATCTGTTGATTCGGCATCATGGGACCTTGCGGAGTTTGTTGTTCTCCTCGAGGGGTCTTGTTGCCTTTGGCGCTCCTCGGCCTTGACTTCCTTCTCGGAGTTTTGGGCCGACTGTTGCCATGTGGGTCCCAATGCGCACTTTGCTGTTGCCACATTTGATTGCCTTGCCAGTGATTCGCATACTGCTCCTGATCTTTCTGCCAGTTCTGAGGGTTTTTCGCTCCATGGACGTATGTCCGGTCGATAACAAGGTGCCATGGCATATTGCACGTAGGGCAATGAAGCGCTGACTGTTTCCTCAGCTGCTTGCAACCTGAGCACCTCCATGGTACATTCGTCATGGTGGACATCGCTCCTCGAACTTGACGAAGAAATGCTTGATCTCGAGAGTGATGAGACTCTAAAGTCTAAAGTCCGTACGAGTTGCTGCAATTGACTCCTTGACAGTGAGATGAACCCCTTCCTGAAAAGGTACCAATTGAGTCTCGCCTTCGCTCTCTTTCTGCGTTGAGCCCTCCTGACTGAATTGAGCGCCGTGGTCAAAGTCAACCTGGAATGCGTAGCCCTCTACAAACAAACCGTCGATGGACAGGACAAAGCGCAAGACAGCCAAAGAGCAATTCAGATTCTTCTTGTGCAGGATCGAAAGCAAGAAAAGGAAGACCAAAAATGCCCTGATCATACACCAAGAGAAAGTGGATGTCCTTGAAGAGGCAACCCAGGATTTTTAACGGTGCTGGGACACCAGGACAGAGGTGGTGCTGGCGCTAGGCACAGCAGAGCACAATCGCAAGGCCCAGGGCGAGACCAGTTTAAGCACAAGCGAAAGTGCGACCAATGCCAAAGGAAAGATTGCCCGCGGGATACGGACAGAATCCCGCTAAGGTGGATGGAAACACGTCGTGGGGCACTTGTGATCCAAAACCTTATATACACATATATGTATATATATATATACATGTATACACATATTTGGGTACATAAATTATAACGGCCTCACTGCGACCTCACTGGAATCATGGTTAATAAGGGAAATCATCCCCAAATGGCCTTAATTCAGGCAGGGACCGCAAGAAGTTGGTGGCCTGAATTCAGGTTGGTGAAATATTATAATTTACCCAGACATATGTATACACATATGTATACGCATATGTATGCACATATGTATGCACATGTGTATGCACATGCATCAGATATACATTAAAATACATTATAATCAATCCCATGAAAATCATAGAAATGGGTATATCATATAGTACATTCTTTGCTTTCTTCATTCCCTTTTTTCCTGATTGGATTGATGAAAATAAAAACATATTGATGAGGAAAGTAACACTCAGATGCACACACACACACACATACATATATCAATCTACATATATTGGTGATGTACTTCATAATGATAAAGCAACACTAATTTAATGTGTACGGTATATATTCACATAGATACATATATATATATATATAATATATAATATAATATTATATATATATTTATATATCATATTATATATATATATATATATCACATATATATATATCAATATATCAACATATTGATGATATCTCACTGGGGCTGGTGTCATCTTCCTGTGCAGGGTAGCTGCGAGTCGCCACGCCTCAACACCACTGCCCTGGCTGCAGCCCTCGGCAGTGGCGCCTGGCCGGCGTCCCCAGCGGAAGCACCGGTGACGCCGGCGGATACTGCGCCACTGACGCCAGCGCCGGTAGCAGTGGAGGCCTGCCTGGGGTGGGGAACATAGGGAGTAGTTGAGAAAAACCCATCAGAAATATGGTGAAACATTGTGAGTATAGGTCTTTGGAACAGATCTAGGATAATTCCCCACCTGCCAGGTGAGGGTTGTTAGATTTTATGTCAGTTGCCTCCTCGTCCTCCTCCTCCTCCTGCTCCTGCTCCTCCTCCTCCTCCTCCGCCTCCTCCTGCCTCGTCCTCCTCCTCCTCGTCCTCCTTGTCATCCTTGTCGTCCTTGCTCAACTGCGACCCGCGATCCACAGTGTTCCTGCCGGACCTCAACCACGACCATCCACGCCCAGTGTTCCCTGCCGGACCTGTTCCCTGCCGGACCTCAACCACGACCATCCACGCCCAGTGTTCCCTGCCGGACCTCAACCACGACCATCCGCGCCCAGTGTTCCCTGCCGGACCTCAACCGCGACCATCCGCGCCCAGTGTTCCCTGCCGGACCTCAACCGCGACCATCCGCGCCCAGTGTTCCCTGCCGGACCTCAACCGCGAGTATCCACGCCAAAAGATATGCCATATAGAGTGCCAGTAGATATGCCAGATAGAATGTTAGAAGATATGCCAGATAGAATGCCAGAAGGTATGCCAGATAGAATGCCAGATAGAATGTCAGCTAGAATGCCAGAAGATATGCCAGATAAAGTGCCAGAATGTTTGCCAGATAGAATGCCAGCAGATTTGCCAGATAATATGCCAGAAGATATGCTAGATAGAATGCCAGATGGAATGCCAGAAGATTTGCCAGATAACATGCCAGAAGATATGCCAGATAGAATGCCAGATGGAATGCCAGAAGATATGCCAGAACATATGCCAGAAGATATGCCAGAAGATATGCCAGAACATCTGCCAGAAGATATGCCAGAACAACTGCCAGAAGATATGCCAGGTAGAATGCCAGAAGATATGCCAGATAGAATGCCAGATCGAATGCCAGAAAATATGTCAGATAGAATGCCAGAAGATTTGCCAGTAACAAAATGTATAAATGTCATGGTGGGGATCACACGAAGTAAAGTATTTTTTCCATGTCGAACTGGGAGATTTCGAAGATGTTCAAAGGATTGGAAGGCAGGAAAGAATTCGTCTGAATTTTCACATAGCTTCGTGCTGGCTCTGAACATCACCTTGATGGCGCTGGCAGAGATTGCGGCAAGGTTACTGATGGCCAAGAATTCAGAGAATTTCTGATCCGCATTATCTCCAGATATCTCCAGACGGAAAATGATGATCATCAAATGGATGATCATCAAATGGTGCGCTTATCTTCTTTGGTTTTTTAGTTTTTCTTGTGAGTTGTTGAGCCACACAGTTTTTTGTCAATGCTCCATCCCTCAAACATTGATGATTCCACTTGACTGGTGTGGTAAACCCAAGGCCTCGCCTGCATTGAAAAACTGAGTACATGTGGTATTTTTGCAGTTTCTCTCACTAGGTTTACAACATTGGTCAACTGTATATATATATATATATATAATATTTTGTACATATATACACACACACATATATATATATGTATGTATGTATGTATGTATGTATGTATGACCAAAATTTTCTATCTATATATAAACGCATAGTACATTAGTTTATGTAAATTAAGACCCATGTGTATATATATATATATATACATACATATACACACATACACAGGTCCATTTTTCCACTATGTGTATATATATATATGTATACATATATATATATATATACATACATTTATATATTGGTATGTAATATGCAGAGGGTTCATTGTTGTGTGTTCCACACATATTTAACTGTATTATGTAGTAGACCCAATGACAAATCATCCCCCAAATCACCCATTTTTTGGTGGTAACTATACCCCAGATGTTCCATGCTGCTGGAATATTTACCAAGATTTATCCTAAAAATCACCCAGTTTTGTAGGTAAATCTACCAGCACCATGGAACATATGGGTACTACCAGCTGATCATCACAACTCCTAGGCACCGGAGCCAGAAAAGCCTTCACCGGCGGAGTTCAATGCATCGTCCGGCTTTCTGCATCGAGTTCCGGAGGACGGGACATGGGAAAGTGGTAGGAAAAACACATGGAGAAGTCAACTTTGATGGAGATGTTTATATGATTTTACATGTAACTTTAAACATCAAGTTAAACATGAAATTTCATGGAAGAAATTTCAGGTTTACTGGATTGAAATCGGGACTTTCAGAATGAAATCAGCAAGAAGATGGGAACTACATCTACTGTACCCCTGGATTTTCCCACTTTGGAAAGGCTTAGCCCACCAGGTTTCGGACCTTCGGACCCCCTTGGAGGAGGAAGTTCGATTGGACAAACTCCCACGGCCCTTCTATTGCGATGCTTGGCGATTCACTGGGCACGGAGTCAGCGTCAATTTTTTGGGATGGACGTTGATTTTGGCATAGTCACTATTCATCCCTCTTAGTCACCATTCAGTCACTATTAATAACTTTGGCACCTTTGTTCCACGATCACGTTGCTTTCATAGTCATTCGTGATTTGCCCGCTTTGCAGATTTCAACGTAGTAAGACACAGAACTCAATGCATGCACATTCGCTTCATGAACAGCATGTATCAAAAGGTATTGATCGTTGTTGTCGTTCCAAGTCACATGGACAATCAGGGACAAGAAATTACAAGTCTAGCCCAAATATATATATATATATGGAAATCCAACGGAGTACTGACACTTATGATCCAATGCACATTTGCTGTGGGATGTTTCTGGTATCCTGCCTGGATTCGGGGAGTCCTCGCAATAGAGTTGATTTTCAAAGGGGATCAGGTCTGGGTCAACATTACAAAAAGCCATCTCATCTTTTGACCATCCAGTTTGTACCCACCTAGTCAAGTCCAATGGGGTTTGTTGATGCTAAAATCCCAATTGTTTCATGGTGAAATCCGGTTTGACGCGAACAACACGATGTTTGATAGAAGCCATATGAATCTATGTCTTTGATGGCCGAAGGAATGGTCACTTCCATTGGTTTTGACCATTTTTTGTTCCAAAAGATGCTGTCGATCCCTTCGCGACATCGCCCCCTATTTCAGGACCCTCTGGAGCACGTCATCGTCATCAATCTCCAAGATGAAAGAGGTGGGCCTTGCCCCTTTCATGGTCCCGGGTTCAAGCGCTCCAACCGCCAGGCAAACCCAAACGGGACAGCCTTGCCCAGGAGTTGGAAAAGGCTCGTGGCTCCGTGGTCAAGATTCACCATTCGATGGTCCATTTTCGGCCGACTGCTGGGTTTAAGTTTCCAGCATCTTGAAACATATCATCAGTGTCGAAGAGATCCTTGATTTTTCAGCAAGAAGCCTCTTTTTTGATCATTTTTGGTGACTTTCAGAGCCCTGAAGTAGAAACTCTCTCCCCCCACTCTTCAACTTCGTGGATTTCCCAAGAGATGGCAGATGGCCTGAATCCGCCCCACCAGGCAGAAATCGATTCCTACAATTTCTTTCCAGCCGTGGACCATGAGATAGATGAGCAGCTGAAGTCGGAAATGAAGCTCAGCTGGGTGGTTTGTTGTGGCTGAAGGGAGAGATGTGATGGCTGCTTTCAAACATGTTTTTCGTTTTTTTTTACAATAGAATGGGATGATGTCAATGACGATGATATTTTTTCAAGGGGATTTCTCACCACCAACCTATGTTAGTGTGCCAAACATATCAATGTATCCATTGGTTTATAAACCAAGTATGGGCTCTGAAACAACATAAGAAAACTTGGGAAATAGATGGATATATAGAGCAAGCAACAAACATAGAACATCAACAAACCAAAGAAACATGGGCATACAGCCCAAGCAAAAACAGGGATACATATACTGTATCCATATAGACGCATATGTATAGTTTTGTATAGTTATATATCAGAGGCCAGTTGCCAATCAGAAAAAGTGGCAGACGAACCACTATATCTCAACTGGGATACGAAGCTGTATCACAATCCTATCCAGCCAGAGTTCAGGATACAACAGACAACTGACAGCCAACCACTATATGGACCAAAGCGGATGTATACAACGTTTGATTTAACTGCACATCTGGATGAACATCCCAACGAGACACCGAGATGCTGATTTCAGAGTCAGCCTCTAAACTAACGCAGCTGTGGAAATCCATGTTTTGTAGGATATGAACTAGAATTTTCCTGGATTTTCATGGATTTTCCATATACATCTTAGTTCATTGGAGGCTATCCTACTATTCCCTTAGTGGCCACCAGTAACACAACCGCGTTCATCCCATCCCAGGAGCGCTCAAGACCCCCAGTTGTGCGACACGCTGCCCAAGTGCAAAAGCACCTTGGGGCGCGCCTTGAGTCATCGCCAAGTGCATGAAAAAATCATCGCAGAACAATGGTCCTGCGCCATGATCTTAGCAGCTTGGACGGATATTTTAAGGCTGTTTTTTGCAGATGTTTGAGTGAGGAACAACTGTTTCTCTTTCCCCCCAAAAAATAGTCAGACACACCCACATACTGCTATTTTGTCAGGAGGAAACCATGTATGTGTTTTTTGTTTTTTTTGGTTGGTCAAATTTCTCCGGTTTTTCTGGGTGGTTGAAAGTCGACATCTTCGTTGATCAGCTCGGTTTTCTTGTGGGTTAACTCCGCATGTCTTTGGTCCGCACTCGTGTCTGCTTGGTTTTTTGCATGTCTGGTTGGTGGTGACTGGAACCGTGGTGAAATGTACGGGATAATGATGGTTAATGATGGTTAATGATGGTTAATAATCACTGGTTGGTGACTGGAACCATGGAAATTTTTGACTTTCCAGAAACAGAAAAGGGAAGGGAAAATCATCCCAACTGTTACGAACACACCATGATTTTTCAGAGGGGTAGGTTCAAACCACCAACCAGGTATGTTTCGCTTCAATGACTACTTGTGAAGGTCACAGATCCACATGGTTTTGGGTCAAATCCGACATTCTTGTGAGTTGAATCGCACCATTTCATGAAACATTCCAGTTCTCACCATCAATTTTGGGTGAACTCCGAACTCCACATGTGAAATCTAAATGGATCCACATCTTTACTTAAAAAACACATTTTTATGAGCGAAATCACTCGTTTTCATAGTAAGATCACCATTGTTCATGGTTATCCCAGTTTCTCCTCGTGAAATCACCATGTTTCATGTGTTCCATCAGGATTCTTCAAGTTATATAAATCTCCATTTTTCGGTGGGTGAAACTTCGGTGAAACCAGCATTTTTCGCAGGAAGACCACGCCAAGTTGGCCGAGAACTTCACTTCGAGACTGAGAGAGGTGGCGAGCCTCGGGCTGTGATAAACTTTACTAATATCTTAGGTGGGTATTATTCTATATATGTATATGTATAAGTTTATTATGAATATTACATATCATAAACTGTATGTGGTATTCTATATATGTATTGGGTATAATTTTGTATATGTACACCCAACTGATATCATTGAACACTCCTGATATCCATTGATATGTATTGATATGTATTAGTTTATGAATATTAATCATATCTCTAAATCAATGGGTACTTTAATCCTTTAGTCTTTTGGTATCAATGGGAAAATTTTACTAACCAGCTAAGAATTTAATTTTTTGCAGGGTATCTAAGATTGGCCATGTAATGAAAACTCCTGATATCCTGATATTAGTTAATCATATCTCTAAAACATAACGATTCAATATATAATTGTCTGAAAAATAATGATATAATCATGAACCATATCATGAATAGGACACATACTGATTACTCATTGATATGATGATATTGAATCATGAAAATTAATGGTATCCTGATATCCTGATAGTACATGTATATACTGATAATAAGCTGTCATAGATACATAATCTCTATAATGATAATAATAAGATCATAGATAACAACATCATATAATATCCTGATATTTTCATATGGGGATGTGTCAAAACCTATGTATATATATATATATTAACATATTTGGGGGGATGAGCATCCATGAATCCCAGCTATTTTGGGTGAACAGAAGGGTACCTGGGTTTTGACTCATAGCCATATATCAGGAGAATACAGAAACATCATAGATCTGTAGGAAGTGGATCATATGTAGTTAATAACATTAGGTTCATGATATATCATAGATCTATCTAGCATCATGAATTATATTATCCTGTTTTTTGTTTTTATATCCTGAAAATAATGTGTTTCATAAATAATATATCCTGATGTTAGGATAATGACGATATATGTATATATATATATATATTATATTATATGTATACTTATTAATATAGTTTCTTTTTATCTATTATTGATGTGATATGAATATAAATATACATATCATTTTATGTATTATGTGGGATGTATATATATATATATGTATATATATATATGTATATATATATATATATATGTATATATATATATATGTATATATATATATGGGGGTTGTCCAAAATTATGGTACCCGAAAACGCTCTTACGCCGCGCTTTCGCGAACCTTTCGCGCCCTTTCGCGCCCCAGCAGAATCGGGACATGAGATTATGATCAGGTTTTCGTTTACTTATAGGTTTATAAATAATGGTATTCAGACCTTTCGCGAACCTTACGCCGCCCTTTCGCGGCCTTTCGCCACTGCAGCAAAACATACACATCCATATCTGCAGATGTCACTCGGATACTAAAAGCCTTGCATGGGTTTTAGGAGGACTCCCATATATAGATATATATATATATACATATGTATTGTATTCCATATAGTATGTAGAATATATCTATATATACACAAGCTAGGACACAATCTTGCCAACTCTTGATTCACGTTTTTGGGCTTTACTTCTGGTCCCCTAGAACCACAAAGAAACCAACAGCAAGGGGTGGCTACCAGTTGCAATGGGCTTCTAAGCCCACATACATCACTGATGTACATATATATATATATATTTATAGACGGCAATCTTGGACACCATTTCCAACTGGTATATAAAGGCCTCGGACTGTGGAACTCTTTGACATTGCGGATGTTTGGCATTTCTCCCATGCTGCGTAAGCTGCATACGCTTTGGATTGATTTGGAATATAGCCTTTGAGAATGGCAAAAACCTCAGAGTTCCTAGGTTTTCGATAGCTTTTAGGTGGTTATTTCTGCCGATCACTCCCAGTTTTCCCGACTTGATCCGCGCGCGAACCAAGGAGAGACAGCTTTCCGGGCTTCGATGTGATCCAACTGGGGCGATGCGAGGCCAAGGGGACTGGCAAAGACGCCCCGCCAAAGGATCAGAGTACGGTGCCCACCTTGCAACTTGACAGCTGGATTGCTGGATGTGGAGCATCCGGTTTTTTGTTGCTGTGGGCTGTATTTTTTATGGATTTGTAAATTTATGTGGTTGTGCATTTTTGTTTGGTACTACTATAGTGCCAAGAGAACATATGGGGGAGCTTGAAGACAGTGGTTTTTAACCAAAATATGGAGGTTCTATAACACGAACTGTATTCTTGTAGCAATAAAGACACTGTCGGCCAATGATAGCTGGAGTGGGAAGCTGTGGATCCTGGGAGGATCCTTGCAGTTTGGATCAGTGAGATCCCAGCATTCCATGATGTGGCCATGTATTGCTCATGAAAGGCGTTTTTTTTGGACCCAAATTTGGGCCCCAGATTTGAGATGGCCCAAATACGGGAGTTTTTAAGCAGATCTGCATGATCTGCAGTTCAAGGGATTGAAGCAAATGTGGATGTGGATGATGTGGATGTGGATGTCTGTCGGGGGCAGAGTATGACAGAGTATGACCTCCATGTCAGGGGCTGTTCAAGTCTTCTTTGGCATGGGTCGAATTTGCTGCACTGCCCAAACCAGAGATGAAGGCCATGGTCGTTTCAGAATTCAACCATCCAAGTTTGGGTGGTATCCACTGATGAAGACTCTAATACTGCAAGTCCCGATACATTTGATGGTTCCAGTAGTATATATATATAGATAATCCTCTATAATCATCAGCCAACTATCATTTTTCCTCCATTTATGAGCTATATCCCCATTATCTCCGGTATATTTGATGGCGAACCAAAGCCCCATATCTACCAAAAAAAGGCCCTAGGTGCTTCGGAATTTGACTCAGCTCATGGGGGTTGCCAGTTTTTTAAAGGAAACCTCCAAATGAGCATTGGCTGCACAAAAAACCAACCGTTGATTATGATATGGGGTTATACAATCCAATATTATTGGGGATGATTGGCTGCATCTTTTTCTGGAATCGAACGATTTGAAGCCCAAGGTTTGGTCCATGGGAAAATCTGGGAAAAATGGATCCCCAAAAAGCACATTTTTTTCATGGAACGACTCTAGAAAAATTGAATCCCAAGTTTGGGGTGGATCAGGTATGGAGCCACTTGAATCATCCCATGAAACGGCAACTGGTTGAGAAGCATATTTATAAGCCAGGTATGTTTGGATAACCATAACTATGGTGGGTTATCCAATGTATAACTAGATTAGCTAGCTTGTCCCATAGGGGATGTTTTCCTACTTATAGGGATAGCTGAACAACCTAAATAGAATGGGGATTTCCGAACTACGTTCGGTGGGGCTATCATTAAAAAACAGCTGTAAATCCCATTTGTCGTTCCCATCCATTTTTCTTCATTAGATGATCATCATTCATTGGATTGGTTTAAGGGAAACTCTACAGGAACCCCCTTTTTTATTGGTGGGATTTAGACCATGGTTTCCACCAATCCAATGAATCATCATGTTGCTGGGATTTAGCTATTAAAAGTGGTGATTTTCCATAGCTATGTATGGCTGGGATTTCAACCATCAAAGATCCAAGAGCTTCAGGTTCCAAGGCTGGCCGGGGCGCTGTGCCCACGCCTATGTGGCCAGCATCTATGGTGCGGTGTCCATGGCCCAAGCGAACACGCCCATCTCCTTGGGGAGGGACGTGCCTGGGATGGGAAAAGCTATGGGAAACCTATGGAAAAATGCTGGGAATTATACGGAAATTATATGGGAACATGGGAAAAACCATGAAACACCTATGGGATTTAATGGGAATTTTATGGGATTTATATAGGATCTGATGGTCTTTGTTTGACGAATAACCAATAGATTCTCTGGGATGTGCCTATATATATATACATTACATAACACACATGATGCAAGCAACAATGCATATTATCATATTTGGGTTTGTCTGCAGAGTCAGGGACCCTCAAGATATGGCCATTTGAGGGGACACGAGGGTCTCATCAATTTTTTGGGGTACTTTCAGAGGGTAACTCTGAATGGCCGGTGAATTTCGACTTACATGGGTATACGATGATATACTCCCTTGGCGACCTGAGACCATGATCCCTAATACCTATGTCTGGTTGGTGGTTTCAAATACTTTTTATTTTCCATAATATATGGGATAATCCTTCCCATTGACCAACATTTTTCAAGATGGTTAAAACCACCAACCAGCTATGTTTACAGCTGTGTGCTTTTATTTTGGGCGCTGAAGCCACGAGATTCTTGAGAAACTAGGATGAACGGAATCCGCATCTCTGTTGGAAAGAGGTGACGTTTTTCCGCTTAAATGGTATACCGGTATACCCAGTGGTAACCAAATCCGGCTGGCTGGAAACTCCCGCAAGAAATGTGGATTCAATCTAGATGTTTCTCCCATTCCACATTGTGTGTTTTTCCATCTCAAAATGTGGCTTTTCAAGAGGGTAGATGAGCCGCCCCCATGGTTCTGCCAGTGCACCATTGCTTGAATTATCATGAATTATCATAACTTATCCACTTTGTCATTCCCAATCTCCACATGTTGGTTGCAGCCCCTACCAGAGAGCCGTTCCATGCTGGCCTGCCTCGTGAGGTTTTACTGTCCGGGAATCATAAGTACGAGAATCGCTTCCGGGCACATGTGGATCACAAAAAGCCAGCGGGCAGCTATTGGTACCTTGTTGGATTCAGAGAGCCGTTTGGAACGTGGGCAGCCAGGATGGAAACGAGCAGTGTCAGTATAATCGTAGATTTTGAAGATGCCACTTTGACTGATGGTTTCGGAGGAGTCTTGAGTCCAGCCATTGAGACTTATGAAGTCGAGGAAGCTGGCGTCAGCCATTTGATAGATCTGTCGCTTGAAACGACCCTCTACTCAGAATGGCAATGGGATTTGCACCTTTGTTGTGAGTCACCTGCAGAATGATTTTCCATGGCCATGTTTTGCCATACCGCTAAACGTTGCATATCCTTTGTTCCTAGAGTCCTCGCCGAGTTTTTGCACACCTTTTGGTCAATGGCGGATCCATGGCCACCATTCACTGAGTGGTGCAGCACATAGAAGTGACCAGCCCATCTGGGCTTCAATGTACCCTCTGGTTATTTAACATAGCCATGGAAAATGGCCCATTTATAGATGATTTTCCCATTAAACCACCCATTTATAAGGGATTTTCCATGGCTATGTTAAATAACCAGATGGTAAATCCGTTGGTCGATTCATGTTGGTTGAAATTCTCACTTGAGTGGTCGTCTGAGCATGTTGGAAAAACCAATAATCCTATGCTTGATTATCATTTTTCTTATGAAACTAGTGTGCAAAATAGCATGAAACATGAGAAACAAAGATCAAAATGATGATCAACCACATTGGATGCCCCTCATAAAATAGAATCCGAATAGCTATTTTGCATCCCCCGATGTTCGAAACCAAGGGGATCCCGTGACCGGATCACGAGGTACACAGATCCAGCCCTCTCCTGGCCCAGCGAATAGTTGTTGCCGGATGTGTCAAAGGGAGGCCGCGCGGGTATGCTATTGTCACATAGTTTTCGTGGCCCATGTTTTCGTGGCCCTTGTTTTTAATTGGTTTCTGTGGGTGTACAATGGATGTACTGTATATATATATATATATAATGATGTACTGATGCCAGATTCCGACCATTTCAACTATTCGAGATGCACAAGCATCAGTTGCACAATTTTCAGTGTCGCAAGTGCTTGGTACCCCAATTCGCCTCCATGCCTTCAGGATGAAATGCAAACTTGCGGCCCCTGGCACCATCGCGTGAAAGGAAAAATGGAGAAGGGGGGGCGTTGTATCAGTTTCTTTTTGACTCTACGCAGTATTTGTTTCTGAGTTCCTGTGACAACAGAATGCAAGGGTACGTGGAAGCAGCACCAGCTGTGGATGGGGCTTCATTTGAAGGCAACTCAGGGACCCATTCACCATGAATGATTCAACTGCTTTCAGATGTGCTTGCAGATGAGTTGAAGTTCTTCTTCCAGACAGGCAAAGATGATCATCAACCCCCTGCGAAACTCGCAGGTGTTGGACCCGCGTCTAGCCCCGGGCATGACTGCAGAGATGAAGATCATCTCAGGAAAAAAGGGGTGCTTGAAATCAGGGTGAGGTTAGGCAGATATCTTTCTAATCATATGAAACCAACTTGGCAAGAAAACACACATCGTGTGTGTACATGGCTCTCAATCTGCTGAAGTTTTGGCATTTGTTTAGCCCCAAACTCCCAAAGCCCAAAAAAACGGGGTAATGGCCTGACCTGGGTCCTGCCGAAAAGTGGACAATCAAAGGGTGTAGGACTGGGTTAAACTTCACAGAAATCGGACTCAGCCCTGAAAATCGATGCTTTCTCAAGACCAATCTTTTGTAACAGGTACAATCAGGTACACCTGGCTGCCTTGATACCCCTAGCCTGATTTCGCCATATTTCGAGCCACTGTGGCTTAGCCGGGCTTCAGCCCGGCAGTGACGTCGCTGATCGTCGCTTCATGAGCGATGTGCGGGCCCACGAGTTGACAACGTGAAGTGGTTCAATGGGCGGAGGTCTGATGAAGATTCATAGATATTTAATGATATTTACTCGTGATTTTCTAGCACTTTGGGATCCTGATAATATGGCTTGAACAGACAATGCTGGACATTTTGAATTATTTCAAATCAGAATGTGTGCGGGTCGAGTGTTACCACTGTGCTGTAAAAGAGGGACTTTAGCCTCAGCTGTTTTGAACACATTTCAGCACATGTCTTCGAAAAAACCTTGCTGCTCCATGGCAGTGAGCTGGCACGCAGGGCCGTTTGAGTTTGGAAGGTTTCGAACCCAAACCGCACCTTGGCCAAATTCACAAACAGCACTGGTACTTGAGGGAGCGAAGGAATGATTTCCTGCAGGAGTGACCTAAATATGGAAGTCAATCTTTTCATTCCAATTGTAGAACTGAAGTGGGCGTTGTTTGCACATGTTTGCTTTAATGACCCGATTTCTGACGTTGAGATGGCAGTGGTGAGATGTAGTGAGATAGCTTAGTGGCTTAGTGCACCTTTCAGCAAGGCAAATGGCTGCCTTCCTAGTCGACGTGGGTGTTTGGTTCTCAGCTGACCCGATCTAGGCAGATCCAGGCAGATCCAGTGTCCAGATTTTTTCGAGGTGAAGCGGAAGGCTTGGAGATCACGAGTCTTCTATGTGCAGGGCCCCCAACTGGTCCTGTTGCCCTGGCGAACATTGGCGAACATTCACCCTGACCCAGTCCAGTCATTTTCATCGATTTGATCGGTTTCTATATGCGCTACATGGCTCAAGGCCTTTTTGTCTTTTACCGGTTTGTCAAGCGTAAAACCCTTCCATCAATGGAGGCCCTACCCGTGGTTGTGCTGACTGACCCTATTTCCACTGGAGCGCTTCTGGTGGACATCGTGTTGTCTCGCGGCTTCGGGGTCCTCGTCTTGTGGAGTAAAGAACGCGAAGAGTCATTGCCTATCAGCCACAAAGGAGTCTACAAGGCAGTCAAAGAGCAAGTCTCCATTCCTGAAACTGTGAAGGCAATCAAAGGTGCTCTCAGTCCAGGCTCTGCAATTATAGCTTGCATTCCTGGCAGTGAATCAGGTGTCAACTTGGCGGATCTCATTTCCGTTTGGCTTGGCCTTCTTGCGAATGGCTCTGGGAACCGACCTTTTCCCGCAGGTGACCGCCGAAACAAACATTTGCAGGGCAGTGTGGTCAAAGGAGCTGGTTGCCGTGCCATTCGTGAAGTTTGTGGCTGTACATGGGAAGAGGTGAGAGATTCTTGCAGGGAATTGGGGCTTCCTATGGTGGTGAAGCCGGTGCAGTCTGCAGGCACGGATGGAGTCAGACTTTGCCGCTCCATGAAGGCAGTAGAGGAGCATTTCAGACACTTGCAAGCCACACAGAGAAAAATTGCGTCCTCTGATCATGCAATTCTGCTCCAGGAATTTATGGTTGGCCAGGAGTATGTGGTGGACCAAGTATCTCGGGATGGAGTGCACAAGACTGTCATGACTTGGGTCTATGAGAAGCAACCGGCCAATGGTAGTGATTTTGTCTATCTAGCAATGCGTCCAGTGGAGACCAAGGAGTGTCCAAGTGATCTGATCCCATACACTCGTTCAGTGCTTGATGCATTGGACATTCAGAACGGCGCGACCCACACAGAAGTCATGATGACTGCTGATGGTCCCTGTCTTATTGAAGTCAACCTCAGGGTCATGGGTGGCGACGGCGCCTTTATCTCTTTGGCACGTTTGCTCACTGGGACTTCACATGCTGATGCGGTTCTTGATTGCATCGACCAGAAGCGCTTTGATGCCTTGCCTGATGTCCCCAGGGCCTTTCAAGCTTCAGGTCTGGTGGTGGGTCTCATCTCTTATTCTTCTGGGTAGAAGTCACTGTGGACACTTTCACTCATGCTGGCATTTTGCTGCTGGCTGGCTCCGAAGATCAGATTTGGGCAGATATTGTGGAGGTGCGTAGACTAGAAAAGGAAGGCCTTTTTTGCTTCACTGAAGCAAATAGGTTTCAGTGCGGCGGGGCTTGAATCATGAGTGCTGAGTACATCGCGGCGATGGCCGATGCCTAGTAGCGTTCAAGCTTAATTAGACTTAGTGACTCGCGGGCGTGTGTGTAGCTTTGCTTACAGACTTGTCACATTTTTAACACCAATTTTGCAGCAGTCTCAGCTGATCCAGGCGAGCTGTTGTGCATCCTCTATGTCATGCCGTGGTTTACTCTTGACTCCTGAACCTCTGACAGAAGACACTGGCAGGGATGAAGAGATGTGGAAACCTTCGAGACCCGCTGGCTCAATTGCCTGTGTTGCATAGGAGTGAGTCTGAAAAGAGGTGAGAAACGATAGAGGTGAGGATAGGTGAGGTAGATGAATGATAATGAATCTAAATGATACCCATACACAGTGTTGACACTTGGCCCAGGTTGACGAAACTCCTAGAGTTGGAAGCATGGCAAGAGCACCTCCAGGGTTCTGAGGTGCGCAAGGGATCCTTTTGACCATGTCAGATGAAGAAGGATGCATCCATTGTGAAGAGATGAATTGCGGATTTCATGTGGTAGGGGAAACCATCAAACTCTGGCCTGCCAGGGCACAAAACTGCCAGTGCAGAGATTAAGAGACAGACGAAGTGTCCCCAAATATGGTTGACTGGTGTAGAGCCTTTAGTTGCTGTACTTGGACTTCGGATTTGGATGGGTTCGAAGAAATGGCATGAACCGACCACATCTGGATCACTCTGGATCCACATGCAATGTGTTGATTTGTGCTTCAGGTCCAATGGTTCCTTGACGCACAGGTGGGAAGCGGCTGCAGGGTCTTCTGGAATTCATGGGAGTCCATAGAAGGGTGGTACCGGATTTCGCACAAGACGTGTAAATACCAACATGGCGAGCTGGGCCAATCAGCAAAGATCAGAACCCGCAGAGGATCGGCTTGTGTTACCTTTTCAGACATCATCAGACATCCGCAAGGTGCCCCAATTCGGCATAAGCCGACATTTACCATCATTTACCATATTTACCCCAAGGCATCACAAGGCAAAGCGTGCAATTGGTGTGAGATGCAGGAAATCACTATACCACCTAATTATCTCTAATCAATTACTATAGTTTGTTTCTTTGGTTTCATATCATGCATTCCCCAAATACGAAACCTACACAAGTACCTCGGATCCAGCCAATCTGTCTTGGGAAAGTCGTTGCAGAAAGGATTTGCTTACAGTACGCTGTAACTGGACTTTGGTTGTTTCAGTTCTTTTTCTGGGTCATGCTCGCAAAACATGCAAGGACATTTGTAACTGGAATTCGCCAAAGCAAACAATGCACTGCGATGAGCTATATTGCAGTGCGATCTATAAGGAGCAGAACGAAACATCGAGACAGTGACATGTCATGCATTGTACGCGACTGAACGGGGCAGTTTTTTTCCGAGTTTCTTGACTCTCAATCAATGCGGTGCCACCTCAAACACAAGTCTGACCAAGTTGCGCCAGTCAACAAGACATTTACCCACCGTTTCATGGTAGAATTCAACCTACCATGAGGTAATCAGACTTTGCATTCATGATAAGAAACTGTCTTTCATGACTTCGCAAGTGTGTATGTCATTTCTTCTAAAGAACAAGTTGAAGACATAAATCATACATCATTGCAAAATACATGAGTTGAAATATGTTAAAATCACTGTCACATCATCTCCAGTTGCTTTGTCAAAATGGATGTCAATTTCAGATACATTACATTACACCATATTACCCCCTCCAGCTGTTTTTATGAAAAGAACACGAAAATAATGCGCTATTTTGCCACTCGGCAGCCCAGCATCTCGAACATCGTTTGCAGCTATCTCTCAGGTGCTGAGAGCTGTTCTGCAGCAGTTGCTGTTGAGAGTTCTGGATAAGAACAAACGAGTCCAGGAGGCTCCCAATGGGGGTTTCTGAAAAGTGGGAAGAT